AGGTAACTCTAAACGTAACTGGTTCTATAGTAAGGCGTAACGACCTGCTCTATGTGAATAGCGAGTTTAACGAATCGAACGGGTCAGTCGGCGCACACGCTGCCTGCCCCACGACACCGAGCGAAGTTCCGGACCGGGGACTGAAGACGCAGGAACCCAGGCTTGAATCCACAGAAGAGCCCCCGATCGCTGTCCGGGCTGCCCCTCGATCAGAGGTCGCAAACGGGTTTTGATTCCTTACCCGTACCCGGCCGCACCAGGGTCGCAAACGGGTACCCGTACCCGGCCGGGTACGGGTAGCCGGGTATCAGGTAGGGTACGGGTATCGGGTACCCGGTTGTGACCTCTGGAATGAAGCCATGTTGCAGGCGCGGGTGGGTTGATTCTAGGAACTTGAATTGTGAGAAGAGACAAGACGTTGGGAAATGAGTGACAAACGGTTACTCACCAGTGACTCACGGTCTACCCATACCCGTACCCGGCCGCACCAGGGTCGCAAACGGGTACCCGTACCCGGCCGGGTACGGGTAGCCGGGTATCGGGTAGGGTACGGGTATCGGGTACCCGGTTGCGACCTCTGCCCTCGATCCCCCTGAGCGTGGCCTCGCTCCGCCCCTGCTGGCATCCAGCCAGCCCGCTTTCGAGCCCCTTTCTCGCCTCTTCGCTGCCCTGTCCCCGGGACTGCGCCCCCTAGGGGCTGCTCGCAGACCGTACACAACTCCGGCGGCCTCCGAGAGAGGCTCCAGGCACGCACACAATAGTGACGTCATTACCGTCACTACACGTGACTGCCTCGTTGAGTTTCAGGAGTCTTTACACTGAGACATCTCCTTTACCAGTGGCAAAATATAGTAATAGGTTTTTACCATTTCAACTGGTACAAAAACTGACACCTTTATACAAGGCATCATGTTTGCAATAACCACAACACAAGCAGTCATATTGCAAACAATTCAGAGTTATTTCTTTTTGATTGCATTTTGACTGCTTGTGTTGTGGTTATTGCAAACATGATGCCTTGTATAAAGGTGTCAGTTTTTGTACCAGTTGAAAGGGTAAAAACCTTTTACTATATTTCAGGAGTCTGTTTTTTCGAAGGGTCCTGCGTTGGATGTCGTGCCATTTACACCAATGATTGTTTGGCTGCTTCTAAGAATAAACTGGACTACTTAGAGTAAGCACATGCTGAGGTTCAGTACTGTCATCTCCTGATCAAATTGCAGCTGCATGCCTACAACACCTGGCAAGCCCTAGCGGTCACCTATCCCAGCACGAAACGGGCTCGGACCTGCTTAGCTTGTGAGATCCACAATGCACGGTCAATGCTCATTGCTGTTAAAACACAAATGTGTGTTTGCCTGTGGAATTTCCAGAATCGTTGAATGGTTAGCAACTAACACGCAGAAAATCCCCACTTGCAAGCAGCCATACCCTCTAGTAAGCAACAATATGTCAACCTAGCACATGGTTAATAAACGCCAGTCTGATTGGTGAGGCTACGTATCTCATTACGCTCCATACCGGGGCATTGTGTGCTGGTGAAAATGACCCAACTGAACGTTCCGTATGACCGTTCACGTTGGATAATGTGTTTCCGCCTACGAATATGCTTTAGAATCAGTGAACGATGTTCATTCACTGCGATGCTGGTCGACTTAACTTTGTGCTTGCATTTCGTACAAAACAAAATAAATATGGAAAATGAAATGTATAGATGAGGGATGTGTAAAACATAAAGTACACTGGCAAAGTGTTAATGGTGCACTGCGGCGGCGGATTTAATCTGAGATGAGTGTTCTAATGATTGCAAATAAAATGACTGCATGAATGACTGAACCCATAAAAAAACTAACACAGAAACAGGGCGTTGAGCAAGCAAAATGAATAAATTACAATCCACCTCCACCAGCGAAATGCACTGGGCTTGGGTTCTCTGGCGTGGCACGTTCTGGGTGAATTGAAGTTCAAAATCGCTCATTGAATAATTAATAAATTTCCATGAAATTGCATCCACCGTGAATTTAGCAAACTGAAAAAATGTCGTCGGCAAACTTGGTGACTGAAATCGTGTTTCTGCCGAACATCGGTTACGCTTGGTGACAAGAAAAACGGGCTAAATGGGATGTTTTTTTAAGAAGTTTTATTGATTGCCTATAAAGTATAAATAGTGGCACACATTTTAAATAATTCAAACAAAAAAGACAGAACCGTTTTTTTCTCTGTCACAAATGTGTGAAGTGCATATGCCAGGTCTGTGATGACTTCATTACAGATAGGTAAACACTTTAAAAATAAAACATGCATACAAAAACATACAGCATGCATATAAAAATAGTCACAAATATAGCCCCATTGCATAAAAACATGCACATTTCATATTCGTATCGTATCCGTGTACAGTATGTGTAGTGGATCATGCACTTCTCTCTAAACCCAGTTCAATTGCTGGCCACAGCTAACATCAGTGGTAAGTGATGCCTGAGCTGATCCTGGGCCTACCAATTCTTCAACCTGCACTGACCACAGTGGTGAAGTATAGTGATACAACTTGGTGACTGACAAAGGACAGCAAATTATTTATGTTTGTGTAATACCTGATTTGCATATACCGTACACATATATTGTATGGGTGTATATGCGGGGCGTTCCTCAAGTCTCTATAGATGCTTGGCAAGAAATGCCTTGAGATGTACTGTGATATGGATCTGCATTCCTGAATGTATGGGCTGTTTACAAGGACTATTCTTATGTGTTCATGTGATTGTCCCATAGTCCTCCACAATTATAATAACAGCGATGCTCAAACAATGGCCCTTCTTCCAGTGGGATTGTCTGGGATAGCAATTAGACTCCCTGTAACACAAATCAATCACTATGAGACATCTGCTTTACCAGTGGCAAAATATAGTAATAGGTTTTTACCCTTTCAACTGGTACAAAAACTGACACCTTTATACAAGGCATCATGTTTGCCATAACCACAACACAAGCAGTCAAAATGCAAACAAAAAGAAACAACTCTGATGATAATAATGATATGCACTGTCCTTGAAGTTGATTGGTCCACACCCGAGACAGCTTTTCTTAGAGCCTAGTCTCCATTGGTGTTGGACCAGATGACGCCAAAAGGCGTACAACTAAAAAAATGATGCCTTGTATAAAGGTGTCAGTTTTTGTACCAGTTGAAAGGGTAAAAACCTATTACAAGTCAATCAGTACCGTTTCTACTGCATTGGTTTTTCGCAGTTGTGCCGCATAGATCTTCGATGACTTTTCCAGCTGGTGTTATCTGGCGTATGCTGGAAGCTCCCAGCACGTGGATTTAAACGTTGGACATCGTGCCTAACCACACTCGGTGGAACTTGAAAACACATCGGAGAGATAATGCCTTTGTTTAACAACCAGGTGAAAGCCGACAAATCTCTTTTGCAAGCGAGACACGGGTACCAACATTACTTTCGAAAACATGGTGCATATGTATGCATGCACGTGTAAAACATATGTGCATAGATTTCCCATTGTCCATCATAAATTTTGTCTAATTTTTTAAAACTAAATTGATACATGCCAATTTACAATACTTTGTTGAATGCAAACATGTCGGTCCTGTTACAGGCGTAACATCTCTCCACAGTAGACTTTTTCACATACACACCCCACTGATTTCCAATGACCCTTGCACGTTTCGCTCAACAGGCCATTGAACATTGTGATTGATTATTGCCAATGTGCATCATGAGTAAAGGCTTACATAAGAGTATTGAGATTGGTGGGAGGCTTGTAGCCGTATCGAATTAAAATGGGGGGGTTTCTCTGTAATTTATCCTTATTATTTGAATCGCGGTTATCTTTCAACGGATCACCGTGTATCTACTTTTCATTCTGTTTTTTTTTACATTCAATTAGGCAACAATGAAATGGATGACTTTTACGGGAAGTTATTGTTTGCCATTTCAAATGGCTCCATCCATCACCGAATTAAGTGAATGATATCCCCAGGAGCAGCAGCAATCAGCCACCACGTGAATCCATGTCGGCCAGGTTACCTTCGGACAACTTTCCTTGGGACACGTGTGCTCACTGGCCATGTGATTGCTGATTCATCACAGCGATGCACATGCCGATTCATCACGGGCGATATCACAGCGACACATTCCGCTGCTCCTGACGCGGTTGTCCGGATTGACCACCTTGAATGTGAAATTGCAGTCGATGCTCTGCATCTACATCTACATCATCAGCCACACGAAGGGAAGAAGATTGCCGAGTCGACGGGAAATGTCTTCAAAACCGAAACCCACCAAAACATGTGTCAACAAAGGCGAGTGCTGGGAACAGACACATATTAGAACATCACAGAGATTATAACGTCAATAAACACCCCTCCCGCCTCCATCATGCTGTCTCGTCTCCATTTTCTTATATTTGAAGCACCCGTCGAGGACGCTTGACAACGGAGTTGAGGCACACGTATATTTATTTAACAAGTTGCCAGTACAGGACAGCCCTAGAGGGGGTAGCGGCCCCCTCACCCGTATAACTCAGGGAATACCCCTAGCTATCCATAGCCTATCCCCTGAGTCCTCCACTAAGAGCTAGGGGAGGCTGTCTGGCCCGACACTGGTAATCGGGCTCGGTACCCGGAGTCCCAGAGCACTGGCTCTGGTTCACGGGACCACGCCACTGGCTCGAGCCTGATCCCGTGGGGCCCTGATAAGGGCGGCGATCAGGGGGAGTCCAGGGCTCTAGCTACGACGTCTTCCGACTTCTTAGCTTAACTATAACATAACTGACTAAGCCCATATAACGACCCCTTTTTATACCCAACCCTCCTTGAGGGGTGGGGCCCCGGGGGATCGTAACGCCGAACCAGCCCCCCCCCAGGGTGTCTGGCTCGGACGTCGCAGAGGGCATCTCCCTGTGCACACACGTAGCCCCGCCCACTGTGTTTCTTTCCCATAGGCTGCCATGCATAACGGCCCTCTCTCCAACATCCCTACATATTTATAGAAAGCATGCTCCTGACCAAATCCCTCGGAATGAGGCTGACTGATCTTGTCAGATATCGGACGCTGAGCCTGGTGGATATTTCTGGGTGACCACCAAGCATAAAACAGGTGTTATAGGCTGCTGCTGTAGGGCTGCATTGGAAGCACAGAGCAATGCAGCAAAAATGTATTGTTCTACTGTGCTATACTTCAATGTCTCTCCGCCTTCAATCTAAATCGTCAGTGAACTCAACTCCATTTGGCCTCGGCAGGCTATGTTTTCGATACATCAACGAAGCCAGTATACACTCAACTAAATCAGTACGATACTTTTCACTCTGACCATAAGTCATATCCGGGACTGAAGCCAGAATTGAACTTGTCTGACCTAGACAATGCATCAACTTGGTCTCGACCTTAAATAATACCTCTTCTGCCACCGGCGCTGGTGAAATTCCTCCCGTTGCCCTTCAGCTGGTGGCCGACCAAAATCTTGAAACCTCTCGCCCACATTTGTAACCCCTCCGTCAGCGAAGCCAAACTTCCTCTCTCGTGCTTCTCTCTACGTGCCCAGAGTGACTCGAACTTTGGTTCGAGGATCATTTCGTGTTGCTGCTCCCCTTTCGTGGAATGAGCTCGCTTCATGTTTTCGGGAAAATATTTCTCCCATCACCGGGCCTCGTTTAAATTCCTCACTCGATTTCAAATACCATTTTTACTTGCACATGTGATAAGCATGATTTACATAACTCGTTTTTTTTTACATATATAGATTATTTTTGTTGTTGTTCCTCCTGTCCCCTAAAGTTTTGCCCTTGATTGTATGTCTTTCGAATGTTGAAGCGACCTACCTCGTATAAAAAAAATTCATTCTTGTCATCCTGTCTTGTTATTTGCTGCTAACGACTGTAGCATCTCTCGTCAGGTACTCCGTGGGTCTGTCTTGAAAAGCAGCCCGCATCACCAAATAAAACCGAGCGAAACTCAGCCTGCGTTTGTTAGCAGTGTGACGCAAGGTCGAACAGCCCCCCACGAGATGCACGGTCACGTGGTGGGAGGCTCTCATCCAGCAGTGGATTGACAAAATGACTGCACACGGTACACAGGAAGCACTGCCATGTTACTAACCTTCTCTCGTGAACCATTCAATGTGTGGACATACTTGCCATTCATCAAATATAGCCCGTAAATAAATCACTACATCGAAGTAACTTGTGCCATTGGAACAATTGTTGCGAATAACTTGTGATTATGTATGCTTTCATATATAAATTCAAACAATTCCACGTGAATTACATGGTATGGGGGGAAAAAATCATGCGATTACAGTACGTATGTGTATTGTGATGGGAGAAAAAGATTTGGTGAAATGGAATTTACTTTTTATAAACGGGATTAAAAGACGTGAGCACGTCATAAGGTCACACCAATAATTCTGCATTCCGCATACCTGTCAACCCACACGATTTACCCGTATTCTTGTTTCAACACGGGCAAATTTTGTTTTTGTCTATGTGTTTGTGTTTCTCCCTTGCAATAGGATTTTATAGGATGAACGTTGAGATTTATAACGACACGGGGTGACCAATAAAGTCTCAATTGGTCTGTACGAAGGTAGGCACTGATAAGGGATTGACAGGTATGATTATGTGCAAGTGCAAGTTAATGTAAACATTCGTGTCGCTAAAAACCAATGAGTTACATGACCTACGAGAAAGAAAAAAACACATTTCCGTGTCGCGTCACGCACTACGGAATACTCACTCGCACGCGGACGTGAGCGGTGTGAGGACCTACAGGGGACATTTGTGCTTTCGTATACGTTCACTAAAATCATGACGCTTCACATTATTAATGCATTAAATAGGCCCGTAATGTATACATGTACACCCACCATGCAACGCCGTTGACAACTACAAACGTCGGCTATGCCGTAGAGAAGCATTCTCCTGTCAAAACCACCCAAGTTCCCTTGCTGAGTGACGCAATGTAAATGCAGCTCACTTTCTGAAAGCAACGTCTTTGATAATGAGCATTGCATAATATTGGGCAAAACCCAAATATATATTTACGGGATTTAAGGGCAACAAACAAAACCAGCATAACCCTGATACTTAATGAGTGTGTAAAACGCAGGCAATGACCAAATCACAAATAATTCATTATATCGCCTGTACGTTCATGCATTCACTTGGTAGTATTGAGTAGGAATATTCAAAGAAGGTAGGAAGGCATATCGGTTTTGTTGTTGTTGTTGTTTTTGAAAGTCCGCTCAGGATGTAGGCAGCGGTGGCGGCGGCATCGACGGCGCCTATCTGGCACATTTCACGCAGTCTCTTAGTCTCTGGCGCGGGATGCTGATGCGGCCGTAGAGCGCAAAGATGCGGTCCTGCGTGAGCTTGAACCCCATGGAGATGATGGCCATGCCGATGATGATGTAAATGGACGTAAGCATGAAGAAGTTAGGATGCTTTGGCACGATGTCGCCTAGGCCGATGGTGGTCATTGTCACGAAGACGAAGTAGAAGGCGTCCAGGTAGCTCCATTCCTCCCAGCAGGGCAGGAGGAAGGTCCCGAACATCAGGTAGACGAAGACGATCAGGAAAATGAGCGTGAAGGGAACGTCCAAGTCCTTGACTTCTCTGTCGGCTTCCGGGACATCAGCGCCCTCGGAGACGCTGACCGTGGACGGCAACTCCCTGCCGCCCTCCACGTCGCTGCCGGGGGATTTGAGGGGCATGTCCACCGCATCGTCCTCGCCCTCATGCCGGTGGCTGTCGTCGATTTTGGTGCGCGACCGCTGGAGATCGTTCCCCTCCGGCCCATCGCCGGGCGAGCGCTGCCGGCCGCACCGCCCCCCCGGCACGAGGCGGTGGCGGAAGGACGTGTAGATGGTGGTGAGCGTGCGCGCCAGCAGGTCGCCCACGTCGGCCAGCACCAGCAGCATGATGGGAATGCCGAAGGTGGCGTACACCATGCACATGATCTTGCCGCCGTCCGTGGAAGGCGCGATGTGCCCGTAGCCTGCCGCCGTTCAAAGAGGGGGGTCCGGTGTTAATTGGCCACGGTGGAACGAACGTCGGTTCTGAGTGAAAAGCATTCGCGGTGATTTTACATTTCACGAGCAGGGGCAGATCTGGGAGGGGGAGGTCAACGTGACGGCCGTTAAGTGCTCGCAAGTGCAGAGGCCAGCGAAAAAATAAAGGAGGGTTTTTGGTTTACAATTATCATTTCAATATTACTGCTGCTGGGACTATGTCTATGAATAAGAGGAGGGGGGTGGGGAGTGGGAGATACGGAGGATGCATGGGGGGGAGGTGGTCATTTATCCTCTGGTGGCCGGGCGGCAAACGTTCCTAAATCTGACCCCTGCGTTACGGCTGCGCGCATCAATCCCACAGATTAATTGATGCTGATAATTAACGTTGAGGCTTGCTATTGTGATTTAATTTAGGAGAGTCGAGAGTAGGACCTGACTCCACATCTTGAGCAAGCAATTCTCATTTGTGAACTGCATGGAAAAATCGAGTGGTTGCAACGAGTGGTGGGAACATTTCCAAAAAAGGACATTATGTAACAGTGCATCCAGAAATTAGACAGGTATGCATGTATATTTCTTAGGGCAATGTCCACTGTCATCAGTCTCATGTTCCACCAAAATCAATGCAGTATTTTAAAGCGCCTGCACACATTCAGCAAGTAATTTGTGAAGTTGGGCAGTACAACTTGTACTCGAACACTTATTTCGTGTCTAATCCCACTTGACATTGCTTTGTATTTTGGGCACAAGGTATTTACCAAGTTCTGTTACTTGATTAGATTTCAGCTGGATTTGGGCACCCAAGGATTTATTGTTTAGTAACACAATTATGGCAGTAACTTCCAGTTTAATTGCTTTAAAACATTGCTTAATTGGCTGTGATGCGAACAGCTTAGCTTTGCATTCTGAATTTGAGATTCTACTGAAATTAAGGAATAGGGGGTACTTCTCGAAAAGTAATTTTTTAGCAACTCAACAAAATTCTTCAATGTCACGACAAAGTATTAAGATGAAATGCAAAAACATATTCATATATTACGTAATAACCTCCAGAACAAGTAGACAGACAAATATATATTTATTTAGGCAATGCATACTATTGTCTGTCCCACATACCAGCAGCATCAATATTCCAAAGTTGAAACATGCAATTAAATGCGAATAAATATTCAGTTATTTGATTAGCAATGCCTGTTTTGGTTTTAATCTATTTGTTCAGAACACTGAGTGTTATTCGTTCGTATGCATGCATTTTCTCCAACTGCTATAATTTTCTCCTGCATGAAGCCAAACAATTCATTAACGGAATTTGCCTGAATTTGCCAAACATTCCATTGCAGAGTCCTTCTGAATGAAAAAAACAGCAACACCCTTTGCACTTGCAATTGATAGAATTGTACCTTCAGAAGCAAAACTACGATGCTGCAAGATAAATGAAATCTACTCTGTAGGTTTTTGCAGTCATGCTGTACAGCTCGTGTTTGTTTGGAGCGAAACAACAGACTTCACGATGACCAACAGCTGATGGCAACCAACAAACAACAAACATTTGGAGAACTGTATTTAGTTACAATCTCACTCAAGAGTTGCCTCCTTGAGCCCGAGCCATGAGCAGCCACTGGTCGTGCCGTACCTATGGTCGTGAAGATTGTGCAGCAGAAAAAGAGCGATCCCAGGAAATTCCACTTGATGGGCTTTTGCATGGTCAGATTGTAGAACTCTGCCAGGACGATGCTCAAGTAGTCGTGGTACTTGGTGCCATTCTCCATATCGCCTGCAAATAAAGAATAATAATCACAAACATTTACAACAATAGAATTGCAGCATCTAACACAAGAAGCCACAAGCACCAGGCACATTTCTTGATGATTGATTTTCATGATTTACCGTCCTTTGTAAATCCAGTGATGAATTGATTCCTCCTTGCCCCATGTTGATAATGGGAGTTGTTTGACCAAACTTCACCACGATGGTCCACGCGGGTCGGTGAAGGTGGATTCAGATATCACCTGCGACTGATGTTAACAGTAGCTGAGAATCGAACTCCGGTCATAAAGTTCATAGTGCAGTGTGCTAACCACTGTGCCACTTCTCAATCCTTTGGCGAAAAATAAAGTTTCACGGAATAAAATAATTGCATCGAGTCTAAGTAATACATGGTGTTTTAACATCTTAACACCTGTTTTGTTGCCAGAAAAAAGGGGGGGGGAACCCTATTATCCTAAGTAATATTAGTCTAATATCGCATCAAGTCACTTATTATTTTATATTTCATGCTAATAATGCTTGCAATCAACTGCACGTAAAAGAACTGTTATTTTCATATGATATGTAACCGTTCAAGCCACTAGAGGCCGCCACATTGACAAGGTTAAAAACGAATAAATCCTCGATTTGAATGACGTCTACAATTCACACTCATTTTACTGAATCACAAAGGGCCCTTTTTCATTTTCTGCACTCTCACTGTCAGTGGCAGCTCGTGGCCCCAGTGCAAGAGGCTAGCAGTGGCTTCAACGTCATCACTTCATCTACCAGAGGGATACATGTCATCCACCTTCTCCTTAGCAGTTGGTTTGAGCTGGCCTGACTATGCCGATTGAGACACGAAGTCGTTGAGACTGGTCAAGAATTTGCTTGTATTGAACCGACGCTGCTGGGATTATGCCCAACCTTGTATTTTTTATGTGCGCATCGCACGCTTCCAGATGCGCTTCTGCGGCCGTCTGGAACTCTCTTTATTCCTATATTAGGAACCCACTGGAGCTATTTATTTACTTAGTTTCTCATGTGCACGGTGAGTTTTATTCTGGTTCTCCACTCGACTCCCACATGCCAAAACATCCCAGTGTGGGACCACGCTGAAGGAGAGTCGTGAGCCTCGTTCAGGCTTTCCTGGCTACATAGTGGGCATTATTGGTGGTCAATAATAACAACAGTGGTAGCCAATCAATGGAATGCTTCCAATACAATATTTACCGAGCAAATGGAGCGATACAATCAGCTCATGAACAGGTGCTGGATGGATTGTTGCATCGCAAGATCATGAGAGATGATGGTGGCTTGGGAAGGCCGTCCTCCAACAGTGGATTAATCGTGGCTGATGCTGATGTTGGTTCGTGACATTACAATGATTAGTCAAGCCACCTGCAGCTGTAACTTGAAACTGGGAAAGGTGAGGTGGTGTGTGTGTTTCTTCCTCCAACTGGGGTCATGAGACACCACAAGCCACTCATTATTGTGCATTTACATGAACATAATAATCAAGAAGCGTGACAATTGAAATAAAATAGCGAGTTGTGGCTATGATCACATTTTATGCATACACTGTCTTCATGCACCTACTGGTGGAACATTCAATCTGTATATATCCTTGCATTACGAAAAATAATTGTAACATCAAACCAGTAAAATAAAGCTCATGCCATTCGAAAGATAAAGCTAAGCATGGACATAATTTGCCATCTATATTGAAATACTACATAATCTTCTTGGTTCTTTCGGTAAAGTCACGTAGAAGGGAAGTAATAAAATAATAATAATAAAACATAATAAAATAATTCTCACGACGTTTCGGCCACAACGCAAGCAGCCGTCCTCAGGTGAAAACCAGGTCTGTCGGGGAGACAGCGTCTGAATTCTGACGGCTGCTTGCGTTGTGGCCGAAACGTCGTGAGAATTATTTTATTATGTTATATTTTTATTATTTTATTACTTCCCTTCTACGTGACTTTACCGAAAGAACCAAAAAGATGAATCCCTGCAGTCACGAAAGCTTTAAATCGAAAAATACTACATAATATATCATCACCAGCTGTTCTCCATCCACCGTTTCACGAAGGCTGCCCTGGGCCCTGTAATTCACGGGAAATGTTCGATCACACTTCACCGTCCTGGTCGGTGTGGGCTGGTGAAGGTAGTATACGAGCACACGTGACCAGGTCAGATATCTCTCGACACTGACATTCATCCTCTCCCGAAAACTTGGGTTACTGGGTTCATAGCGTCTTACGCGAATGCCACCACTGCTCCCCCGATACTGCTGAGACAACAACACTGACGATTGTTGTTCTTGATACTTGCCTGCAAAATGTTGCGTTTTTCTTGTGACTGTATTCTCATCATCATTTTTTTAATGATAATTAACAAGACACGTAAGCAATAATTTTCAATTCGCCTTGCCAACTATGCATAGATAATCATAAAAAAAGTATTAAATTGTAACTCTCCTGCTACATTGAGCACTGAGAGCATTCTAAATCTAACCGACTGTCGTGACTTGGGATGCTAACACACAAGACAGTCTTAATTCACTTCTGCCCAGCGTTGGCAGTGCTGCCACCGTGACGGTGTCAAATGTGGCATCGCAGATGAGAACCGACGACAAATATTAAAGGCAGCGACTGCATTCACGTGTCGCTCAGGAAAGCTGCGTTAGCGTTGTGCACACGTGACATAAAATAAAAATAAGCATTGTATTGCAAAGCAGAAAAAGGGTGCAAGGATGTGTAAATGCAGTAGCTGTTGACACAACATAATTATGGGGAGGTAAGTCAAACACAAAATAACAACTCTCGGCATAGTCAATTATGCAGAAAGTGCATTACTTAAAACTGCACTCTGCTCCCGCACATTCACCACTGAGTTTTTACCAAAATTCCACATGCTTGGCTGATTAATTAGGTAGTCAATTTAGACTGCAGAATACAGAGTGCATATTTATAGCATTTGGATGCAGCTGTGGCACAGTGGTTAGCACACCGTGATATGAACACGGCGACCCGAGTTTGTTTCCTGGGCACTGCCAACAACCCTATTTTCTTCTCACATGGCAAAGACCCATGAACGGAATTAGTTAAACACCCCAATACAAGACCCTCCTGAACAAGTGGGACTTTCCTGTGCAAAAATAAATAAAATAAAACTAAGTGGCACTTTTCACTGGAAAACAAAGCCCCCACCTATTGGTACATTCCATTCTCCTATAAACGCCGCGTGTTTTCATAAGGCGAATTGGATATAACGCGATTGAATGAATAGAACTACGTCGCGCGAGTATGAATATGCGGTTTTATGGCTGCATCAGCGTAGCGTCACACAAGGCAGCGGGATGCTGTTGGATGCTTCGAGATGCTATTCACGTGCCTCAGTGTTTATTCAGCCTGCATACGCATCTCACGTGCTATCGTGGACTGTGCTTTACCCCCTATATCATATTTTTATACCGCGATTTCTTCCATAAAAGGGTGTGCTATGAATGCAACCAACACGTTACGGGTGAAAAGCCTGTATGGCGATAATTATGACCGTCACACGGTACAGTGGCTGCCCGTGGCGGTATTAACACGACCCACGCAATGACCCCACGCAATGATCCCACGCATGACCCCAGGCAATGACCCCACGCAATGACCCCACGCATGACCCCACGCGAGCGCGCAGACATGTGCACGGTGGGCCCTGGCACCGACCTGCCTGCGAGAGGCGGACGGTGTGGTTAACGATCTGGCTGACCAGCTTCTTCAGCTTGGTGTCCTCGCCCTTGTCCTTGTCACCCTCGATCAAGGTGAAGGTGACGGCGCCCAGGAAGGCGTAGATCATGAGCAGGCCGGCCAGCAGCACGTGCGTGGAAAGGGCGGGCAGCACTTTCCGCAGACGCTCCACGTACGCAGCACAGCCCGCCTGCCTCTGCATGGCGCTCATGACCCTCCGCAAAGAGCCGCAACGAGCCGCCTTGCTTTTGCAGGCCTACGTAACGAGAAGGCGCGATCAATCAGGAGGCGTTAGTCCATTGTTTATTGTGCATATGTATCCGCGTTCACTGTGGGTGTGCGTGCGGACGTATGGATTTTTGTTGTCTTCTTGTAGCCCAGTTGTGTTCAAATTTTGATATCGGCATCGCGTCTTGAGACGGAGCTCTAGTAGAGCAGTGCATCACCCTGTGGGTACGAGAAGGGCCCCTGAAAGAATAACTCATCAGAAGCCAGAATCACAACATTGGTCTGACCTCTGAGTCATCAGGTCACCTCGAAATATATATTTCTGCTATTAGAACAGATGACAATACAATTTTAGTTCTCTTTTTGGGGTGGACAATGCTTTACATGGAATTAATTTAATCAAATCCTCTTGTAATTAAATACGCAGAAGCGCACATGGATTTTTACTCATTACAATTCATTACGGATATTAGCAACACTTTAGAGCACATTTGGTGGTCTGAGCTATATTTCTAATAATTTTACATGTTGTTTGCAACATATATGATCTACATCTACAATGTAGGTATATATACACACAACTTTAACTCGTCTATAAAGGAAATAAGTCCGTGATATAAAACTGGTATTCTGTGGAATTATTGTGTAGACTGATGTACCGTGGGTATTAGTTAACATGTTCTTCTCCGGTTCATGTCAGTGCTATCTAACCGTTGTAATGCTGTTGCGCTATATTTATGAAAGCCACCTAATCTGTATACAGATCATTTGGCGATGGTGCGTTGTCACATCCTTCAATAACACTGTGGCCCCGCAAGGGAAAAATACATAACAGGCGTCATGTCGGGGCAATGGTCTTGCACGTGCTATAAAGAAGGGCCATTGCGTGACGTGTCACCTATGCTATAGTTTTCTTTTGAGGCAATGTAACTAACAAACATGTCAAACTTTGTTTATATTATCTTCTTGGTTCTTTCGGTAAAGTCACGTAGAAGGGAAGTAATAAAATAATAAAAATAAAACATAATAAAATAATATAATATAAAACATAATAAAATAATATAATAATATATATTATTTGATTATGTTTTATTTTTATTATTTTATTACTTCCCTTCTACGTGACTTTACCGAAAGAACCAAGAAGATGAATCCCTGCAGTCACGAAAGCTTTAATTCGAAATTTGTTTATATTATTACTTAGGTATATATACACGAACAGTCCTTCCTTGGTCTTTTCAAGTATTTCCGAAATAACAAAAAAAAATTCTCGTGTGGTTAGCGAACCCCACACAAGTTAGCGTTATACTTATGCGTTTCCAGCTGCCGGTGTTACTTGAATGGAGCATGATTTGAGCGGTGTTTCCCTCGATCTTGTTTACTACTTGGTGTCTGCATTGTTATGGGTTTTCTTGCCGCTGTAACTTCTTTTTTTCACCAAGGTCATTCTTGTAAAACAGTTTAAGGCTGAATATGTCTTCCCATGTCGTCGAATCAAATCAATCAACAATGAATGTCCTCTGGACATGTCCCTCCCTCGCTCCAGCCAACCAGCCAGCAACCAATTTTTTTTCTAATATAGTATGATTAGATTAGTCAAAGAATATTGGAAAACAGAAAAGCAGGTGAATGGATGCAGTGTTAAAATATCTAGAAGAACATGCTTGGGGCCTGTCTTCATTTTGTATGGCATTTGAAAATTAACTGACAAAAAAAAACATTAAAGACTGCGTGTTGAGTCTGTCGATTCGTTCGATGGCATCCGGAGTTGCTTCCTACCTCCTGTGGGTCAATCGGGTGATGAATCGATTGGACTTCACCACGTTCACAATCGGGTAGAAGGGTTGAATGAAGGATTGAGACGGAATCAGCAATGCTGGTTAAAGAAAGGAGAATCACGGCAAAATAATTAGTTGAGCTTCATTGTTGTTAATGAGTTGATAGAACGCACAGATCATGATGATAATTGAATTGTCAAATGACAGGAGTTTAGTTTGCTTTACAGGGTGAGAAATCAAGAGGCCCACATACAAAAAAGTAACCTGGGTCAGCAACATGACAAAAGCACAACGAATATAAATACATGTCAGCACTTGTGCGAACATAATCAAACCAAAAAACAACCGCGTCACATGTGAACTACATATGTATTACTGTACTTATGGATGTGTCTTACAGTACTGGCGGCATTGTGTTCCAACTTTTTAAACGATTATCTATGGAACACAATTTGTCCACGGTACAGTGGTGTAATCACAGGCAGGTTGGAGATTAAGGTGCTTATGACCCACGGCATGTAAACATTGTCACAATTCATGGGACCTCCCTTGCCAGTATCAAAATAAAAGAAGAGGTTTTACCATTTCTGGCAATAAAACAGTTGTGTTCAGATGTTAAAACACCAAACTCAAACCTTTTGCAAGGAATCTTGTCTGCATTAACCACACGTACTTGTGGTGCAGACACGATTCTTTGCACATTCGCCGCAAGCATATGTGCTTAATGCAGACATGATTCCTTGCAGAAGGTTTCAGTTTGGTGTTTTAACATCTTAACGCAACTATTTGATTGCCAGAAAGGGTAAAGCATATTCTCATATTGTCACAATTACCAAACCAAAAATAATCCACTTACTGTGAACGCTGCTGTGGCGTAGCTCTGGAGCCCAAAGGAGGTCACAATTTCACCAGGGCCCACATGCTGTGTGGCCCCAGGTGCCCGGGCCACGAAGAGCCAAAAGCCCCTTTTCATTCCTCAGGACCAGAGCCCATGCTACCCACACTAATGTCACTGAAGCAATGGCCTACTATTTATTGTCCATTTTGCTCAACTACCCCCGCCTCACAACCTGTGCTAGACAAAGTGGAAAGCGTAGTGCAGGATCGAGACTGACCTTCGTCTGGATTTCAAGGCTGTTGCTGCCCGTATTACTGGTGATGAACGCCAGACCCAAGCCCTCAGATAACCTTCAACTGGCTTTGTGTGCAAGATACGTTATAATCCTGGTATGTTACTGCCGGAATGACATGATAACTGCGTGAGCATCGACAGTGCTTCTGGAAATGAACGGGGAACGATGCTTGTCTCGTCCCAGGCCATTCATTACAATGTCAGGCGCAAAATATTAAACTTCGTAATTGCTGCCAGATCCAATGCCCTTGGCACTTAAAAATAATATCAACGGCAAGCAATTATGAGATGGTTAAAGAAAATCCAATTGGTTAGGTTAACCTTCTCGGAGATGATACGAGTGTATGGAGTCCCCAAGAGAACGCACTGCAATGTAAACCCTTCTAAACGCGGAATTACTTCGAGACCGCAATTTCATTTGTTTACAAATCATGTGGCGAGCGATCCCAAGCCTCTCCGGTGTGAAACTGCGTGGACAATGATGCAAAAGCTTCGGCTTTCAGGCAAGCATATGAGCGTCGTGAAAGACGTCAATTGCTCCAATTTGAACATTCACACATTGCAAATGACCGCGTTTCCATGTGTGGGCATGCGATTTCAACATGTGAAGGACTTAGCGAAGAATCATAAACTTGTTTGGTGGCACTGGTTTTGAAATTATGTTAGATACTGTATACTTTTTCTGAAAAAGAAAAGAAAGCCTCCGTACATTTGTACAAAATATACTTTTCACACGAATCCGTTCTATAATACAGTTGTACTGTCTTTACTGCACAATAAACGAAACTTAAACTCTTAAGGGTGAATCGCAGACGGAGATTAATTATTGCTTTTAAAAATAAATAGACAATTATAAGTGATAGAAACATTTAAGTTAAATGTATTCTTTCATTTATGTCAATTTTAATATAAAGTGGACAAGCTCCTGGCTCACAAAGCCATAATATCGCCATCTCACATCATCACGCCGCTGTTACGGTAAAGCGCACGTGGGGCAACCATGCAAAAGGCAAACATGGTGAGGTGCATGCTTGAAATAACACCGAGGGGGCAGTAAAGGGAACACGTGAGTTGGAGGACATGCGTTAGATGGAGGTATCGTATTCATCGTTCAGAAAAAGGAGTGGGGCTTAGAGTAGGACGATGCACAATGCACGTTTGATAAACGTGGTGTACTAAGCGCACCCACACACGCACGTGCATTACACATGAGATGGCGACGTCTTGGGGATGCCTTCATCCAGCAGTGCATAGATCAAGGCGCAAGTAGATAACGATGATTAAATGCCAGTTTTGGAAAGGCGGTGTTACTACAAATATCCCCCGTGTAGCCTTAACAGACTATAGGGGCAAGTGCTGTTCGAGAGGACCTACGAAGGCCGGCACGGCACACGAGTGGTTGGGTGGCCAGCACCACGCCCGGTCACCTTTGGCGATGTTTTACACACAGCACAAGGTACTCATTTGATGCCGAGTCAACCTAGGGGATGCCCATGACCGGTTTAGATAATCGTCACTGGTGTCAACCGTGAGCGGGAATCGAACTCGCGTCGCCAGGTACTTAGCGCAGCGCTTTAACTGCTACACTACCGCTCCCCTGTACACACACAGGCACACACGTGCAGTCTACATAATGAGCTGATCGTGTAAATCACGCGAGCGCGTGCAGGTGGACACATGTTTACATGCATGGCGACACACGCGGTACACGCGGGCGTTTGCGCTCCGTTGCACACGTGTAGCTAGCTAACCCCTCGTCCAAAGCACAAAACGCAAGGAGTTGCCACTATTGCACACACCCACGCCGCACACGCAATTACAGAACCTCGACTCTGATTGATTTAGATGATTACCATTGCCCTTGCATTGTAGTATAGACGTTTACAAACAGACGCGAAATATAAAATACATATACGGTGCATACCTTGATCCAACATCTACGCTATACCTTCTTTGCACTGTTACACACACAAGGCGTTTTTTTTTTTAATGCACGCATAAATGCATTCTATATTTCATACAAATTACGCATTTTTTTGCAAATCGCTACACAATGCAACTGGCAGCGTTGTGCGTTCGCGTAGCAATATTAACACACGCGCTATCGTTATCAATGATATACACACTGCATACACTGCTATTTGTGCATACTGGACCTTACCTTGGTCAGTTGTGTCCAAAACACAGTGCTGGAATACAATGCACCGCTCCTGTATGCGCGTCCGCTCAGCACCACGGCGCTTTCGTTGATGTGAGCTGGCCTGATTGGATATTATATATTAGAGGCAGGCAACTGTAGCAGCAGTAGTAGTGGTGGTGGGTGGAATGGATGTATGGATGATAATGTATAATAAGGCTGTACCTTCTGTTTCAACAATAACAACAAAAAAACGAGGTTAGGCTGTGCTTGTGTGTGTGTGTGTGCTTTGAAGGCTAGGCTTGCTGCCTGCAAATGGTCCTCTTTGTTTTTGCTGGCTATGCCACTTCACGTGTGCGCAATAATTCTTTGAAATAAATAAATTATACCACCTAGATCTGTCCCGTGACCTCCTCCTGCCAGCGGAGCCTTCGACACTTCACGTGGCCCTCAAGGTGCACCTAGCCTGACACAGGCGCCGTGGTGATGTCACCGTGACTTTGTATCGGCGTTATTGTCTTGGACCCCCCCCCCACCCCCGCCCGCCACTAATCCTCGGCGCAATGTGAACATCCAAAGGCAAACATTGAGGCTCTGTGGCTGAACCAGTTGGTGTTGATGCGCGCATCTTATGCAAAGTGTGCACTGTGACAATAACTGCAGGCCGTTGTTTGTTCTTGTTTGAGAGGAGAAGGGACAGGGAGCTGTTAAGGGGATAAAGAGACACAAAATGATACCCAAGCCCCATGGTGACTCATTGAAGTTGTTTATTTATGGGGAATGGCACGAATTAACCATGAACAATTTCTAGACTCACTCATTACACCGCTTTCTTTCTCAAGCCACTCCCGTCATCAGCAGTAGTCATTTTCTATCTACTGGTGCAGCAAGGGCTGTTAAAAGCTGCATACATAGACATATACACAGATACAAACACATACAATACCCATGTATATGTATTATCACGAGTCATGGTCTATCCGCTGCAAGATAAAGGCCTCGGATACTCATTTTCATTTGCTCGTGGTCCTGCAATGCCACCAACTCAGTCCTGCACGCGAGCTGATCTCATATTGCTCCATCTCCCCGGTTAATGTCCCTTCAAGAGTGATCCCCTCCTCGACCGTCATTCCGTAAATCAATCGTCTGCTCACCCCATTATTATTATTATATTCACTCAGAAAAGACTAGTTTACTTACTGAATTTTTTTGCAGATTTGGAATGCTTGGTTGTATTTATACGGTTTTTTTTCGTATGCTCGAGATCCATAGTGTTCCGAGACAATCCACGCATTCGCTGTGACAACTCCACACGCACATCGCCTGTCATGAGCCTACTTGCTGTACTGCCTCCTAAAGGAAACTCTTTGTTCTACACGTGTCTACTTCGTGGCGTCATCTCTGCGTGAACCACCAACCCTACCTCCAAAGAACTGGTTCACAGGTTTGCGCTATAATTCATAGACGCGGGAGCATAGAAGTATAGTACAACAAATGACTTTGCAGTATGGTCGCCGACCCAATCATTATTAACCAGGCTCAAAGCCCGCTAAGCTTCTGAGATATAACATTGCGGCCAATGGCAGAGCCAGGATTTTCAGGTCGGGGAGCAACCCCTCCAGCAATGAAACATGATAGGAGTTGTTCGAACCGTGTGTGATCGGCATCGCGCTCGCGTCGTGTACTGTAGACGCAACTGCGCACAATTCTGAGTCACTTATAACTGCTTTGCCGTTACTTATTGCCAATTATGGACTCAGACTATTGCCCTATCATCTCATTGAGTCCCTGGCTCGTAATAATATGCTACACAGTGGCAGTGAGGGTCGCAAAATGACGATGTATTATTAATAAAACCCAATGATCCGATCGAAATTAGGGATTTCGATCGGATCATTGGGGGGGGGGGGGGGCACGTGCCACTCCAACCCCCACTGGCTCCGCCAGCAATTGCGGGTGATTTGGTCATACAGCTGATTACATAAAAACGATGGAAAAATCTGTCTTGTGTCTCACCTGTGAGGCTGGTAGCTTCTCGTGCCTTATGTACAGATCAAAGTTTATCACCAGTCCCATTCGCAGCTCATATAAAATAGAAATGTAAAACATATCACCGTAGCTGAGCACAGGCCCAACGGCCAAACATGTCCAGGAGTCCAGCAACAAAAAGCAACGTTGAAAGTGTAAAGAGGCACGAGTCAATACTTTTCTTGAATGGAGCAAGGTTCTAGATTTGAAGCTTTCGTGACTGCAAGGATTCATACTCCCAGATTTTTTCGGTAAAGTCACGTAGGTAATAAATACAATTAAAAGTTAATAAAAGTAATAATGGAAATAAAATAAAATAATAAATCACGACGTTTCGGAGGCAACACAAGTCTCCGTCATCAGGTGGGACCGTCACAGATGCAGTAATTTTAGCTGTGACGGTCCCACCTGATGACGGAGACTTGTGTTGCCTCCGAAACGTCGTGATTTATTAGTTTATTTTATTTCCATTATTAGTTTTATTAACTTTTATTTTTATTTTTTACCTACGTAACTTTACCGAAAAAACCTGAGAGTATGGAGCAAGGTTATTGGAACTTCCCGGGAAAAGAGATGACGAATGGAGAGATTTCCAACTTTGAGCAGTGCGAGTCTACAATCAGGAGGAGAAGTGTTTTGACCTGCAGTACGTTGGGTGAACACAGAATGGATAAGACAAAATCGTCCGTCCGGTAGGCTGAGTTTTAGGAGTGAAGTTCACGGGAACAATATCCGTGGTGGTGGCGATAGAGGAGTGATAAGGGGGGACGGCTGACCGCTAGTGAGTAAATCAGTGAGAGCTGGGAGATCAATCATCCTGACTGCTTTATGTTGAATTCCATCAAGTGCACATAGGTAGGAACTGGGTGTTTCACCCCATAAATAACAACAAAATTCCATCTTAGGCCGAATTCGTGCTTTGTATGACAATGTGAAATCCGTTGATGGGCTCGTGCTAGGTTTATTCTTGCATCAAATGACCGTGGAATGTGACTGCGACTTGGGAAGGCCTTTATCCATTAGTAGATTGACCATGGCCGATGATGATTGTACAATTAATTGTACCAATGGCACGTTTTAAAAGTCTATCACGGCACGTGAGCCCTTTACAGCTTGACGAACACACAACTGTGATATTTCCTGTTCTGTATGTTTCAGTTTCGTCCAGACAAACTTAGCTTTTGTCTTTTTTTTTGTGCTTGGCTTTTTTGGTAGCAGAGCTGATATGAGGGCAGTGTGAACCTGGTTCTTGTCATTCACACGCCGGGCAAGCTAGGCTGAGTGCATTTGCTAACAATAGGCTGCACTCCATCATCAATCAGTCTAAGCCCCCGGACCGGACAAAGTAGAATATATATGCATTTGGTCACACGATGCAACGGGAGTTGTACAGTAGTTGATTAAGATGAATGCACATAGCCAAATGTAATACTGTGAAATGTAATACTGTATTATAATCAACGCTGGCTTGCAACATGAGTTGTATTTGATTACAATGTTCTGCTTCTTTGTTTTCTCTCCCTTTGTTATTCTGCTGTTGGATGAAGGCCCTCCTCACGTCGTGTTAGTCGTGGAGCTAACTTGACCATATTTCACCACCGTGACCAGAGTGCGTTTTGGTGCGGGGAAGCAGCAGGACCACAACAACACCTTGGTGTCCGTATTCTCAGGTCGTCTTCCATGCAATTCATATCCAAGCTTCGACCTGCTTAGCTTCCGATATCTGACCATGCTGGATGGATTCAAGGCGTTGTTGTCACACATTGTGCACAGTGTCATGTAGCCTATTTGTGATACATAACAAATATTGTGGATAATTGTGTTGATCCAAAAGCGTGTTGCAGAACCAAGCCAAACTCGGGCCAAATTTTCCTCTCGGCAATGTGTGATTTCGTGATGCTGCTGTACATATTGACCTCTTCAAGGGACTGCACAGCAAGAATTTAAGTTCCATTATCCCTCCAAGGTCTCTCTTTTAATATCCACAATACGGTATTGGTGTGTAACCCTTTCACGTACACACAATTTAATTGATCTTCTGCTACATAGTATTCGTACTTTTTCTTTGGTTCTTTCGGTAAAGTCACGTATAAAGATAAAATAATAAATTAAATAATAGCATACTACTAGTATGCTATTAATTTACCGAAAGAACCAAAGAATAATTCCTGCAGTCACGAAAGCTCCAAAATTAAAATAGTATTCGTAGTTGAGCTTTCTTTCCGACAGCCCTGTTCTTCACCTGAGGACGGATGCTTGCGTTGTGGCCGAAACGTCGTGAGAATTTTATTTTATTATGTTACATTTTAATTATTTTATTATTTCCCTTCTACGTGACTTTACCGAAAGAACCAAGAAGATGAATCCCTGCAGTCACGAAAGCTTTAAATCGAAAATTTAGCTATATTGTTCATGCTCAGTTTATACCAACGCATGCCTGCCTATACCTGATGTTGAATGGGGACCATTTGGTTATTTAGTAGGTTATTACCATCTCACAAGCTGGACCTGGATAGCGCTTTCATTTATTGGACTATACGTTCAGTAGTAGGACATTTGCGAATGAAGCAAGCAACCACTTGACTTAAAGCTTTCGTGACTGCAGGAATTCATATTATCTGGGTCTTTCGGTAAAGTCACGTAGATAGGTTCAAAGAAAATAACAAAAAACTACGACGTTCGATCGCAACACAAGCTTATTTTCTTTGAACCTATCTACGTGACTTTACCGAAAGACCCAAAGAACAAGCCACCACTGTTATCCGACGTGGTCGCACATGATGTGTCGTATCAAGCCCTTAATTGGGAAGCGGACAGTCGGTGAGCAACATCGCACAAGGTGGCTGAAGCCTCTCCTCATCTGGCTCCAACACAACAAGCCACGGTGATGTGGTAGACCGAATGTAACAAGCAATTTCCGCAACAAATAAATGAATGTTAGGATGCATTTCCAAATTATACACTTAAGTGTTAAATCTTTACCAACGTTCGAAAGGGCATTTTTCAGATGGTTTATTTATATGTGGAATTTTAAATTACATGAGAACCTCATGGGTGAAAGTTCTCTCTTGCAAGGTAGTGTGTTGTCCTTCCTCCGCACCTCCGATTATCACGTTTGGCAAGCGTACGGTGCGAAAGAAGTTCAACATACATACAGTCCTGTCCTTTTGTGAATATACTGTTGGCTGAGGTCTTCCCCATGGTACAACAATCAGTACATATGTTGTAAAAAGAATGCATGGACGTTCATGAACATGATTTGTGCAACGCAGTGTTTAAACATTTTCAATCGATAATACAGGGTTTTTTCTAATCCAAAAACCTGTATTATGGATGATATTGGTCGCGAAAGCCTACGTTTTAAACTGATTTTCAATCGGTTGTACAGGCATGCCGAGGCTCTTTGCGAATAAAATAAAGAGGACCTTTTGTTACGAATAGCCAAAGGTATTCTGAATTGAGATTGTGCATGCATATTGGTATTGGACATGTGAAATCGAACATGAACAACGTGGTGTGTTTAATTTTTCATCAAAACGTAATTTGCAAACACGCTGAACACACTTTTTGATTTTTGTGTTGTTTTACATTTTTCACGTGTATGCACGTACCATTCTACAATATCCGAGCGCACATTGACACATTCCATCTGTCTAATTTGTAATTATTTGATGTAACCGATGACACACGCTGTCCATGTACCACGTGGAATTATTGTAATCGCAAACAATGACAGTATTTTGTTTACAAAAAAAAATTAACATATCTGATATTCAGACTAGGCTCTAAGGAAAGCTATCTCGGGTGTGGACCAATCCACTTCAATGGCAGTGCACATTATCAGAGTTATGTTGTTTGTTAGCATTATGACTGCAGGTATTGTGGTCTATGTAAACATGACTCCTTGTAAAAAAGGTATCAGTTTTGTTGCCAGATAGAAGGGTAAAAAAAAAACAATTATGATATTTTTACTGACAAATGAGGTTCCAATGGTGGGGATTAAAAGCAGCGGAGAGCGAGTTCTCAGGGCTGCCGGTTCTGGGGTTGGACTCGACTCGTCGTTCTTTCTGGTCTTCGCAAGATCATTTCACGGCCGGACAGTCGTTGGCTTTTTCGGTCGACGCCGTCGGTGCAACGCGGTCCCGGTTGTGTCTAGGCCGGGGCTGTACGGCAACATGGTCGAGGGAGAGGAGGCGATCCTGGGTGTGAACGCCCGGAAAGGTGTAACAAATTAAAGGGGCCGTCCATAAATGACGTCACGCACCTAGGGGGGGAGGGGGTCAGACATTTGTGACGATGTGTGACGAGGGGGGGGGAGTTTGAGAAATGTGACGTCACATCAAAATTCGCAACTTTAAATAAATATAGGCAACACGTTTTACTTAATTAAATATACTTTTTAATAAATGTTTTCTCCTACAACATCAGAGTTCAGCGCCACATTAAATACGCACTACAATGACAATAGTTTAAAGCGATTTGAAGCTTGTTTTATATTTGGGGGGGGGGGGGGCAGAGCTTTGTGACGTCATGTTTTAGGGGGGGAGATTTGACTTTTTGTGACGCCATGTGACGAAGGGGGAAGGGGGGTCAAAAATCGCGTGACGTCATTTATGGACGGCCCCAAAGAAGGTGCCTCCTGCAACTATCTCGTCTCCGACTTGTGCTATGCACACCGACACCACTAGTTACAAATTGGCTACCTTCTGTTTACGTGGCAAAAAAAACCTTACTAATGGGCAGTGTCGGGTGGTGGCGGGTTTAACGACGCGTTTATATTTACGCGATCATACTTTTAAAAAAATCCCATATAATGGATGGATAATAGGGGTCGCGAAAGCCTCCTAAGCGTTAAACTGGCCCATTATTCTTCTTGGTTCTTTCGGTAAAGTCACGTAGAAGGGAAATAATAAAATAATAAAAATAAAACATAATAAAATAAAATAAGTTATTTTATATATTTTTTATTTTTTTATTTCCCTTCTACGTGACTTTACCGAAAGAACCAAGAAGATGAATCCCTGCAGTCACGAAAGCTTTACATCGAAATGGCCCCATTATTCATTCATTTAAAATCGCCAAGCGGACGTTTTCCAGCCATAGTCTCGCGAGAGCGCATGCGCGAGATCTCGCGAGACGAGATTTGCTCCGTCGCTTTACGCACATGTTTTCCAAACCTCGTGGTGGCTCGATCGGGCTTGCCGCTTAAATTACTTCGATTAAAGAATCCTTATCGTCAAAGAAGGTGATCGGTATACATTTGCGACTCCGTGTTGTACGACTTTAATAATATTGCACGTTCAGCGTCGACCACCGACGTTTTCAACTGAACTCCAACTAGGCCGCGGTGAATCATCGGTCTCGCCTGGATTCTCTGCTGGTTGAGGTGAGGGGTGGTCGGTAGGGGCATCCAGCCCAAGTCGGTGGGTGTTGAGCGAGGTTACTTTCAAACTCTGGCCTCTCTTGGCTTTATCGGAGTAATCGGTGCCTTTAAAGATCGCGTGTTGTTGACGTTAAGCTCATTCCACTATGTTACTTTATTTTTTAAAGTAATTTAAACGTTCCGTTATAATAACCCGCATGACCAGCGTGGTGAAGTATGTTCAAATCACTCACGGCACGAGGAGGCCCTCATTCAGCATTTATATAATCACGGCTCGGTATTATTTTTACTTAGATATGTTTTTCTTACATTAAAAATGTATCGGATAACGTGGGAGGGAGGGGGGGCGCAGTACAAAAAGTTAACCATTACAGTATAAAGTTTATAAACAAACGCCTGAATCATAGCGTATGGTTTGCAGGATTATTTGTTCGTGTATTTGGTATTATCTGCTCTCTTTCCATCTCTTGTCGGTGTTGGGGGTGTATAGTAATGTACTTTATGCATCACGTTGGTCAAGGCGGTTTGGTTGGTGAAAGGGGAGATGGGGACCCGGGGCTGGTTCAGAAAATAATATAAAAATATAATCAACACTAAACTATTGAAAGTCGTGTATTTGTATCCATTCTGATCACAAAATGTGTACATTTTTCTGTACATACTTTTGTAAAAAAAAAAGTGTTGCCACACACCTGCAATATGTGATTACCAGAGGCGTTAATTACATACATGAAACGCCTCAATCTGCTGGACATGTAAGGTGGCAAGAATATGTCAGTACAGCAAGTGAGCCATCAAATGCAAAGATTGTCGGTGGATATGGTGGTCGACACAACTTTTAATGAATATCTGCTGGGACGGGAGTGCTTGTGAATGCATTTTTTCACGCAGAATATGTGGGAAACGCTTGTGTCTCTTTTGCTCAGCCACAAGTTGCAAAGCCATGGAGGAAGATTTCCCCCGAGGAGGTGTCCAGCCCAAGGAACGAGTGGCCGCACGTGCCATCGACAAGCCTGCTGCTCACAGCGATAACCTCTTCGGCGTAAGTCACCCCTGCCGCAAGCCGAAAACCTGCGCATCGTTTGTACCATGTGTCAACGGAGGATATATACGTTGATAACGTCTGTAGATTGCTCTTTTGTAAAGAAAAAACGTGTAAAATGTTAATATGATACATGCATGGTTGTCATGCTTGCAAAAATACTGTTATGCAAATATGCTTTGTGTTACAGTGTGTATATGTTGGAACTTTTTTGCACCGTACGTAGCAAACCGTGCTAATCGGAGGTGCAGTGAAAGGACAACAAACTAAACACCAAAAACAGTGAGGCTAGTGAAGCCAGCCATCATCCTGTTCAAAGAAGAGAATACAATTAGAAACGATATGGACAAGACTGTAAAAATGAGGCAAATTGTGTCTTGAATGGATTTGCAACATGAGTCATTACATGTCCAGTAAATATATAGACCGTGATAAAACACAAATGATCACAGAAGTGCAATACGGTAATTGAAATCGTACTCTTGTTGGAACGTGTTTATTTTTTTGCCACTAACCGAAATGTTTATTGCAGCAACAAGAGTTGGAAATTGAGGGCAAAAAGCGGCGAGCCAAGGATGAGGGAGAAAAAGTCAAGAAAATGAAGTTTGAACAAGAGGCCATCAGCACTAAACACGCAGTATTAAAGCCCAACAAAGTCCAGTTCATCGACATTCTTAAATTGAAGGTAAAACCGTTGCGTGATCCACATTACTTCTGCTAATCTGTGGGAAAGATGATAGGCCCTTTGTACTGAATTTCTACGTATCCTGTCGTAAAAGTACAGTGAAACCTAATTGTAATGTTCTTACTCGGTGATTTTTTTTCTATACCGAACAATCCATTAAAAAACATCTGATTGATATTGCAGTCGGTTTTTCTGTCATTTAACGTTTTCGCATCTAACGTTCAGTTTGGAAGGATCCCTGAAAATGTTATTTTGAGGTCTCACGGTACCTTCCCGACATGCCTTTCAGCAGAATGGCTACGTTGCCAAAGATTGTGTTAACTGTGGTGTAAATACACTACCTCTGCCCCCATTTCACTCTCTTCTATATTAACTCTGCTTTAGCAACCATGGCTTCTTATCAAAGCCCACAGTCACCATTTTTTCCAGTGGAAGGTTGCGCATTATCTTATGCAGCCCCCCATGGGCTGCTATTGCCTTCCCTCATTCATCTGTGCTGTCAACTCCCTGCTCCTTTTCAAGTCCAATCCTTTTTTTTGCTATGGCAATTGGCCTCTCTCTTTAAAATAAATGTGCCCGCTTTTCTGATACAGCGTCTTGAGATGCAGTTTCTTTTTGTAGCTTTATAAATACAAAGATTGCAATTTACAGCAAAACTTCAGTTGAAACATTGTCATGTTGCCTCGCCTTGTTAAGTATGCTCCTCCCATTTGAATTCTTTATTTGTATTTGCGTTTGTCCCACAGATGGTAAACCCAGACATGCTTGTCCTGGGCTGCGTCAAGGTCTCTCTGGACCATGAGCTGGAGGTGGGGTTGCCAGGTTGCCTCACTGGCAATGTCCAGATCGCGCACGTGTGCGATGCCTACACTAAGAGCTTGGGTGACAACATGGATTCAAACCTGGAGTCAGAGGTGATGAATGTCTTTTTTTATTAAATACATTCAATCTATTTAGTTTGTGCTCTAATGAGGTGTGGTATTTTTTTATATATTCACAAAGAAAACATTTTATATTTTTCGGAAGACCGTCCCGGATTATAGTTTAATGTAGATATTGTTGGAATTGTTTGTAGAACTGTTAATATGTATAGGTTGTTGGAGTTGGAAGGAGTGCTTTGGAAATAATACGCTGCATTTAATAGCGTAGTGGTTCGTTTTGAAACCATAGCTTCTGCAATTATTGTATTGAATCACCATTTTGTTTTCTTGTTTTGTGTAAAATTAATGTGACTCAACTGATTATCTCCACAAGCGTTGTTATATTTTAACCTTCGGCAGAAACATTTAATTGCGGGCACAGACAATCAATACATTTCGCATATAAGTTGTGTTAAATTCTCCGTTTTTCTGTGCTCTGTTAACAGACGATCGCTCCTCTGAGTGAGCTGTACCCACCAGGGACTCTGGTTCCTTGCCGAGTCATGGAGGTTGTGCAGGGCAAAGGCAACTGGTGCAGGATTAATCTCTCGGTCAACCCTCGTGATGTCAACAAGGAACTCAGTGCCTCCGCTCTCAGGCCAGGCATGGTATGTCAGCAGCTGTGGGCTCGTGCCAATCTTGGCAGGAATTACTTTTGTGCTGTCCCATGTCATGTCATGAGATAAAATGTCCAATTCAGAGTTGTCGTGGAGCAGTGTATCGCCTCGAGTTAGAGAGTGGCCTGGAGAAGGCATTATCACAACTACTTTTGAGATTCTTTCAGGTGTCCTCTTGTCCACACTTGGCATGCTATATCTTACAAAGTGTGCTTCTATAGAAATGTTCGGTACATTACAGTCAACCAGATTTAACATTTTTGTAGCTGGAATCTGCCAAATTAAGTGAAAACACAAATTTCCTATGATGGGTTTTGTGTGCAGTCCTTGGTGACCATGCCGAGACTATCGATTTGCTACATTTGCAATTCCGGTTTAATAACAGGCAATTAAAACACGTTCAAACTTAAGATATTGGCAGTGCCTGATCAATGGTCTGACCTGCTTGTTTAACCTGCACTAGCTTGTTTAATTTATAAATGTATACTCTTCAGAGCTGACCACAATGCATTCCTTCAGGAAGTGCTGGTGAATTTTGCATAATGCACGAAGGCCAAGGCCTTTTACACATTTTGCGTGTTGTTTGAAACTTATCAGCAGCTGATGCTTATCTTGCTTTTGCAGCTACTCCATGGCTGTGTGGCCAGCTTAGAGGATCATGGGTACGTGGTGGACATTGGCGTGTATGGCACCCAGGCTTTTCTCAGCAAGGCTAAGGCCCAAGCATTGGTGAACTCGAAGAAAGCGGGTAAGTTTTACACATGAAAGTGATTTTTCAAAATAATGTATTCTGGTTTCACTTTTTTATGTTCCAGTACCATTCATGTACATTTTTCACCGACACAGGTTTGAATTACAATTTCTTTACTTGGTCTTCTGTGAAAGTATTGTTAGACCCACTTAAGACACGTGAGCTTGAAAGCACTCGTCCTTTGTTCTTGCAGTGCCATTGGCTTTTTCTTTATAGAGCCCTTCAATTTAAAATTATATGGAGTTTTATAACCTGTGGCTATGGTTTTTAAAGTATATAGCCAACCTGATTTCATGTTTGTAGTGAGATATAGTTGTCATGTAGCCAATGAATTAATGAACAGTCATTGCCAAAAAAATATATATTCAATAACGCTTTTCGAGCCTTTGTAAATTCCCTGTAGGCAACAGCAGGGGCTTATGATAAACTGAAGCCGCCAATATGCTTCGTGTATGTATGTGCGTGTGTTTGTGTCAGTGTAATAAGCCTTGCCTTGGTTGTATAATGCATGGGTTTGTTTGATGTCTCGTTGCCATCTCCATGTGACCAGGTCAAAACCTGTCGGTGGGCCAGCCTGTGTGGTGCATCGTTGAGACTGTTCGAAGCCAAGGCCATTCGGTTCAGCTCTCGGCCAGCCCTACCAAACTGAGTGCAGCCATCGCCAACGAGAAGCATGGCTGGACACTCGACAACCTCCTGCCTGGCGTGATTCTGTCGGGCACCATTGAAAGGGTACGATAGCTTCTTCTTGGTTCTTTCGGTAAAGTCACGTAGAAGGGAAGTAATAAAATAATAGAAATAAAACATAATAAAATAATTCTCACGACGTTTCGGCCACAACGCAAGCAGCCGTCCTCAGGTGAAGACCAGGTCTGTCGGGGAGACAGCGTCTGAATTCAAACGCTGTCTCCCCTGAATTCAGACGCTGTCTCCCCGACAGACCTGGTCTTCACCTGAGGACGGCTGCTTGCGTTGTGGCCAAAACGTCGTGAGAATTATTTTATTATGTTTTGGCCGAAACGTGAGAATTATTATATTATGTTTTATTTTTATTATTGTATTACTTCCCTTCTACGTGACTTTACCGAAAGAACCAAGAAGATGACTCCCTGCAGTTACGATAGCTTCTAATGTTATGGCGCAATGTCGAGGGGATTTACGCAGTGGTTGACACACTCCTCTATTGCACACATCAACCTATGGGTTCAGTTTTGAGATCCCAACTATGGCTAACAGCAGTGGCGAGTGATGTATGAACTGCTCCTGGGGCCCCCTTCATCACGACCAAAATTGGTAAGAGGTAAAGGTGTAGCTCTCTATGCTTGCTCGTACCACATCCGGCAGAAGGGACTCTGCTACATGGAGCTCTGAGGGCCCCTCTCGAGTGTATTTGGCCTGTGGGTGCAGCCCATGTTTAGTGAAAGTTGCCACAAAAATGTCTGTCTCGGGTGTGGATCAATCAACTTCAAGGACAGTGCATATATTATCAGAGTTATGTTTTTGTTTGCATTATGGCTGCAGGTATTGTGGTCTATGCAAACATGACTCCTTGTAAAAAAGGTGTCAGTTTTGTTGCCAGATAGAAGGGTAAAAAACCAATTATCATGTCTGTCGGCATTTATAAGCCTCTAATTTATAATTAGGTGGAACGGTGGCATAGTGATGCTCACGCTGCGCCATGAACCTGATGACTTGAGTTCGAGTCCCGGTCATGGCTAACATCAGTTGCGAGCGATATCTAAACCTGTACTGACCACCCCCTTTTCACCGATCCTCACTTACCAGTCGGAGGTGTGGTCAAACACTTCACACGGGGGAAAGCTTTCTTCAACTAGCAGTGAATTAACATTGGTTCATGAAGTTTGTTATTTTTTTCGAATTGTATATTTTTTCTAATTTCACAATAGGAGGAGTGCTGTTTGATCATGTCAATTATCTGCTTGCATAAGGTGGAGCACGATGGGTTGGTGGTGGAGTTCCTGGGTTTGTTTGAAGGCAGCGTGGATTCTTTGCATCTCAGCCCACAAGAGCGTTACAAGAAGGGCCAGAAGGTGAGAATTGTGCACAGGATTCCTGGCTCGCATGCCATCCTGCACTGTGGAGATCAAGACACAGACAATCTCTTAACAAAAAACTTGCTTAGCCTTAGGCGGGGAGACCCCTAATGGAACCTGTCCCTGTGCAGTACAAAATGAACACAATTTACTTCATTTTCATCCAGGAATCGACCCATCATTCCAGAATTATAACTTGCATGATGGTTTTAACTGTGTTAAATTTTTCGCGAACATATTCGTCATATACGAAAGTATTTTTTTTTAAACAAAATCTTAATCTTGAATGTTCTTGGGTCTTTCGGTAAAGTCACGTAGATTGGTTCAAAGAAAATAATCCAAAATAACAGAAAACTACGACGTTTCGATCGCAACGCAAGCGGTCGTCTTCAGGAAAAGGGGGGTGAGCTTCCAAGGGAAACTGTTTATAAGGGTTTGAAATGGGCATAGCCCAAATGTCAGCAGCCAATGATAATGTAAGTGTTCCGCAGCGAGCACGGCGGTGGTTCGTTTTCCACCAATCAAAGGAGAGAGGGTATTGAGACTTTGGAGACATCTAAAGACCAGGAAATACATATTTTTATAATTTCTCCATATCTTTTTTGTGGGGTTACTATTAATGGATCACACTGTTCAACAAAAGCCCCCTTGTCATTGTAACTTATTCTAAACAATTAGCAAAATTAATAATTATAATCTTCATTTAAACTGGAGGAATTTGATTAACTATGAAGCCCCTTTTTCACAGATGTCGAGTAAATTAAAATTCTACGTGACTACACTCTGCAGGCAGACATTGCTCCCACTTATTAGCGCTGAAGCTGGCCCACTAGCGCTCACATTACATACGCCAGCGACATTGTTTTCTCTTGTTTTGATTGTAAGATGGTATTGTTTACCAATGCTGGTAAACGCCGTAACACGAGTTTGTCGCGCCGGGCCCTGTTTTTTGTTTGCTCAGGTGAAGGTGTGCGTTCTGCACGTGATGCCCTCTTCCAAGCTGATTGGGCTCAGCACCCTGCCAGCGCTGCTGCAGCCGGGAAAACCAGTGTCGGACCCGATCGGTTTCACCATCGGTGACGTGTTTGAGGACTGTGCTATCTCCAGGTTCCTCACGGGTTCAGGCATCTTATTGGTGCTGCCCAACGGATCTTCTGCCTTCGTTCATGTAAATATTATTGCCTTGCAGACATTAATAATGTGTGTTTGTTTCCCTGTAAGTGTTGTACTTAATCATTAGCGGCAGTGATCTATCAACTGCTGGATGAAGGCCTTATGGTGTCACGGTGCAACGGTCCCATCTAATTCCTGTACACGTGATTGTTTTTAATTGCTCCATCTCTCTGTTAGACGTGATTCTCGGTCGTATTCCCACCTTTGGCTGCCACTTTTTATAACGTGGTTATAAATGATAACTTACAGCCCTCATCAATTCACTATGGATAATGGCCTTGTCTTGTGTTGGTCATGGGGCTTCACCACTGTGGTCAGTGCAGGACAAGTTCAGATGTCACTAGCCACTGATGTTAGATGTGACCAAGAATCAAACTCAGGTTGCTAGGTTTATAGAGCAGTGCATGAACTGCTGCTCCACCACTCTCCCCATTTGTAAGGAGATAGTGTTGAATATGCATTTGAAAATCCGACATTTAGGATATCTGCACTTTCATCATCTTGTCGATTTCTCATTTTATTGTAAATGTAATGATGTGCCCATTGCCAAAAATAGGGGGAAATTTGGAGGTGATATTTTTCATCTGTTTCATCAGGATGGGAGTGGTACCCTACGCGTCTTTCTGAGTGTAACCAGCGGGGGGGGGGGGGCACAATAATCTCTACCCACCTTCATATTTCATTAAGGTTAAAGCTGGAAAGAATAGTCCATTTTATGCTCTTTGGTTCTAATTTGTATTTAAAGCTTTCGTGACTGCAGGGATTCATATTCTTGGTTCTTTCGGTAAAGTCACATAGAAGGGAAATAATAAAAAATGAAAAATAAATATTTTATTATTAAGAATACAATAATATAAAAAAAAATATTATTTCCCTTCTACGTGACTTTACCGAAAGAACCAAAAATATACTCTTTGGTTCTTTCGGTAAAGTCTATACCTACGTGACTTTACCGAAAGAACCAAATAGTATGGATTCCTGCAGTCACGAAAGCTTCAATTCAAGTTCATTTTATGTTTCATTGATGGAAGAATTGAATCAACTACTCTTGGTGGTTGATTACTTGAGACCCTACGAGCCACGCTCGTCAGCGTGAAGCGACCGATGGTGCCGGTGATGTCACCAAGCCCTGCCCATCGCCTCCCGTCCAGTGGGGCATGATGTGGGATACAGAGTTGAGACTTTTCCACGTGATCTGATTAGTCAGATAATCAAACTGATAATTGATAGAGAAAGCTCTTGACAAATCACATAGCTCAGCTTGAGTTCAGTTTTTTTCGATTTTCTGCTGTGTTTGAATGCTGGAAATTATATTATCATTATAACTGTAGCAAGCATATTTGTATCTTCAACGTGCAGGTGAAACAGATTTCCGACAAGGAACGGCAGTTTCTAAGCGAAGACTCGAAGCACAAATGCCGCGTCATAGGCTTCAGCCACGTGGATCAAGCGGCAATCGCTTCCCTTCGGCAGTGAGTACCGTCTCTTGTCCACAGCGCTTCTCTGAGTTGCGCCCAGCAGCTCTCACACAGATCAAGTTGCTAAAACGATCAATTTACACGATGTTCTTTTCTTGTTTCCAGGAGTGTAATCGAAGGTCCTTTTATGCGCTACAGCGATCTTGAGCTCGGGCAGACCGTGGAGGTGAGCAGACGCCAATGCTCGCACTAGTTCCGCACACAATCACTCCGTGGTGCAATGATATTGATTTTAAATCGGACTGGCAGGACTGGTTCTCGTATTACCCGCCACTAGCTGCTGCGGCACGGCTCCATCCCTTCGACGCGATACACATTTGAATGGTTTTGTAGTGTCTCACGTGCATGGCTCGACAAAAGAGAGCGCCTGGCCTTATGCTCATGGCGTCGTCGTGTGCCACTCCTGATGGGCCCCCCCCCCCCCCCCAGTCACACCGCGTCTCTGTACCGTAGGGCACGGTGCTGGCGGTGGGCAAATTCGGCCTGCAGGTTCGCCTGACGGATCACGTGCGCGGCTTCGTGCCACTCGCCCACCTCGCGGACGTTGCTGTGCTCCACCCAGAGAAGAAGTTCAGCCCCGGCAACGAGGTCACCTGCAAGGTAGCTTGAACAATAAACTTGAATCTTCTTGGTTCTTTCGGTGAAGTCACGTAGAAGGGAAATAATAAAAAAATAAAAATATTAAAATTATTCTCACGACGTTTCGGCCACAACGCAAGCAGCCGTCCTCAGGTGAAGAAACAGGTCTGTCGGGAAGGCAGCGTCTGAATGAAACACCCCAGGCTTGGAGCGTATATTTAAGCTGGGTTGGAGGGGGAAGAGCGCCTTGACAAAATAATTTGCATATCAAGAGGAATCTAGCTTATTTATGGGAAATGCGGATATGGGATTAGTACTACTTGTGAAATGCATAGGAGGTGGGCGGGGGGTTTCAAAGTCATATTATGCCCGTGCATTATGCAGGATTAGCAGCATCAAAGGGAGGGGATAGGGGTAGCATTAATAAAGGGAAGGAATGTTAATAGTATGTAAATAAACTTGAATTCATAATCAACGTTTTTGGGTTTAGATTGCGTTATTTATAAATGTGTCGTAACCCTCCACCACCCGACACGGCCAATCAGTAAAAAAGTGTCACGTTGACAAAAGATAAATAGTGCACTGATTTAGTCCACAGGTGTGTTGAAGCGTGAAACCACAACATTTACAATTTTTGAGTACGACGTTTTGCTGGTAATTGCATCCAGCATCATCGGGCAAGTCGCCCGATGATGGTGGTGGAGGGTTACGACACATTTATAAATAACGCGATCTAAACCCAAAAACGTTGATTATGAATAATATTGGTCGCAAAAGCCTACGTGTTAAAATAAACTTGAAACTTGAAGGTACAGCGCCGTAGTGATGGGAAGGTTCCAGCGCCCTCTTTGTCCAACGGTCTTTGTTTTTATGACAATGTTAAACATATATATATATAAACTTTATGACAATGCTTAACATTGTCCACTCGAAATGGGCAGGCGCGAAAGTTCAGAGTGCATTGATCATAATTAAAGAACGTTAACATCATAACTGAACTTGTGTCAACTTGAACATCGCAAGATATGTGGCCTTTACGCCCCTTCCAGCAGCTAACCAAAAATACTATTCACCGGAACGTCAAACCCAAAAGTTAAATGTTCTAATATTTCTCTCCAAGTTTAACACGTAGGCTTTCGCGATCAATGTCATCCATAATACAGGTTTTTACTCTTGTGGTGTTACCCCAAAATGTAGTTTGAATCCAGGTACTACGATGAAGGCTAGCACAGTTGTGCTCTGTAGCCCTGCAGTGCTTGGCCATGTTTATCAGGAACTGAATTTCTAGGTGTTTTTTTTTTCCATTGAAATCTATATTGACACACAAGCATAACAATCCACTGTAATCGATCAACGAATCGTCCCGTCCCGAGAAAGCAAGAGGTTTACCGATATATTTGCAGTCACATGGACACTGTGACACTAACCCTCAATGAGTGAGGAGCTTGGTTATACTCCACAACCCGGATATTGCACCTTCAAAACCCGGTGAATAACTTTTTTTGAGAATTTGGTTAAAAAATAACTTATCGGTACCGCCCAGGGTGACAAATGCAAATGATTATATATTTGGAGCATTTTACCTCCAGATCACACATGGATATGATGGCAAACAAAAGGTTGTTCGCAGATAATATAGCTTTGGGAAACTAATAGTTGCGTGAATCATCTGTGGAATATGGCAACAAATATTAAGCGTGTCTGCAAACCAGACAGTAAGTGCGCTAATCTTTCTACCCACTGTGGACACACGAGTAGCGTTTGCCACTACAAGCGGTACCGACCACAACCCCTGTGGCTCACGTGATGTAACGCTGCCGTTGGTGAATGAAAACAAATGACCATGCTTATTGGCTCGCTTACCCCATCTGCAGGTGCTGAACTGCTGTGCGGAGAAGCACAAGCTGATGCTGACGCACAAGCGGGCGCTGGTGCGCTCCAAGCTCCGCCCGCTCGTCTCCTTCGAGAGCGCCGTGCCCGGCACGGTGGCTCACGGCACTGTGGTGTGCGTGCGTGACTTCGGCTGCATCGTGCGCTTTTACGGCGACGTCAAGGCCCTGGCGCGGCGCTCCGACCTGGGCCTCGACTTTGGCACCGACCCCACGCAGGCGTTCTACACCGGGCAGGTGAGGACCACGCTGGAGCGCCCGGAAACTACGGCGGGGTTGGGTTATTACAGGAAGCCACAATGTATGTTGAACGTGTTTCGTGCTGTACCTAACCAACCGTGCTAATCGGGAGGTGCAGGGGAAGGACAATAAATTAATCAGTAAAAGCAGTTCTAAAGAAATTAAGTGTAAAATCTAGGTTTAAAAGTGCATAGCTGTGGCTTCCTAATATCGGATGGAAGCGCGTTCCAGACGGCCGCAGAAACTCTGCTGAATGAACGCGATGCATGGACCGTCTTTGTTCGATGGCTAGCCAAAAGCTGCTACTGCGAGGATGACCGGAGTTTGCATGATGGTTTATGTCCCTTAATGAGTTCAGCATGATATGCAATAGAAAAATGAAACGGTTTTTTCATCGTGAAGTCAATTTTTGTGATGCTGCATTGGCAGTGGGTTGGCAAGCACAAATTATAGAATAGGAGACGTTTTGTGAACTGGCTATTCATCTCAAATATATAGAAGTATCATTGCCCAAAATGTTGGCTGCTCTCATGGGTTAATGACGGGGTGGGTAGCTTGGGATGGGTTCAGATATTACTCACCAGTGATGTAGGCCATGGCTTAGAGAAACGGAATTAAAGATTGTCTGGTTCAGAGTGCACTCACTAACCACAGTTTTACCAGCTCCACCCTCAGATGATTATTTTCAAATGAAGCAACTGGAACAGATGCTCCCATCATTGTGAAATTGAATTTGTATGTTTTTTTCTTGCGTGCCTCCTGAGCACAGGTGGTGAAGGCTATGGTCTTAAATTCTTCTCCAGCCGAGGAGAGAATGTTGGTTTCTCTGTCGGGGACGGTGAGTGGGAAGGAGACGCAGGATGCTGGGGGCCCCGTTCAGCAAACAAGCTTCGCCGTCGAAGTGGGCAAGGTGAGAGAGCGTTTCTGCAATGTGCACATCCTGCCTTCCACGTGAGATAAACATTCGGTGCTCCTGGGCAGCAGCCGTATGTGAAATGTTTTTTTTTAGATCGTATTATCTCGTAGCGTCGCACCGTTTGCAGCACGCTGTACGTAAGCTTTTGGTTTCAGATGTCTATGTTCTGAACATTTATAGTCCTGCACCAGATAGGTTTTTTTACACTGTTGCTGAGCACAGGTCCAATGTCGCAAATTTCAAACGGCCAGCAATAAACGACATTATCATAGTCGTAATAAATTAGATGTAACACATTTCTTGAATTGGGCAAGGTTATAAGAGCTTGATCAAGGAGACGATGGGAGGGAATTACACACATCTAGCAGTGCGAGCGAAGAAGCGGAGGAGGATAAGCATTTTTGCAAGTAGTATGAGCATCGAACGCGATATTGACGAGACAGACCCGCTGCGGAGAAGGTGTGTTCCCACGCGACAATTAACCCCCACCGTGTGCTCTGTCGGTGCCTGCCCAGTGCGTGGACGTGCAGGTGCGTTGCAAGTCGGAGAAGGGGCTGGACGTGACTGTCATGGATTCAGGAGCGCTGGGCTTCATGCCCATGATGCACCTCTCCGACAACGTGCACGTGTGCCGACTGCTGCTGGAACTTGTGGAGCCAGGCGACGTGATGAGCGCCACGTGTTTCAGCGAGCGCAATGGCAAAATTGTATCCTTGGCATCGTGCCCACGTGGTGGAGTTGGAGGGGGGGGCAGACGTTTGTACGACAGACTGGTGCACATGGCAACTGAAGGCCCTCCATCCTGTGGTGGATTGACAAAAACTAAGTAAAACTTTTATTTTTAACCAGGTAAGGCCCACTGAGACACAGCTCTTTCAGAAGCGAACTGGCCAAAAATGATAGCTCAACAAAGTGGCTTACCATGTGGAAATTTATAGCAGCCAAATACTCTAAACGCATGTTTCTAAAAAAGAGGCCGTACGTGCAATTGTACATTTAGTGATGTTTATTGTGTAACCTGTGCGATTGAAAGCCTGAATATAAGTGTATGCTCACCGTCGTGTTGAGCCTTTCCTGTGCTTTTGCATGTGTGCTGTTAAATGGCCTTAACCACCCATTAACGTCAGCTACTGACAAAGAAGCACGCTCTGCAGGTGGCGCTGTCCGGGAGCAATGTGCCAAAGACACTCGGCGACTTACAAGTGAGACCTTTCACATTACGTTGTTAAGAGTTTGAGTATTTAACACAAATAACTTATTTTCACAGTTGGCTATGTACAGTGCAAAATAAGTTAAACATACATATAAAAGCTTTGGAGTGGAGGGAACTTGTATCCGTTGAAGGAAGCAGCGACGGACAGAGAGAAGTGGAGTGACATGGCAAGGAGATATCGGTGAAAGAAATGGTCAGGCCCCAACGGTAAAAAAGGCCATGGGACTCGAAAAACATCGATGTGAAATCTATTAATACAAAAAATTAGTACATTTAAAAAATGACCTGTAAATTTCTCGTTTGGGAAAAAAAGGAGCTTTGCCTTTAGTGAAACTTGGCAGAACCCTTCTGGAAAAAGTTAGGCTTTGATTTTTTTTAAATGCCCCAAATTTTATACAGGTGTGGAAAATTGGCTGTTTTAAAATCCTTTATATTAAGTTCACTTGCTTGCGCGCTTACGACCGTGCACATTTTTCGGTCGTTTTTTAACCCACTTCCCGTGATCCAATCGAGCTGACATTTTGCACACAGACTCGTTGTGCGTGACAATTTATTTTCGTGAACATTTTTTTCCATAACTTTACACTTTTTAGGAATTTTTTAAATATTTAATTACCAATTGCTTAATGGTGGCAGGCAATCATCTGACCCATAGGTGGCAGCCATCTCAAGCCAGAGGACGAGAGGACTCTAGCCGCCACGCATATAAAGGATTTATAGTGAAAAACTTTGTTTTTACGGGTAAATTTTTCATTCACCATTTTCAATATGAAATGCAATACAAGAACATTTACAGATCTTCCCCCCCCCCTCCTCCCTGCTGCTGCAGGCTGGTATGCTGCTAGTTGGTGTGACGAGGAGAATGCTGCCGTACGGCGTGTCGGTGGAGTTCCCCTACTGCCCTCAGGGGAATGGCGTTCAAGACCGTAAGTGGAGGACTGTCACGCTCTCCGTGCCTTTACAAGAACCATTACTACAGCAGTAAAAGCCTGCACAAATGAAAATTCTCTTTCAAACTGAGCACTATTAAAATGTAACTGCCGGTTTGGTTTCCCTGCTGAGGGCCTCATAAGTTGTCATGGCTTCTGCACAGCTAAGATTCCACATGCCTAGCACTTAAAAACTGTCTCTATGGGCTCAAATGTCTGAATTTGTAAACACCACTTGTAATATTACCCCAGTTAAAACTATACCAAAAGATCCATTCGTAAGTCGTTTTGTATTGCCTAACTTAGCAATTCGTAGTATTGCAATAATCGCCCGTAAAATGAAAATCCACAGTTATTCACACGGTACTTTCCTTTTATCATCGATAGTTAATTGGTTTAAACGATGCATAGCTCCTGCACGAGCGAACCCAACTGACGAATAGATTTGGCCCTAACGCAAACTGTAAAGCGACGACAGATTCTCCAACCCCGTGGCAAGCGGGAACATTCCAGCGGCAAGAGCGGCTCGGCAAAGCTCACGCGTGCGCGTCGCCGATCATCCCCTTGCGAGCAGGCGCTCTCCGACGAGTACGTGGTGAGCTGCGAGGAGTTCTACTCGGTCGGGCAGACGGTGCTGGCGGCTGTGACCCGCGTGGACGAGGAGAAGAGCCACCTGGACATCTCTCTCCGAGTCTCCGAATGCCTGGCCGACGCTGCGCTCGAGGGGACCGCGCTGCTCAGCCAGGCCCTGCAGGAGGTCGTCCAGGCTCGAGCCTTGCTCGCCAGCAAAGGTCTCGGCTCCGATAGCGCCGTGCGCAGACGCAGCACGAGATGGCACCGGTGGGGGGGGGGGGCGGGGGGGTGGGGGGAGTTCAGGGGTTGGAAGTTTCCCCCATCATATGAATGTGGAATACCCACCAGGCAAATAAAAAGGAGATTATATATGTACGTTGAACTTCTTGGCACCATATGTAGCCAACCGTGCAAAAAGATAACCCAGATATGTAGCCAACCATGCTAAAGATAATTCAGTTATCTAAAATAATTCAGTTATCTTTTGAAGAGGAATAAACTACAGATTTTTTTGTACTTAAATAATACAATCTAACCGTGTTTGGTTGACATTTGGTAGAAACAGTATCGTGTAATACAATACAATATGGATTTAAAAAGCATCTGAATGTGTCGGCATGTCCATGACACTGCAAATGATAAGTAAAAATTTGTATGTTGAACTTCCTTCACGCACCGTATGTAGCCAACCGTGCTTATCGGGAGGTGCGGGGGGAGAACAACAAACTAACCACACTTCTATTGTGTCCCTGAAGTTACGTCTTACAATTAAAATGCACAACAGCTTGAAACTGCCCCCGATGCGTAAACTTCTTGTTTGTTTGCATTGAGCGACGAGCAATGAGGCGATGTCGTACGTGTAACTATCGTGCAGGCCGCGAGTTTCCCAAGCCGGGGCAGATGCTTGAAGGCGACGGTGGAGGAGGTTTCCGCCGATAAGTCCGTGGTGTTCAAATCGGAGAGCGCACCAGGCGTCTCGCTGAAGGCAACGGAACACCACGTGGAAGGTACGGCGACGTCAACTCTCGCGCTTCAACTTGTGTTCGATAAGTTTTTCTTCCGACTGCCGGACTCTTGGTCGACGAGAGAAGTCCTTTGACGGTGGCTTTGATCACAATTTTCTCACCTGGTGAAACATCACAATTTTTTCCCTAAAGGCAGTGTATTCCAAACTCCTAAAGGCAGTGTATTCACACTGCACACATCTGACGATTGATTGGTGAGCATATGCCATGTGATGCAAAAACATTGATTCAAATAAGTAGGGTGATCGTAGTGTGTAGGTGTATATCCCGAAAAATATGTGAATTTTATTCCGGGCTCTCTACGTGACTTGGGACATGTTTATAATATAGCGCGTAGAGCGTGCAAGCATTTTATTTGATCAGGGAAGATTGGCAAATGCTGATGTTGATGGATTGTGAGACCTGGCTTTTGGGAAAACCTGTCTTAAAGATTAATGAATGTACGGTTCACCTGCAGAATGGGGGGATGACATGGCCTAGCGGTGGTAGTGCGTTCTTGGTGGACGCGATGCGTTGTGTGGTGGGTCGTGCAGCGTGTTCTGTTTCTTGCAGGCCAGCAGTTGACCGTGGGGCAGGAGGTGTCCGCCCGGGTGCTGTTTGTGGACTTTTCTCGCCTCCACGGTGCACGTCAGCCTGAAGTCCGAGCTGTTGCCCAAGCGAAAGAAAAAAAAGCAAAAACAGGTACGGCCATATTGGGAGCCACCACGTTGGGTTGATGCCATGTGGTGTTTGCGGATTATCAATGCTGCGATCTCTCTGGTGTAGTTACAATGGCTATTGTGCCACTCAGCTGGTTTGCAGACATTTTAGTCAAGCAATGTGTTAAGTTTACTTGCCTGCAGGCTGTGGGTGCAGTAATTTTTTGATTTCTAATATACACTCGTACAGTTTCTGTGAGAAAGTTGAATTAACTTAAGCTTGCACACATACAGTCCTTTTGTGAATTTACTGCTGGATGAAGGCCTCCCCACAGCGTTGTTGTTTATGGGGGTTCTTTGGCCATTTCATCATGCTGGTCAGTGTGGGTCGATGGCCAGTTCAGATATCATTCCTAGCCATGGCCAGGAATGAGACTGAGAGCACAGAGCGCAAACCACTGCTCCACCCATTTGGTAATAAACAAAATTAAGTGTGTGTACTTTATTGCAATTCTGTTTGGATGAAACCGACTTGTAATTCATTGTTTTTGTCATGCAAAACGTAAGCGTACTTGAACAAGAAAACGTTAGACTTATCAAGGGAATACTCCCACTGAAGTTTCCCCGTTTTTAAAGTGGCCATTAATGTATCAACACTCTTGTTTTACGAGCTCGTTTTCGACATCAGCGTGTTTCCTCTTTTACGACCAATTCATTTGTCCGCTTTTATTAGGTGATCAGGAGGTGGTAACGATTAATGCCACCTCCCTCTCCTGAATTTGATGAATTGCACATTTTGGAAGAAGAATTCGATTTGGAATGGTTATTTTTGTTGTGTTTCTATTGTGTGGGGTTGGGGCATTCGTGCAGTTGTTTGTGCACGACTGGACTCTGAGCCCAGTGAACTGAGTTCAGTTCCCAGCCATGGTTAACATCTTATTCTTGGTTCTTTCGGTAAAGTCACGTAGAAGGGAAATAATAAAATAATAAAAATTAAACATAATAAAAATTATCACGCCGATGGTTAACATGTGACGAGTAGTATCTGATCAGTCTTACCCTGCAATGTCCTCTTACCAACCCGCACTAAGCATCTTGAAAAATGGTCAAAAAACCATGATATGGCATAGGAGAGCCGTTTTTCAGCAGTGGATTGACAAAGGGCTGTAATATATATGTATTCACCATTATTGTTTCTGTGCTGTGTGTCCTGTTTGCTGCGTCACATTTGTTACTTGAACATGCAACGTATGGAAATTCTCAAAATAACAAATTCGCCTTACGCACTCGATTCGATGCTCGTATTATGAGCATAAGAATCGATTTTAATCATTACCCACGTTCCTCTCTTCCACCTCTGCGCAGCTGTGCGAAGGCTACGTTTACTTTGCCACGGTGCAATTCATCGGCAGCGACCTGGCCGTCGCGTCGGTGGAAGAAAACTCTCACCTGATTTTCCTGCCCCTGGCCAACCACCTGAACGAGATGCTGCGCCCCAACTTGGGCTGGCTGAGGGTGGGGGAGAAGCTCAAGGTCGTGGTGAAGTGCGCCGACCCCGAGGAACACGACGGTGTCCTGGTAGCCGCGCCGGACTCCGGCCACTTGGGCAACAGCGCTTTCAGGACGAGAGCTCGGATGGCGTCTGTGAGTGAAGAGGGCGGCGAAGTGACCGACGGAGCGGACGCGGTGAAGGGTCGGGCGCTGCGACTCGGCGATGTCTACAAGGGCACGGTGAAGTCGTCGCGGGGCATGCGCGCCATGGTCACCCTGCCCGGCGGAATCGTGGGCCGCGTGCACGTGTCGGAGATCCGGGACGAGGCAACGACCGGACAGAAGCCAACGATGTCGCTCAAGGCCGGAGAGACGGTTGCCGTCAAAGTGATTGGTGGCCAGGAGATCAAGACGCACAAGTGAGGGGGGGGGGGGATCGTCTTGTATGTGTGTTGTGTGTGTTTGTGAGACGTGAAGCCGCTAGTTAATACGTGTGGGCCTGGGTTGGCTGTGTGGTCGGAGTGATCAGTTGGGATCACTGAAAATCCTCGGTTTGGATCGAGTTTCAGTCACCTGTGATTAAACCGTGTTTGCGCAATTGTAGTGAGTTGATTGCCTCTGCCCAATTACTGATGAGTGGACAAAAAAGCCCCATTATATTAAATGTGTATTTGGTGGGTTTTTGTTGTTGCTTAAATTGGCTATATTTTAACTTAGAATTTAATTTTTTTACTACCATACAGACATTTATCCATAGCAGGGGTTTGTTGACAGTGCTCCACTTAAGCGATGTGTGTTGAAGGGATTTCGGTAGCCGTTCTGTGGAATATTCCTTGGGCCGCAAGATTTTCAACCACATGGAGTGGTTGCTCCGCCAGAGTTTCAAATGGTTATTTTCTCACGTGTGATGGCAACATCACAATTGGGAGTAAAATTGTGTATATGCACACACAATCTATATTTGCTTAAAATGACTTGAAGTTTATGGGAAGGGGTTTGAATTCTTTAGATGCATTTTAATGACTTTTCAGAATCTGTTGCAATTTAATGGAATGTTTTTATTTTTGTTGCAGATATTTACCCATCACGCATCAGAATTTAGTAATACATTTGCCAGAGCTCACAATGAGACCCAGGTAAGGTCAAATCCCATCATATAACTGCATAATATTATCACAAATTACATTTAATGGAAGCAATGTTTCCCATTTCTTTTTTAATCAATTATTTGTATTCAAGCTTCCTTTGCATTCTGGATTGACATTTTTTTTACATTTGTCATTGCTGTGCAGTAAACTGAACAGTAATAACAAGGAAGACTACTGCATCCGATCAGCCAAGGAGTGCCTTGAGTCCTACCAACCCGGACAGACTATCACCTGCTTTGTCAACAAGGTATGCCAACAACACGATTGCTTTCCCCGATGTAATGAAACCATAATGGTAAATATTTTGTTTTCGTTTTTCTAGAGTCCGTGCATCAGCATTCCATCAGATTTGGAAATGGATCTGATTTTTGTTTCATGTAAACTAAAGGCTCCGAACGATGCAGAGCCACCCAATTGCTCGTATGCTTTATGCCTATTCAAATCCTGCCAACTGAGAACTGACTTTTCACCTCCTTTGCTTCGTCAACGTTAACCTCTCCCTGGCGTCTTGCCGATCGTGTATGCGTCTTCGTTCGCGTCGAGAGCCGTGGCTCGGCTGTGACCGGTAATCGGTGGCGTGTCTGTATTGTCGTCGTTCCTTTTAGTACCAGGAGGATCGGAAAGCCTTGTGGGTGGACGTGAATGCCGTGGTCAGTGGACGTGTGGAGCAACTCCTCATTAGCAACAAGCCGAAGGTGCGCACACTCTCTGCCAGATCCCCTTCGCTGCCGATTGATTCTGCTTCTGTTGCAAGGATCTGCGGCCAGCATGGAATCCGCCGTTTTATCTGCTTACGCCCTTGTCTGTGCGTGTGTGTGTTAAGGAGTTGCAGCAGATTTGGGGTTCATTATAATTGTAATTGCGTGATTTATATTGAATCTCAATCACAATTGAGAACAGATTGTGTTGTCCTTCCTCCGCACCTCCAAAGAAGTTCAACAAACATGCATACATACCTCCGATTCGCATGGTTGGCTACGTACGGTGCGAAATAAGTTCAGCACACATGATTACGATCTAAGTGTGAATTCTGCAAACAATGTTGCTCTCACTAAAATTATAATTGACCCCCCGAGGTGGGGGTCGTCACGGGGTCAGGGATGGTAAACGTACGTCATTGCACGCTCGGCGACAACCGTCAACAATTTCGGTACGTTTAATTGAGCTGTTCGGTGGTGTGGATGTTCACGTGTGGAGGTTCACGTGTGGAGGTTCACGTGTGGAGGTTAACGTGTGGAGGTTCACGTGTGGATGTTCACGTGTGGAGGTTCACGTGTGGATGTTCACGTGTGGAGGTTCACGTGTGGATGTTCACGTGTGGAGGTTCACGTGTGGAGGTTCAAGTGTGGAGGTTCAAGTGTGGATGTTCACGTGTGGATGTTCACGTGTGGATGTTCACGTGTGGATGTTCACGTGTGGATGTTCACCTGTGCATTACATGTAGCCCTCTCCCACCGCAGTTTCACACAAAACAAGCGCCCGGTGTAGCAAAGGGACATGGCATGGTGGTTGTTACACAACCCAGCCCTTGAAATCACTGATAGCACAAGATAACCCTTTGAAAACATGTATCTCAATGTAACCTTTAGTTCTGTTTAAATGTCAACGTTTAATTGGTATTAATCCTTAATGTATTAATTGAAGGTTTTCATACACTTGTAGTTGACTTTCATCACATGTTTGCTGTACTAGTAGTTGGGTACCCTACTTAAAAAGGTACCCTACTTAAAAAGGGGGACCGGTTTGTCCTCGGTGCAACTGTCACCTTGATGTTAAATTTAGCACGCGCATAGATGCATGAATTTGACATCCTCATCTTAGGAACTCAGAGCTCACTTGACAGCTTTTGATGTGATCGTGTATGAAACTGATACGATAAACCTTGTGTTGTTGCGACGCAGGTGTTGGATAATCCTCTGCAGAAGTTTCGCGTGGGATGCGCCGTGCAGGCCACCGTGGTTACTTGCAAGGTGGAGCAGGAGTTGCTCAGTCTCTCACTCTCTGGTATGTTCACCCTGCAGACCATGACACATGCCACACAACCATCATGACACCCAGAATTTAACGCACGGAGACATGACCTTGATTAAAGCCGCTCGGCTGAAATCGAACCCAGGATCTTGGCCACTGTGGCTTGACGTTCGACCCCTGAACCTCCCAGGAGCCACTTGCCAGCACAGCATGCACATTTAGGCTGAAGCAGAACGGTGAACGAGCGCATGGGTGAGTGACTCCGTCTCTGCGCGCGATGCACCGCAGGTGTGTACGAGCTGTCGCCTGGCACTTTGACGCTGGGACGCGTCAAGTGCATTCAGCCGGGCATCGGCCTGCTGCTGTCGCTACCGCTGGGCCACACGGGCAGGGTCTCGCTCACGGAGCTGAACGACTCCTTCGTGCAGAAGCCCCTGGCCGCCTTCGAGGAGGGACAGATTGTGCCGTGCTGTGTGCTGGAGAACGGAGGCAAGATGCGAGTCATGCTCTCGCTGCGCGATTCCAGGTGAGGCCAAATCGGAATCAGAAACTTTATTTCGACAGGAGGAATCCGATGAGCTATGGGTGGGTCAGCAAGTTTCAACAGCAAACAATAAAAAAAAGCGATAGGAGTGCAAAATAGAGGAAAAAAAGTATGCAAGTCACTACTTGTACATGAATAAATAAGTGATTGCTCATTTCATTATATAAGTCAGATTTTTCAAGCTTGGGCAAGACAGCAAAAACAACAACTAAACAGTCCCAGACCACACCAAGATAACACACATTAGTCCCTCAATAAAACGGTACATTAACTTGGAACTATCAGTACAAATCACGTTTGAGAATGTGGCTGTATCCAGATTGGGGTCGAGCGTTCCGCCCCACGGGAGCCTCACCTTTGACCCCGTTCTGTGTGTCTGAGACAGCCTTGCTCGTCGCGACGCTCGTTTGCGGAATCCTTATTTGCGACGTGCGAAAGTGTTTTCAGGTGCGCTTCTGCGGCCGTCTGGAATGCTCTTCCTTACCATATTAGGGAGCCACTCGGAGCTATGCACTTTGAAATCTAGATTGAAAACTCGTTTCTTTAGAACTGATTTTTGTGTTTTGCTTGTTTTCCTTGCCCCCACACCTCCCATTAGCACGATTGGCTACTTGCGGTGCAAAATAAGTTCAACATACGGACATACGTAATGCGGTGATGGGCTTTTCCACGTTCATGTTTTTAGGGTGAAACCGCCGACGGGCGATGAAGAGGCAGTGGTGAAGGACAAGGAGCTGTCATCTGTGGAGGACCTCACGGTGGGCTCTGTGATCCGTGGCTACGTCCACACTATTGTCAACAACCAAGTCTTGGTCAAGTGAGCATTCTTCCTGTGATTATAAGATTGGGGCACGTGACTAGATGGACCCTATTGGGAGGCACCCAAGTGCTTGCGTCAAAGTGCACTCAACATTTTTATTTTGTCACGTGAATTACAGCATACATTTTTACATTCTTGTTGAGAAATTTCTCCTTCAAAACTGATACATTAAAACGCATGCGTTATCTTAAAGAGGAAAAGACACGTGTTTTGTCTAATGCATGATTTCTCTTTTTTTTTATTATAGTCGTAAATATTGTTGCACAAACAGCACTGTACCCTTCAGGCTAAACTTTGAAAGGCAATACTCAGACACAAGATTGATGGTGGCACTTATTTTTGAAATATATTTTCCTGCATGCAGTCAAGTTTTTGTTCTCAAGACTTAATCCATCGTGTGCTTCATTGCGTTGTGCTTCGGTGTGTGTGGGGCGCGGTCCTGTAGCGTTAGCGCGCTGTACGACAAACCCTGCGACCTAAGTTCGATTCCCGCTCATGGCCAACACCAGTGACAGTTATCTGAACAGGTTTTGGTTCTCCCCGAGGTCGACACAAGCCTGAGTACCTGGTGCGATGTTTAAAAACATTGCCACTTGGGAGATGAAAGCGGCCAGGCATGGCGCTGGCCACCCACCCCCTCGTGTGCCATTCCGGCCTTCATAGGTCCTCGCTAACAGCACTAGTCCAAACATTTTGTTACGGCTATCGGTGGGATCCTTAGTCTTCCGTGTGGGGAGCGGCAGCACAACGGTTAGCGCACTTGCGCTACGAAGCCAACCACCCGAGTTCAATTACCGCTCATGGCCACACCAGTGACGATTATCTAAACCAGTCCTGGGCCTCCGCTAGGTTGACTCGGCCTAAAATGACGACGTGGTGCGGTGTGTAAACATCAGCACAGGGGATATATAGGTGGCCGGACCTGGCGCTGGCTACTCACCCTCATTGTGCTGTGCTGGCTCTCATAGGTGCTCGCTAACAACACCTGTCCCAAAAGTCTGTTATTAGGCTCTACGAGTGATCTTTGTCTTTGTGTCGCTTGATCAGCTTGTCGTGGTGCGTGATGGGCCGGATCTCACTCCGCAACCTGTCCAAGTACTTTGTAAGTGACTCTTCACTCATGGAGAGGCACATTCACAAGGGCGGGCTCATCTCTGTGAAAGTGCTCAGGTAATGTTTCCATTGAAGTCTGAGTGTATGCATGTGCCAGTACAATAGCAAACAATCTTAGTACTCTTGTAAATTTAGTATTACCTGGTTTATAACAATGTTACCTGGTCTATAATCATCTTAGGAAAATTATAATATAAAATGTAAACACTTGCATCATTTAACGTTTCCAAATGCCCGAAATATTGCCTAATTATGTAGTTTTCCTTTGAGGCAATTTTTCTGACAGGAGGTCCCATAATGTGTTGGTTTATTTGTTTTAATCTGTGCTTACGTACCACCGCCAACGCAGGATGGCCAAATATTTATTTTTATCTCAGGTAATTTTAGTTTGGTAATGATTATATTAGCTATCAGGAATGCACCTGATCTTGGAGATTAAGGGGAGGGGTTGAACATCACTTGGATGGACCACCACCTTGCGCAACAGGTGTGCTATAAGCTGCAGGGTCATGTTGTGTGTGGCAATTTACAGTGCAGCAAAATCGCGTACTTCTGTGCTTCCACGGCTATGTTGCCCATTTCCGCATATCCTGCACTGACCAGCGTGGTGAAATATGGTCAAAGCTTTTATTCAATTTCCATAGCAATCACCGCCCCCTGCTGCAAAAGCTTGGCAGGACTGGGATGAAAAAGAGTTGAGACTCAGTGAAGCTTTCCTAGTTAAATAACCATAATAATCCCTGCAACTCGCACAGCATGGGAGGGCCTACATTGGTAATGAACTGTAAATGCTAAATTTTAAAAAAATTTAACGGGATGTTGAGTTCGGAGAATTTGGCACAATTTACCAACAATTTTTTTATTTTCCTTTATTTCTTAATGTATGGGATTCCATTCAGTCAGAATCATAATATTTATACTGGAGGAATCCGATGAGCTATAAAGCTCTTTTTTAACAGATGATCAGTCAGGGCTTCAAAGTTAAAAGCGTGTTCCGGAGCGGGTCGTTGACAACACAAGGTAACAGTTGAAAAGCCAACAGTGGTAGCAACCCCGCTGCCAGAGCGCATTACATGATTAACTTTCCAAATTTGACCATCAGCAATGGATTTACAAAGTGCCCGTAGAGTAAAAAAAAAAATTGTACTGACTTGGGCACGCATGGCCTACTCTTTCAGCGCCACGGTGCCTCACCTGGTTTGCAGGAGCTCGTGGGTTCAATCCCAACCCTGACGCCGGTATATTTGAAGTTTGCATGTTCTCCCCGTGGTCACATGGAATTATTTCCGGATCCTCCGGTTTTTCCCTCCACATTTAGAAATTAGGCATTTAGAGTATTTGGCTGCAATACATTTGCACGTGATACGCCACTTCGTTGAGCTATCATTTGTGGCCAAGTCGCTTCTGGAAAATAGCTATATAGCTCAGTGGGCCTTACTTGGTAAAATAGAAATAACATTTAATTAGCTTGGTTGAGTTTTTAGAATAACGCCACAGGATCTTCAGCACGTATATATATTTATTACGTCTTTGCGTCTTACCCCTCCGCACTGCAGCGTCGACGCGGAGACCAAGAGGGTGGAGCTGTCTTCCCTGCCGAACGACACGGGAGGCAAGGACTTGTTCCCGGGCTCGATAGGGCTGAGGCTGTGGCGGAAGAATGACGACAAAGACAAGACTCGCAAGAGGAAGGCGGAGGCGGATACCGCCGAGCCGGTCCCTGAGGTGAAGGCCGTGCAGCCACGCTCGGCTAAAATCCCGAGCGAGGGGATTAAAGAAAAGAAAATTAAAATTAATAAAAGTAAAATAAAAAATCACGACGTTTGGGAGGCAACACAAGCTTCCGTCTTCAGGTGGAAGCTTGTGTTGCCTCCGAAATGTCGTGATTTTTTATTTTACTTTTATTAATTTTATTTTTTACCTACGTCACTTTACCGAAAAAAACCTATGAGTATGAATCCTTGCAGTCACGAAAGTTTCAAATTTAGGATTAAAGAAAGTCGGTGGCATCGCTACGGAGTGTGCAGGCAGTGCGACTTGCACGGAAGCTTTAAAAGGAGAGATGCAGCCCAAACGACTAACGGCTCTTGTGCGATTTGTTTTTTTTTCTGTGTGTCGGCACAGACTGTCGGGCCCAACATTTAGAAGCTTTGATAAGTGGAGGAAAAGGCGACATTTGTCAAAACGCGTCGTTATGACCCCTTCATGACATCATTTGTGACGACACCTGTGTGTTTTTATACACGCGTGCAATGATGTACATTTGAGTGCTATGGCAGAATGCCTGACTGTGATGTTAAAGTCTTTTTTTTTATCATTTATGAAGCTTCAAGCTCGTGCCACGCAGCCAAGCCCGGGATCCACAGGCTAGTTAGATACGTTTCTATCTCAAATATGAGCCGCGTGTTTTTGGTGATGTGCCTTGTTTTAAGCAAACTAATGTAAGAAGGCGTGGTACCGTAGCTTGGATTAGACTGATTACTCTTAACTTACTGATTGTGCAATTAACACGATGATTTGTGTATTCTTCAAGGAAAAGAAGAAGAAAAAGAGGAAAACAGAAACGGAGAAAGCGGAGGAGTGCACGGACAGCGGCGTTGAGATTTACTTCCGAGAGGGCGGGGATGACAGTGAAACCGAGAAGAAGGTTTGAAAATTTAGATTTTTTAAATCTCAAAATGTAGAATGTATATTTAATTTCGGCGTCATCTTTTTCCCACGAATGATCGGTTTGCGGTGCAGTACACAAACTCACTAATGCACCGCCGTGGAGCATTGTGGGTAAAAGCAATTGCATTGAACAGAGGTTTCGTAGTTTGCATGGAGTGCTCTTGCCAAAAAAACACGTGGTAATCCATCGTTTGTTTAACAAACCTGACTGCTGATGATGGCCAGAAGGTTGAAACCAGTCCAGAGTTTTGTTTGATTAAACAAATGCTGCTTATTAATGTTGGTTTGGAAGGCCAAAAGTGGGATTGACTACTAGGTATTTAGTTTTATATTTGTATGTGGAAACATTGCATGGTGTTCTGCTTATTTTTCCATTGTGATATTTTTTCTATGACTGCATACCTGCATGTGTGCAGGTGAAGTTGTTGTAGTGGAGAATGTCCAGGTGCTGATATATATACACACACGAAGCTAACATTTGATGTAATGTCTTCTTCAGAACCAAAAATGTAAAAAGAATGCTGGAGACTAACTTTTAGTTGGAGACAGCATTTTTACATCCAACAGCTCGCAGCGCGACCCATTTTAATGGCATAAAATACATGACTATTGATTGAGAAATGCGTTTGGCATACGTACATATGGGGATGTTTCAGATGCCAAATCTGAAGAAGCAAAATACCCTCAAGCCATTTGTTCACATACCCCATGCAGAGGACTCCCTTGAGGAGGAGTCACGAGACTCAGCGAGACTTCTCCCGTGCTAATCAAACTCCGCCGTCGCCGCCATGAGTTGTGATGAAGGGGAAGACTAAAGCCAGGTGGCGGGATACGCTGAAGGCGGCGGGCCTTGAAGGTTGTTACGCGTCTACCGTGTGTGGCAGCTGCGGGATGTGGTGGACGGGAGATGGGCATTTGCAAGGTGTGGTGGCATCGCTCGGCTTTTGCAACGGCGACGTCTTGACCTTGTTGTTGTTGCGCGCAGGGCAGCGCAAAGGCGGAGCGCGGCGCAGCCTCCCTCGAGCGGCTGCAGGTGCCGGGCTCATTCAGCTGGGACGCCTCTCTCGCCTCCCTGCAAACGGGCATTCTGGGAGCTCGCAACGGGGGAGGCGGCATTGACACCAGCGGCGACGAGGATGACGCCGACACAGCGGTAAATCGCACAAAATGCCGGCGAGCCGATAAAATCAAAACTCAAGGGCAAACACTGCAGTTGTTTTTAGAGATGTGTAATTATATTGGCATGATACCAGCAGCCACCTGGGATCATAATGCCAATATATGGACCCACGCTTTGGCAGTCTGTGGTGTCAGAGCAGGTACTTTTAAAGCACAGTCAGATGAGGCAGCCTCGCGTGATTTCCGAGTTTCATTAGCTGATGAAGCTCAAAGCAGTTTCAGTGAAACGTCGTCGTATTTTGACGTACAATTTAGTCAAGATAAATAATCGGTGCTTATAAATAATACCTGCAAACCTGTTTGGTGGTGGGAGGGGGTGGGTAATTATAAGAACTTTAGCATAAAACTACCATGTGGCCTCCCTCTAAAACAAATATAGATTCATAATAACTATAGATTGTGAAACGATACAGCCCACGGAGGCCGATCGGTTACCCACCCCTGGTCTAAGGGAATAACCTGGCGCATCTCCGTGTGCGTTTGCCTAACGGCGGATCTCTCCATCCCTCGAGCAGGGCCAGCAGAAGAAGAAGCAGCGGAAGAACAGGCAAGAGGCCTTCGCCGAGCGCAAGCGCGAGGAGAAGGAGCTGGCGCAGCTGGAGGCGCGGCTGGCTGACCCGTCGCGCGTGCCGCAGTCAGTCGACGACTTTGACCGCCTGGTGCTGAGCTCACCCAACAGCTCGCTCGTATGGCTGCAGTACATGGCGTTCCACCTGCAGGCCACCGAGGTGGACAGGGCCCGCGCCGTGGCGGAGCGAGCGCTCAAGACCATCTCCTTCAGGTGAGCGGCCGACCGGGATCGTGCGCGGGATTACTGGTGCGCCCTTCGGGATGTGGGGTCAAGTCGAGGTTGGCCGTGTCTCTCTCTTTTCCTGCTCAAGTGTTTTTCAAGGGAAATGGGTAAGAGTCGGGCAGGCCCCTGAGTCTCGTGGCAGGGGCTGCTGTATCCAAAGAGCGATATTTTGGTTTCTGGGAAATATTGCATGGACGGGCATTTGACAATTTGCAACCCCGAGTTAGTCCATGTGCTTCAACTCTTGAAGATGCCCGCAGAGTAGTGCACGATGACACCTTGTGAAAATAAATGCTAAATGTGTGGCCTGACCCATAAAACTTGACTTGTATTACGAGTGACCACGAAAACCAGGGTATGCATAGCAGCATGTCTGTTCTCATGCACACACTTGAAATGCTTGCATCGTGGGCTTTGCAACCGATTGCATTTTTTTATTGCAATTTATAAAGTGCATAAAGGCATCTCGAGATTCGGCAAAAACTTAAGCACGGTAAAGCCTTTAATGGCAGAATGAAAATGAGGAAAAATATGAAAAGCAATGGCATGCGGAGATTTCCGCTGGGATCCTTATGAGCTCCGTCCACTTGGCCGATTCATTCGCGTTGATGCCAACCCTCGCGCAGAACCCGAGTTCATCGTGGCTTTCCGCTCTCTTTGAGCTTCTGAATCTGAACATATCATTAGCATGTTAAAAATAATTGCGTGCTTAACTGTGATCAGTCTGAAAATAATATGCCAAAGGCAATTAATTATTTAACATTTATTTATGATAATTCATTATTAATGTGTTCTCACGTGGCATAGTAGTTTTTGCGCCGATTTCCATTTGCTTCATCGCTGTACTATACTTGCCTTGTTTTGATTTTGTTATTTCGGTTACAAATCAATCGCTCTTCTTTTGAGTTCTTGCCTGGTGTAATGAAAACATTTGTACTTGAAATGTATTACAGAGAGGAGCAGGAGAAGCTGAATGTGTGGGTGGCACTGCTGAACCTGGAGAATCTGTACGGAGACGAGGCTTCGCTGATGCGCGCGTTCGAGCGTGCCGTGCAGCACAACGACGCGCTCAAGGCGTTCCAGCACCTCGCGCAGATCTACATCGGCTCGGACAAGTTCCAGGTAACGAAGGTTGAAAACTGCGAGCGGTAAAAATATGAAATGCTCTGCTGATGAACATTTTCGTTGCACATTTTCCGCAATCGTAAACACACTGCAAAGCAAAATAAATGTGTATTTTTAAGAGGGAGGATGGCTCGAATCTCCGATTAGCACAGTTGGCAACGTGTACGGTGCATGGCATTGGGAGGGCCATCATCCAACAGTGGATTGACAAAAGAGATGTACATTTCTGTGCATGCACCACAACTTTAACATGTGGTATTTCAGCACATTGAAACGCAGTTGCATTTAGCTGCTCTATAAATATCATTAACTATTTGCGACTCAGTGTTATTGGGTCCACTTAATTGATACAAATAATAATTCACAAGTTACATTATCGAATTAAGGGCTGCGCTTATGGTACCCTTCTATCGTGTTTTGCGAACCGGGTTAAATCAAGAGCTCGGGGGGGGCGAGCGCGATGTTACCGCTAAGCTTGCGAGCATCTCGGCGATAACTGCACCTCCTCCTTGTGTCCACCGTGGGGTGCCGCAGCAAGCGGACGTTCTCTACAACAAGATGCTGCGCCGGTTCCGGCAGGAGAAAGCCGTGTGGCTGGCCTATGGAAGCTTCCTGGTTCAGCGCGGACAGACGGACTCGGCCCGCCGCCTCATGCAGCGCGCGCTCAAGAGCCTGCCCGAACGAGAACGTACGCTCGCACGCACACACAAAGGCAAACAGGTTCCACCCGTGTATAGGCTGTAGCAGACTGTCGGGGCAAGTGCTGTTAGCGAGCACCTGTTAAAGGCCGGCATGGCACACGGAGGAGGTGGTTGGCCAGCACCACGCCCCGACCGCTTTTGTCCCCTTAGTGGCCATGTTTACACACTGCACCAGGTACTCATTTGAGGCTGAGTCGACCTAGCAGAGGCCCAGGACCGGTTCAAAGAATCGTCACTGGTGTCGACCGTGAGCGCGAATTGAACTCTGGTCGCCGGGTTCGTAGCGCAGCGCGTTAACCACTACACTACCGCTCCTCCACGCGGTCTTGCGTTTAGAAAGATCTAACCCAGAATAAGCTATCTTCCTAGGCAGTGTCCAACACTATCCGGCATGAGTGCATTGCCTCGATAATATGTAATCTGGCTTCGTGAGTTCATATCGTCTCTGCATGTGATCACTTTTGTGTTCTTCTTGTCTCCAGGTCCCTTGTCTCGTTGAATTTGCTTTTTAATCTCACCGCGTGGCATCTGTTTGTCACCAATTGGATAACCGCGTTGTAAAATGTAATTCTTGAAGAGTGATGTCACCAGAATACTGTAATGGTACTCCTGGCCATAAGTTTAATTTCTCGGTGCCGAAACGTATTGCTCATGTGAGAAAGCACGCGATTTACAGCCGAGGAGTTACCTCCAAGATAAAAGCTGTTTGTTTTCTGGTCTGTTTCTTGAATGCACTAAGACAAAGACCTCCATATAATCTTACAGACTGCTTGGGCAAGTGCTGACAGTGAGCACTTGTGATTGGTGTCACGAGCACCACACCCGGCTGCATTGTCTCCCAATGATGATCTTAGCACATGGAGCCAGATACTCATTGAAGGCTTCGTCAGCCTATGCGAGGCCCAGGGACCGGTCCAGCTATCACTCGCCACCGATGTCAGTTGTGCAAGGGAATATAAAAACTCGGGTTACCGGGTTTGTATCGCAGCGTGTGCGAACCATTACCGTCGCCTTGAATACACGCCTACACACATGCACACAAGTAATGCTCGACTTCCCACTCGCTCGGCCGCCCCTCCCCTCCACAGCCCCTGGAGGTTGAAATACATCGCGGTGCCCTCATTTGTATACTGATTTGTTCACCATGAACCGTAGATTGTTGGCGGGTGAGGGCGGCGTCCTTTCTTGCAGAGGGGGACTGAGAGCATTTGACATCACTCAGAGAAGCATTCTGGCTCAATGGTCCATGACTTGATTGCAACAAACCAGCTTTTACTTGCTTATTGTCGTGAGTCACGACATGACAGCAGATCTGAGCATTGTTAGTTTTAATTGCCAACATTCCTTAGGAGTTTTGTTTATGTTAGAAAACAAAAAATAACCCTTTAACACACACTAAAACATGTTTTTGCATATTGTATATTTACAAATCCTATGGTTTTCTAGGCAAGTTGAAATCTTCACTTGACAAATTTGGCCTGCGCCACGCCATGTGCATCTTTCTTCTGGCTTTGCAATTTTGTACGTCCTTGTGAATTAGATATTTGCTTATAAAAGCTGATGCAGCAGCAACTGCAGCTTGTTTTCAGATGAGATGTTGACACTTCCATGTGTTGAAGGTTATTAATGATTGTCGTTTTTTGTTGACCTAATGATTTATTTTTTCGTGAGGCCTTGATATGAGCACAGGGAATGCAAACGTTATGTGCATGGGTGTATTTAGTGGGGTACAGCTGGTGCATCTACCAGTCATCTCACTCAGCCAACTCATGGTACCTGGGTCTGTCTTGGAGGCCTATCAGCGAGCCTTCGACACTTCACGTGGCCTCAGAGTGCACCTGGCCTGGCACAGGCGGTCACCATCACTTAGTGGCGAATGGCGGCTATTGGGATTAAGTGCCCTCATTTCCTGTACCATCAACTAAATGCGCGACTTTCAGTTCTACTTTTAGTCCTCTCATCAGATGCACTTCATGCAACTATGTAAGCCACAGTTATTGGAATCCTGGTTTTTAGTATCTATTTCTGCTGTAGGGCTACGCTTACGTCAACTTGGACTAAACTGCATGTGGGTTACCACAACCACCACCCCTCGTGATTTTCCATTCTCATCTGAATGCTCATTGACAGTTCTCTTTGCTTCGGGCTTTAAAGGAGCCACTTTTTCCGACATACAAAGAAACAATTCACCCCCCCCCCCCTCCATGCAGCTTTAATTTATCGTTTTATAATCAATGTTAAACTAACGAGTAAGTAATGGTTTTATTGGTGCATTTGTGTGTGTTTGGCATGGGTTCGCATGCCATCGAGTGACCTCAACCAAAGGGTCCTTGGCAGAGGTAGAAAACACAATCCGAACCGCTTGCTCAGAGCACTTGTGGGGAAGGGGAGGGGGTTCTTTGGCACCGCACGTCACACAATGGCAGGAAAGCCTTCAAATCCCCCATCATCAGCTCGACCGCCGCGCTCAGTTTCTACCGGCAGCGCTCGGTTTCTACCGGCAGCAGCAAAGCTCGCAGTGTCATCGGCAAAAATCGCCGCTGGCAGCGAACGGTAAACAATGCCGCCAAGGCGCGTAGCGTTTCTTAAAATAATCTCTTGGGTTGTTTTTTTTGCGCGCGTTTGCTTCTGTTCTTGGAACTTGACGGCGACGGCTATAACAACGCGAGCAACGTGCCTGGGGTCTCAATTGGCGCCGTGTCCATTGCTGCCGCTGCTGCTCCTGCTCTAGTGTAGTGTTACTGTACACGACGAGCCGAGGTGGCGGGGACCGCCCCTGTGCAAAAGCCCGGCAAAATATTTGCGGGCGCGTTGTGGTTATAACGCACGGGTCTTTGTGGGGAAGGAGGAAAAAAAAAGCAATGCTGCATGATTGAACATGCGACTGGATGCATTGTACTGGTTGAAACAAGGAGGACGAGTACCACGTGCTTTGGTGTAGATTTATTTTTGCTCGACTTATTAGGATTAAATCCATTGATAGCAGGGGAGGGGAGAGGCCTTCATTCAGCAATGGTTTGATCGTCGCTGATACGATAATAACCGTGTGTCAGCATTAACTGGTAACGTTTAACCAGGCTTTTCTAAATTCATCATCCCAAAATAGGTCATTGTGTGCGCTTTGGTTTCTGCATCCACATGAAACAAGGCAGCCATTTGGAATGGCTTGGGAGGATTCTCCCTTTGCTCTTATGATCTTCAATGCATTTGTTTAGTTTTGCCGGTAGAACCTTTGGCATGTGCACTAAGTCTTATTTTTACTGGTTGTGAAGGTATTTCCTTTTTCCTAAACTAATTTGTGTTCATTATTATTGGTAGTAGGTAAATAAAGCAAACAAAACCGTGCAAATAAAACCGATAAAGCCAAAGAATACAAAAGCAGATGTCAAAATTGAGACAAAGAATCCATTCTTTACTCGATTTGCTGGTTGAGTGACTCATTGCAAGCTACCATCTCGCCATCAGTCTGTTGTTGGGTGGTCTGTAAGGCATGATGAGGTCGCCTTGCGGAGGTTGTGATGTCGTGGGCGTTCACAGGGAGCAGTGTGGCTCGTAACTGGCAGTTCTTCCCCCCTCTAATTTTTGCTATTGGGTAAAAAGAGAACTTTCAAATCTTGATATTAAAATAAATACAAGCGCCAGCCAATACACTTTCCTATTCTTTGGGTCTTTCGGTAAAGCCACGTAGATAGAAAAATAATAAAATAATAACAATATGACGACGTTTCGATTGCAACACAAGCAATCGTCATCAGGTGAAAAATATAGCAGGAGCGCTGCTAAGGCAGAGTGTGAAAAGGTTTCGGTTTTATAACACCCTGCCTTAGTGCTCCGCCATATTTTTTTCCTGCCTCAGAAACTCTCCCGCTATATTTTTCACCTGATGACGATTGCTTGTGTTGCGATCGAAACGTCGTGATATTGTTATTATTTTATTAATTTTCTATCTACGTGGCTTTACCGAAAGACCCTAAAAATATGAATTCCTGCAGTCACGAAAGTCAATATTTAATAGACTTTCCGAAAGTCACGAATAGACATGGAGGGCTTCCGTTTGATATCAATATTATGTTTGTAGGTATATTGGGTGGATAAACAATGTATATTTGCAGAACGGAAGAAATTAACAAACAGGTTGTGGCTGTGAAAATCACCGTATGAAATGTATCACATTTACATTCAGCTGCTTTACAAGTGTGTGCTTTTCTTCCACTTGATTGTACATGACCATTTGTCAGTCCACTGCTGAATGTGTGCCTTGCCGCCCTTTCACGGCACGTGGGGGGCTCTTTGACCATACTCCGCCGTCGTCCTGGTCAGTGCGTGTCGGTGAAGGTGGGGAGCTTCGACAATGAGAGTCTACAAGCCCAGCGCAATCATATTTTTGTACCACCCTCCACGTTGGGCCGCAAGCCCTTTGACAACCTGTTTGTGCACCGTGGCCACCCATCCACACACTATCCAGGCTCAAATCTGTTTAGCTCCCAAGGTCTCAATGGTTCGGGCGCATGGAGACTGATTTATCCTGGTGTGGTCTGGGACTGTTTTTGTTGTTGTTTAGCTGCCTTGCCCCACTACCTTGCATTTCACGTCGAAAAATTGTCAGGAATACATGTACTTAGACAAATTTACTTATATACTTTATTTATGTATTAATGTATTTTTCATGTCTTGCTAACCTCTTTACTCTTTTGCACTCATGTATCGTTTTTTTGGTTTTTTTTGTATTGTTTTGCTGTAACTTGCTGACCTACCCCGACTGAACATCTGTGAAAAAGAGCTTCTTAGCTCATCAGATTCCTCCGGTCTAAATCAAGATTTCTGATTCCGATCGGTGCCCCTGTTTAGATCGTCTTCAATGACGATTCTTCCTAAAGTGCACATTGCTGTGTTGCTTGAACTGTTATTTATTAATGCTGTCTTCTGTCCACCCACTCACCTCCCACCCCCTCCCTGAACCTGACCCAGACGTGGACGTGATCGTGAAGTTCGCGCAGCTCGATTTCCGCTCGGGTGACGTGGAGCACGGAGTGGCCGTGTTTGAGAGCACGCTGAGCAGCTACCCGAAGCGCACGGACATCTGGTCCATCTACATTGACATGCTGGCCAAGCATGGCACCGCACAGCAGATCCGGCAAGTGATTAACATGAGCGCCCTCCTCTCACACACACACCGCTCACCGGCACGCGCAGAGATAGAATGCTTTGTTCCAGCGTGCAAGCGCCCAAGCTGTCGGGAAATAATTTTCAGCCATGGTGTATCGACGGCTGGATGAAGGCCTTCCCAGGCCATTACCGTTCCTCGCAGTCCAGTGCTGTTACCTCTTTCGTCTCCTGCAGCTGAACTGATTTCAGGCTCCATCTCTGCAGTGGTTGTTTCTTGGATGCGTTCTCATCTTTGTGGCTGCCGTTCTTTCACAAGCCTGGTCCGTCGGGCGTCATCTCTTCTCGCAATGTGTTCCGCCCAATCCCATTTTGCTTTTAGGCGTTGTCAATGTCATGTCTGTGTCTTTTTCCTGATCCATTTGTCTGTGTCTCCATGCAATTCCCAGCATGTTCTTCTCCATGCGTCTTTGTCCACTGTTCTGCTTTTGTGTTCCGTTTATCAGTGTCCATGTTTCTGATTCCTATGCCAGAGCCAGCAGTATGCACTGATTTAAAACTCTTTTCTTAAGACACATTAGTATGCTACTTGGCATTATCATGTAAATAAACTAAAAACATCATGATGCGCAGTCATGATTGATTGTGGGTATCAAATAAGGCAGGGGGTTGTCCCTCTGCAAAAAAGTTTAATTACATTTCAGTCCATCGGCCTGTCTGACAGCATTTGTGTATGCAGAATAATTCTGCACTGCTTCAGTCGGGCCATTAGTTCGCCATTCATGATGCTGTTAACCCTTTACTGTCCCGATGACGTCCGTGTACGTCATCGGGACAGAACCGGAAGAAGAAAAATAAATAACTATCAGTTCCGAGGCTCCCACAAGGCCATGCGGGGGAGGGCGTGTGTGGCACAGTTTGGAGCCAGCTATCATAGAGTGCGGTCGTGTAGCTGCAGTTCCCTGCCGTGAGTAAAATGGCTTTAAAAACAACGGCGCTACGCCTCTCTAAATAAAATGTACGCTGAACCGCTTGTGCGTTCTGAGATTCAGTGGTGAACGGGACACCCATCCTGCAACTCGCATTTGTCTCGGAACGAGAAAAGGTGTTCGAAGCAATCATCTCTTTTTGCAAGGGAGTTGATTAAACGGGAGAATTGGGCTCCATAAGGACACGGGCGATCACGAGCGCAAGCGCAGATATAAACTGTGGGGAGTTTTACAGCGTGTTCCATTATTGGGTACACGTACCCTACTTTTACCTTGTGCTTATTTGGTGCGTACATACTCCTGCGAGTCGCTTCATTCCAAGAGCAAAAATTCTGAAACAAAAATGTTTAACGCAAGAATAATTTGAAAAGTAGGGTGTGCCCACCTAGATTACCTTCTTGTAAAACATTCACCTTTCATCATCGCCATTCATTATTTCGGTCTCTGTGATGGAGTTTCTTGATGATGGCATTAGCATCATTCCACACATCCGTGGTGACGATATGGGTGTGGGCTGCATTTGTGACATTGCACAGATTGGTTTTGGGTATGTGTAATATAATTTTATTGCAGTGGTGGCATCTTGCCAGTGACATTCAAGACTGCCCAGCGTGCATTTGTTTACTCGTCAGACTTTATTGACTGCAAAATCACGCACAGACCCCAAATGGCTTCCGAGATGGAGCGTCGCTGAGAGATTGCTGGGGTGGGCGGGTTAATCAGGGTCCAGTTATTCGAGTACACGGAACAAACGTGTTTGTTTTTGTGTTAGGAAACTCATCCCTGCAAAGTTGGTTTTGAGAAATATCTATAAATGATACTTTTAATATGTACGGCAGTTCCACAAACATGTTTTGTCGGTTACAGAGAGAACACGTAGACGGATCATTTTTATTTTACATAAAAAATGGCAATCGTGTAGATTTAGTTTCTGGGAACATGAAAACCTGAAATAATTGGACCAGATATTAATGTGTCTGTTTTCTTGTTCTGCGACTGATGTTTGTCGAATTGCATTACAGGACTTGTACATTGTTGACCTGCGTGTATACTAGTTCCTGCTTCATGCAGTCGCTGACGAGGGTAATCTAAATGCTTAAAATGCTGGCACGTTCAGCATAAATGAAAGGATGTATCAACACCGACATAACCACACAGACAAATAGCACTGTACAAATAGGTGCCTATGTAAACTTATAACATATTTAAATGTTACAGCACAAATCGTGACTAGATATTCAAATCCATAACTGATAATAAAAAAACATCATTACATAAATTGCCACGTCAGTGCAGTTCTTCAGTAATTGGTGGTTTTGCTATACGCATTGGCTGAGAGATTTTGTCATGCAATGCACGTTTTGTGTGTTACTGAGACTTTGTTTTCTGGCCTGCACTTATATGTCTCTGAGTTTTCACATCATATATATTTGAATTATTGTTACCATTTGGCAAACTGATGGGTTTCCCATGGTGTCAAAGTGGGCGTCTAATATGTGTGAGGCAGACTTGGCAGCAATGAGCGTTCGTGTCTGCACTCTACAGATAGGTCGTAATAATGACAGAGCCAATCTACAGTTGTCTCTTTGTCTCACCCACTGCCTGTCGGTTTGTCGCATTTGCTCAATTGACTTAAGAAAAGATATCAGTTCTTCAGGAAGCGCTGGTATTGCATAGTGCATTGGCTCAGAGCTTTGTCCATGCGGCGCACGTTTTTGTCCATTGTGTGATTAACTCCGCGAAACTGACGATGCACACGCTGTTTACGTTGGTCATCAAAATGTTGTGAACCCACGTGCCCATTTGCCATCGGTGTAGCTGGTGCTGCCACGTTCCTCATCGAGCATTTGAGCCATCCCCAGGATGTGAAAGTCACCCGTAGTGTGAGTCAACGTTGCAGGATAAGGTTTTGGGTCTGAGTAATGAGCCCTTCTGGTTTTAACACAGATGTGAGTGAAATGTATTTTAATGTGGAAAAGTGCAAAATGAACCTTGAGTCGTGAGTAACTTAGGTAATTACTGTATCATTTCTAGTGAATAACTCATTAACTACAGCCTTACATTTTAAGTGCAATGTTACTTTGAACTGCTCTGCAACAGCTTCCAAATCTGAGAGTTTCTTAATAAGTATCCTTCTAAAACATATTCTTTCAAAAACTCTTTATAATTTATATTCCAAAATAACAAGAACTGCATTTTAGTTTTGTGGTGCACGTTACATACCACCCCCTCACGCACCCCAAACATCACATGACCGCTCGTTCACATGCAGCAACATTGCAATGTGTGCTTTTAAGCACATATGGATGTCACTTGTAAATAATCCGTTCAAACGCCATTGAATGTCCCCCCCTCCCTCCACCTCCACCCCCCCCCCCTCCCGTCCATCCTGCAGTATAAATGGCTGCACCAAAGTTAGTCGATCGGCAAGTCGCGTGCCGTGGGGTGTAGCGGTGTGGGTACTCGCCACTTTCACGACATCTGGCCAGCGTGGAAGAGTAGGCCAAAAATACCATCCGGGGGGGGAGGCTGTCTAGAGCACCCTTGCTTCAGTGGAAGCCCATTCCGCCACCAGTTGCGTGAGCCAGCAATTTGCAGGGCCCACGCACCTTGACTCTGTACCTGGCTTAACCGTAAGAGCTGATGTTCGTGCTGTCGTACGTATGCATGTTGAACTTCTGTCGCACCGTACGTAGCCAACCGTGCTCTCATCGGAGGCGTAGCGATGTCATGACATTGTTGCGTGTGCGTCGTGTTCACCGTGCAGGGCCGTGTTCGAACGCGTCGTCCACATGAACTTCTCGCCCAAGCGGATGAAGTTCTTCTTCAAACGCTACTTGGACTACGAGCGCAAGCACGGCGATGCCGCGTCTGTGCAGCGCGTTCGGCAAAAGGCCCTGGAGTACGTGGAGGAGAAGAGCAGCGTCGGGGCGAAGCAGTAGCCTCCCCTCCCCCGTTGCCGTGTTGGGGGCGGGGGGTGTGCGGAGAAGGTCACGCAACTTTCTTTTTTTTTACGTAAATTATAGCATGACGAGCATATCTGTGCCAGCTCGTGCTGATTTGCCTTGGAGAAGGGGTGGGGGCAGTATGACATGGGGTTAACTCGGATAAGGTTGCGATATAAAAGTCATTTATATATATAATTACAAGGATGACCGTGTCAAATACGTTACAAGAAGTAACGCTTTCAAAGGCCGTTCCGAAAGATTTCCCCGCAGCGAATTTTCCAGAGCAGTGTTCACATTGTCGTCATGTAATATACGGTGTGTGTTGGTACCTTGCTGGTTTGTGGGTTCATAAAGAGATCTAAATAAAAGGCGATTTTTTTTCCCGAACACGAAGCCCTGTGTGCTGTTTAGATATGGAACAACGCGAGTCGGACAGCAGGAGCTCTGATCTTGCGCAGATTAAAAGGCCATTGTGGGTAATAAACATTTATTATTTTGGCTTGTATTAATATGAGTGTTACTTAACAGGCATTACTTTTTTTTTTTCTTCTTGGTTTTTTCGGTAAAGTCACGTAGAAGGGAAGTAATAAAATAATAAAAATAAAACAATAAAACAATTCTCACGACGTTTCAGCCACAGCGCAAGCAACCGTCCTCAGGTGAAAACCAGGTCCGTCGAGGCGACAGAGCCTTCTTATCCCGGAGCTTTTAAGCTCCGGGATAAGAAGGCTCAGAAGGCTCAGCTAATCGAGTCTCTCACCTTTCTGAAGAGATGCCGCGACTCTAAGACTCTGATCAGCGTGGTTGGCTACATACGGTGCGAAAGAAGTTCATCACACATACTTGAAGGGTTGTTTTCCCATACTTTACCTTTTCTGGTCAGTTTGATTTTGTGAAATGGCAAGATAATATAGGGTGAACTCATCCATCAATCAGTGATGTAAGCTACGACTGGGAATTTAACTCGGGGTGCCGGGAATCATAGTGCAGTGCACAAACCACTGCAACTGCACTTCCCTCTATTCTTGTAAACTTATCTGCCAGTTTTAATAATTAAGATTTTAAAAAGTGTACAAATTAACCTGTACAACTGTTCCACTTGCCCGCAGTTGTCCTTCCCCAACACCGATTTGTCTGTCCTCCACACCTCTAATTAGCACGATTGGCAAGGTACGGTGTGAAAGAAGTTCAACACGCAATGCTATGGGAACCTCATTTGCCAGTAAAATATGATAATTGGTTTTTTACCCTTCTATCTGGCAACAAAACTGACACCTTTTTACAAGGAGTCATGTTTGCATAGACCGCAATACCTGCAGTCATAATACAAACAAAAAACACAACTCTGATAATGTGCACTGTCCTTGAAGTTGATTGGTCCACACCCGAGACAGCTTTCCTTAGAGTCTAGTCTCAAGGACAGTGCACATTATCAGAGTTATGTTCTTTTGTTTGTATTATGACTGCAGGTATTGCGGTCTATGCAAACATGACTCCTTGTAAAAAGGTGTCAGTTTTGTTGCCAGATAGAAGGGTAAAAAACCAATTAGCACACGCAAAGCTTTCATGAATTCGGAATCTTGTGCTCCAGTGGTGTGACTGGTTTGGTGTTTCTCCTCTCGCCAGCATGGCAATGTGTTCATCGCCATGGTGCTTTGCGAAAACTGAGAATTACCAAAGGCTGTAATTATTAACGCGCGGAATTTACCCATTGTGGCGAGTGTTGCAATGCTAGTGTCATCAGGTCACCAAGCTTGGCTCGCTTATGCAACTGCTTACGGTTCGGCTTGTTACCTCTTTAATCGGCATTAACAGTGCTGTGTTTATAAAATCGGTTACAAAATGTCCTGCCATTGTTGCTGGGATCTTAAATAGGCCTGCTGATTGCTTTTAATAGCGGGATGTCATTCATTCTTAAATCTTTTTTTAAATGTTCAGATTTAAGCCAAAGCGCACAGCTGATATGATGTAAGGCTTCGGGGCAACTTGCTACGTGCAGCAGCATCTTATAGAGAACCTTTTGCCTAATGCCACGATATTGGACAAGGCTTCACTTGGTGTGAAGTTGTAATTGCAAATAAGTGCCTGGGAATAGTGTCATTTTAGTGCATTGCAGCTAATTATGAAACCCGCTGCTCTGTTTGAACACGATTAGGTCGTTCGATGAATCTCCGTGGCTGTAGATTTCCACTCAGTCGGGGCGGTTTCTCGGCTGTATCATTTTGCTGCACCCCCCCCCCCCCCCCCACAGCCTCACTGTCGTGTTGTTGAGATGTCGTTGGCCAGAAGTGCCGACCAATTACGTTGGAAAATGTTGAAAAATGCTCATCATGTTGAAGCGTAATTCCCTTTAAGTTGTATGCATAAACATAAATTAACGTTTGTAAATTCCTCAATTGTGGTTCTTAGTCACATTAAAGGATGTTATTTGTAAACAACCACCTTGCTTATTTTCGTTTTCATGTGCATTAAAATTGAAATCCTTAGAATCATAAGCCGATCCTGGTGTATGCCCGTGACAAATCATTGTTTTTTAATCTGGCTCTTTGTATTGAAGTTTCTCTCATCTCTTGTTCTAAACCACATCAAAGCTCCCGCGGTGAACGACCACGCGTTGCTTTGGTTCCATGCGGTTAAAAGTGGTTGGTGACTTTCAACTGGCATCCAGTTCTCATTTGCAGTTTTGAATCTTCGGCGTTAAAACTGCGAGCAGCCTTGGCCCCAATTCGAATCTGCCCGCTTATACGACACGGGTCTCCGGGCCAACTTTGGTGGGGTGCCCTGCCACCGGCCGCCTCTCCGATGTCACATATCGTGTGACAGGGTGACAGCGTGACAGCGTGACAGGGAGTGACATGCCGAGCAAAAGCGCCGCCAGTGTGCATCGGCTATGGCGCCCTCGCCCGCTGCTAGGCTAGGCTGTGTGCCAGCCGTGGTGGCTGGCGGCACACTGTTGCAGCACTTGCCAACTGGGCTTGTCAGGGCATTCTCACACTTTGGAGACTTGTGCTACTTTTGTGCTGGGTTGTGCAGTGCCTCCCCACCCCGTGCCTGCGTCACTGCCATCTCGTCCCAGTGCTTGTGGGTGTGTCTGCACGCACAGGGTAACTGTTGATGCAAGCTATACGGTAATCTGTGTAGATTGCTATTGCAGTATGAGGTGGCTGGTGAGTGAAATGTTTTGTAATCGTGAATGCGCACCCGTGTCACGTAATACGTCAAACTTGGGCACAAGCGAGAATTGCACAATTTAGCTTTCGGCATAAACCCAACTTTCCACGTGTACTTTTACCCAAATTCAGCTCAATGCTCTGCAGTTAGGAAGAAGGGAGCTTTTACAATTTTAGAAACTCAATATGAACCTTTGTCGATGCCTACGAAAACAACAAATATTTTAATGGGACCGTGGCTTTCAAGGGCATCCGCGATGTTCGTCGCTGGTCGCCCTTGGGCTGTTCGACAAGGATGAGACGCTCACGCGCCCGACGCGAATTAGCGGAGTCCAGTTTTGCGTTGAGACGAGGGAGGGAGAGGGGCATTGCAAATTACTCATTGCGTTCATCGACTCGTGCAGGCAAAAACTCGTTCGAAAATCCCCGCCTCTGCAGATTTCATACCCACCCACCCACACTCATGACAAATCGAGGGGCGGATATTTAATTGAGCAATATGAAGGAATGTAGCTTGCATTGGTGTTGCGCGCAGGCTTTTGTTCATTGCTGACAACGTTGGAATAATTGGGCGCGAGTCATTTTTTTTGACGTTTGAAGCCACAGCCCTATTGCATCAGCGGCACAATCACGGAAACTCGCTCGGCTGTTTGGATTTAGTACCGCTGGTTTAGATTAGCGGTCTTCTCGTATGCGTTTATTGTTGTTTGCCGATTACCAAAGTGGGCTTTCGTGGTGCGGAGCGATGAGCGTTATTTCGGAGGGTCGTTTCACGATCGATTGGTGATGGGGAAGGCGTTTCTTTTTTAAATCCTTTATATTAAGTTCGCGTGCTTGCTTGCTTGCTTAGGACCGTGCAAATCTTTCGGTCGTTTTTTAACCCACTTCCCGTGATCCAATCGAGCTGACATTTTGCACACAGACTCGTTGTGTCAGACAATTATTGTTCGTGAAAAAAAATTCCCAAAATTTTACACTTTTTAGGCAAAAAAAATGTATTTTACATATATTCAAATAGAACTAATTCATGGCTTTGGCTGAACGTCAGAGTGTAAGAGCCCAGAGCGTAACCCCTCCACATGCCGTGGTGGAGTAGCGCAGTTGGTAGCGCCCTCGCTTCCCATGCCAAAGGTCGCGGGATCGATCCCCGCGTCCTCCACAGGCGAATATATTTTTAAATCCTTTATATTAAGTTCGCTGCCACGCATATAAAGGATTTATAGTGAAAAACTTTGTTTTTACGGGTTATACTTATTATAACGTAATAATTTTCGAGAATCATCTGGTCATTTCTTTCTAGATTTGAAGCTTTCGTGAATGCAAGGATTCATATTCTTAGGTTTTTTCGGTAAAGTCACGTAGGTAAAACATTAAAATTAATAAAAGTAAAATAAAATAAAATCACGACGTTTCGGAGGCAACACAAGCTTCCGTCTTCAGGTGGAACCGTCACAGCCACGACAGATGTATCAAGTAAATGAGAGATTACAAGAGCTACCACTCCGTTTATATAATGGTTGGAGAGGGGGGGGGCAAGTAAAGCACACTTTTTATTCATATGTTAAGGTGAGGCTTAAGACTAAGCATAGACTGCATAACAAAGGCTGAGCCTTTGTTATGGAGAGGTACGGTTATTTTACTTTTATTAATTTTAATGTTTTACCTACTTTTATTAATTTTAATGTTTTACCTACGTGACTTTACCGAAAAAAACCTAAGAATATGGTCATTTCTTGTTTGAGTATAATTCCATCGCATGGAAACATCTTGGCACAACAGCAAAAATGAAGTTACTCACGCGCGCGCACTCAAAACTGTCCTTGGCCCCGTTTTTGTTTTTCGTATTTATTAAATGCGAGCATTTTTTCCATGGAAACACATCGTCGACAAATGCAAGTTACCCTCTAACAATACAAATAACTTTTTTTTGTAATGTTTTTTTCCCTCGGTTTTTGTTTCTTTATTTACCTAGAATCTGGTAATAAATATGTACAGGCTCGTTTCGACAAGAAACAGACAGCAAGCGGACCGCCACCACCACCACCGAACGGCAATGGTGCAAAATTGGCATTTGTTGAGGACCCAATATCACAAGCTGTGGTGCACCAACAGCAGCAGACTGAGGCACAATTGCTGGGCGTTGGCAACATCCCTTCAGAGGGCAGCAGGCGGGGAGGTAACGGCATTTTCCATCGATCCCCATCGCACAAACCACAACGACCGCAACGCATCCAAGTCTCGTGCCCTTGAAATCCATCCGCGATGTCGTGCATATCACTGGAGATTCTTGGTCGGGGGCCCTTTAAAAAAAAAAACACTTTTGAAAAACAAAAATTTGAATTGCGCTACTGAAACACTTGGAAGAGCACTGAACCAGGGCAATTTCACCTGATTTTATTTTTAAATCCTTTATATTAAATTCGCTTGCTTGCTTAGGACCGTGCTAATCTTTCTGTCGTTTTTTAACCCACTTCCCGTGATCCAATCGAGCTGACATTTTCCACACATACTCGTTGTGCGTGACAATTAATGTTCGTGAAAATTTATTTCCAAAATTTTACACTTTTTAGGACAAAAATATTATATTTAATTACCAATTGCTTAATGGTGCAATGCAATCACCCGACCCATAGGTGGCAGTCATCTCAAGCCAGAGGACTAGAGGACTCTAGCCGCCACGCATATAAAGGATTTATAGTGAAAAACTTTGTTTTTACTGGTTATACTTATTACTGCGTCTCCACACTGTTCAGAAACTCCGTGCCAGTGCAGTCCCAATTGGGTGATGTATTTTGCACTAAAGTACCATTCGATTGCGTGTTTCACAATTGGTTTGATTTTTGGCAGGTTCAGTGTTCTGTTTTTCCTTATACCTTTCATAACGCTTTTAAATTTGTAAATATAACAAAAACAATTTCACAAGTGGGCTAAATTTCGTCTTCATGCAAATAATGGTGTTTCTTTTGTTACTGAAGTGGATATACCGGGGCATCCCTTCCCTGAATTAGCTCGCTATTTCGAGGACACACTGTACTGAGTATTGGTGACATCCGCAGTACGGTGGCTATGGGAGACTGCATGTTTCTTACAAAAATTCCTATCGCGATCCAGCCGAGCATCTTTCGTGCCACCCCAGGAAGCGCACGACCCTTATCAGCGTCTTTCCTTCACCTCCCTCCAACTTCGACTTTCATTTTGTTCCTTCGTGAGTTCAGCAATGCCCTGCTTCAGTGCTACTTAAGAGCAAGTGGGTGCGAGTACAAGTGTGAAGGACCCTGGTTTACTGATATCTCCTTGTGTTTTGTCTTTCTTTAGGCAGCTGTGTATACATTGATATATCGTATATATGTCTAGAGGATTTTTTTCCACTGAATTTTTGCACACGTGTAGGCGGGCCAGTGATATGTTTGGCGGGGGGGGAATAAGATTTCTATTCAATGACTTGATTAGTAATTGAATAGAAAGATAAACATGTTCTTTAGACTTTCTCTACACAGTATTTTTAAGAGGATAGTTCTTCCCAACGAGAAGATACAGGCCCGTTGCGGATATTAACAGCGGTGAATATTTTCGAAACGTTAATATTTACGTAAGCTCGAAGCGGGTGGTCACTAGCCATTGGATTAAATTGGATTGGAAGAGGCCTTTTTTGTTGAAACACTTTTTTGACGTGCTAGCTTGCACTGTGGCATTTCCTTTGCACCTTCAGGTATTCACTTGTATGTATGGTGAACTTCTTTCGCACCGTACAAAGCCAACCGTGCTAACTGGAGGTGCACTCCCCTCTGCTCCATGTAAACATGGGCTGCGAAAAACATTCTCCAGGAGATCTCCACGCACGGAGTACAAGAGTAACAGAACCATCGGCGCACGCTGATCGGAAACTGGTATGGATAACTAAATGAAACTGCTCCTCTGTAACCCGCGGGACAAGCGCCACCTCTAATTGATGAATTAAAGCAGGCAATCGTTTGCTGCCTGTATTTTACTTGGTGTCTGTTCCCACATTGGATGCTGTATATATATTTACAAAAACTAATTCAAATTCTTTTACAAAATTACCTTTTGTTCATCTTAATTATGGCATAAATCCCAAGGCCATAGTCCTTGCATATCGCGCAATGAATACCGGACCTGATACATTCTTTTTAAACACTTTCATGATATTTGACAAGCTTTTTTTCTTCCTCTCATAGTTTTCAACCTCCTGGGGCAACGTTCTTCTGAACGTTCAGGGTAACTGTCCAGGCTGGTGCTATGTTTTTACCAGTGTGGTTTCACCTGATGTAGCTTAAAAAGGGGCATTGTGTCAAATATTGGGCTTATTTCCAGACTTGAGATGAGAAACCGATTGTACTCACGTTTCACGATTTAACCTCAAAAGGGGGAAACATTTTGCCATCGCTTGAAGCAGAAAATCCCACACTGTGCCGAGCTATCGTTTACATTGTCGTGCAATAGTAAAAAATAAATCCTGTTTAACATAACAAAATAACACTGTAATATGTAAAAAAATTAAAAGCTTAACTGTAAAAATAAATTAATGATTACAATAACAAAACGAGGCTTTCACAATAAATATCAAATAGCAATTTGTAGTCATTTTAACTTACAATTATAAATTTCAAGTTGTAAACAATCAGGCACAGGGTAGTGTTGCTAATCTACAAGTCTGACATTGATGTGTTTTAGAACCGTAAGAATTGGATGAAGATGTTATTTTGTGGTGGAAATGTTGATCGTCAAAGTCAGCATTGCCTTCTGCTCGAAAATATGGTTCGGAAAGGAGCGGGTCAATATTGTTGGGCCTTTTTGGACGCGTGCTTGTAAAGTGGCCGACGGACAGGCCAACCTTGTTCACGGTTGTTCACGTTCAGATTTTTCATGAAAACCCCACAAGAGGTCTTCATTTCCAAACAACGGGATACATTCCCAAAATGGATTTCGTTTCAGCCTTTGTCAAAAGAGCAACCAGGGCCAATTCAATAGATGTTATTTCATGAAACCAACCTGTCACGTCCAAATAGAAATATGTTCAGTCAAACATACGCCTCTTGGCTTTTTGCTTCTGAGCGAAACACTGGATATTAAATACAACTCGAGCATCAATGAATGGCACCTGTGGAGGGTGAACCGTGGTAATTAAATCGACCACTGTAACAGAATTGGTTCATTCCATATTCAGTCTTGCAGATGTGATGTTTGCAGTGAATTCATATGTGCAGAGCAAACCAACTACTCTCCATAGAGGTCTCTCCTTGCACGATCAACTTTGCCAGCGTACCAATGATCCCAAATGATATTAACAAACTTTCTGTAGACCTCCAAAATCATACATCTTGCACATCACCAGGTACAAACATAACATAATTACCTTGCCATTTAAGTAAAAATAAAAACTATCATAAAAATGTACAGTATTACACAGAATAACTTACAATAATAATGTTCAAGTCCTTATCACAATTTCCTCTGCGTTGCCCTCATAACTATAACCACACATCACCAACATTTAACGTGGCTTTAAACTTTGGTGTTATTCCTTCACAGCAAAACTTTGTTTCAAAGCTTTCCTTATACTAATATTTGTCGATAGATGATGCAGTATTTTACACTATAATTCATCGTCATTTTCACAGCCTTGTCCTCTAGAAATCTGTTATATTACTCAGGTCTCCTTTCCCCGCCTGTGTAATTTTAGCGAAGGTGGAAATAATGCAAAAAAAAAGGCTCGTCATTTTGACTCCCCTTTCTTTAACAAAACGGACCATTAGCATAAAAAAAGCAGATGTGATGCTGAGCAAAAGTGAGCTCTTGACAGCGTGTGCCCATAGCGAGTGACAGGGGAGCAGCTGCAGGCGGCAGCAGCAGCAGCATTCGCAACCGGGCAACAGCGGTTGACGCGACAGACCGCTTGCTGCGCACGCCCTGCGATGGTCTGAAGCGGGGCTCTTCCAACGTCCATACTGGTAAACGCAGGCCCGTCACGACGATGGGCCCACTACCACTCGCACCAACTTTGCGTTCTCCCCCAACAGTCCCTTTTAAAAACTTCGCAAGTCCAAACTTCGTCGGTGGCGGCGGCGGCATCCGGTGCCCGTCGCGACGACCCCCGGAAAAAATGGAGCCAAGGTGCCCCCCGCCGTCAAACGACGGCACGCGGTCACGAAACAAAGAATCCCTTCTTTTGTTATTTACACCGCGGAGAAGCCGCCGCTGGGCCCTTCGGCCCCGTAGAGCGCCGCTCGCGAGATCCGCTGCCCGTCGACGGGGCAGCCCAAGGAGCTCGGTGACCCCAGGGCGCCCACGCCGAGGCCGAGGTCCCCGGAGTCGCTCGTGTCGCTCGCATCCCCGGACTCGGCCGACGGCAGCAGCCGCTGGCGCTGCGTCGGCTCGAAGGAGGCCGGCTCGCCCTGGCTCCTGATGGCCTTGGAGCCAGGCAGCAGGATGGGCGTGATGCACATGGGGCACGACTTGCGGATCTCTAGCCAGCGCACCAGGCACCTGTGATGGATGAGGAGGAGGAGGTGAGTCAGGCTCAGCGTCGGGTGAAGAAAAAAATGCCATATCCTGAGGACGTTCTTAACGTGGAACAATATGTTGTCAGGTGCTGGCTGGGAGATTGTTTTGTCACATACTGGGGAGCTACTTTGGTATGTTTTGTTTGCTGGGAGCTTGAGTTCCTGGAGAAGCTGCCAGCATGTGACAACATAATGCATCCGGAACTGAAGGCAAATATATCGTCTCGGGAGCTGAAGGAGCACATGGACGACATGGTGCCGAACAATACGTGGTGACACAACCAGAAAACGCATATGAAAGCCGTACAGCACAAGCGCGAAAAAACTGCGCAGTAGTTATATTTAAATTGTGTCGGTGGCGTCAAAGGCCGAGACGAAGAAAAGCACGTTGGGAACTCTCGCGGCGAGCAATGCCCGTAGCATTGCGGAGCGGCCACTGGAAAGTTACATCAAAGATTGCCTCCGAGAGTCATTTCCATAGACCTCTGGCAACAGGACACACCGCGCGCGGTGTCTGTCGCGTAACAAACCGGACTTTGTCGTTCTCAGAGATGGAACTGGTGTATTGAAAACGCCGATTCGTTAAAAAAAATTGGTGCGGCCGAGGGAAATGTATTATTTTTTTGCAACCAAATCATCTGTGACAACGGGCACATGCAGGAATGAACCTGCATTCGCGAAGTCAGCGATAAGCATATCATTTTTGACCTGTGACATATATGAATATTATCTTTAATGTATACCACGTAATTCTAGATTTGAAGCTTTCGTGACTGCAATGATTCATATTCTTAGGTTTTTTCGGTAAAGTCACGTAGGTATTTTATTTTATTTTTATTAATTTTTATTAATTTTGATGTTTTACCTACGTGACTTTACCGAAAAAACCTAAGAATATGTATACCACGTACTGAAAGTGAATCAACAAACTTGATTTGAAGCTTTCTTGACTGCAGGAATTACTCTTTGGTTCTTTCGGTAAAGTCACGTAGAAAGAAAATAAATTAAATAATAGAGTACGACGTTTCAATTGCAACACAAGCAGCCATCATCAGGTAGAACTAAATTTGAGAGAGAGACAAAACACAGACACACAGACAGACACACAAGCAGAGAGCCAACACAGAGACACACAGAGAGAGACACAAAACATAGTTGTTGTGTCTCTCTCGGTGTTGTTGAGTAAAGCACCAACATTTATTGTCTTGTGTGTTTATGAAATTGTAAGCTCTTAAAAAATTGAGACCTTTAAACGTTCTCAGAATTTGTTCTGTAACATCCGCTTCTGTGGGCCACTCTCACAAGAAGGGTTCACAGCTGCAGCGTAAATTCCAAATAGATCATTCGTCACGAGACACGACGCCAAAAGCACAATTGGGTTAAAGTTTGGAAAATTATTCTTGCAGGAATGAGATGTATCCAACAATTATTAATGTGCGATGTTCCCTTTGCAGTCGTATTAAGGGCTATGAAATTATCACAATGAAACAAGAGGATACGGTTACTGGAATCCAAAAATAGAACACCCACATAGAGCAGCTGGCAGCTGTTAATCACTCCTATTTGGCTGGGAGACACACATGTTCCTCACCCACATATCATGGACACTGTTCGTATTCAAGAATGCTTTGAAGCGGGTAGCTGTTTAATGTGAAATGGGAGTTATTATACTCCTCTGCACTTGAATGCTAAAATTGTTGCTCTGCCAATATGTATGTTTTGCAATTGGCAAGGCGAGCGAGTATAACATCTGCAGGGGCACTTGGTTATAAAAAGTTTGCCCCTTTAACGGAGAAGAATAAACAGCTTCCCAGCAGGCACTGCTTGGATGGTGGATTTGGAGAGATGAGACGAAGCCACCGCTATTATATAATCTCATCTTGTTCAAACCTGCTGTCAAAACACCGAGGTTCCACGAACAAGTAGGGGAAATTGCTCGGCTTATTCGAATGAAATATGTTTGTATACATTTGAGCAACAATTTTCCAAAACGGAAGTGTTTCTAATTAATGGCCACTGCTGACGTCGTGTGCCGTGATTTACGCGTCGTTTTCACAGCAGTTCCCCGATGATGCCTGTTTCGTGATCGGACGTGGAGCTTATTCGGTCGTCAAACGTAGTCGCTGTGTTCCAAATGCATCTATTTGACAAAATATGTACATTTTAATCTTGTACACGTGCTATGGTACGTGTGGTTTTTTTTGGTATCAAATAGTGTGCAAGGTCAAGGTGCAGTAATTTGCTTGCTCATGCCACTGCCGGCAGAGGCCCTTCTGGCGGCATTGGCTATAGAGGGTAGTTGGCTTCATCATCCACGGTGGCCGGACATGTTCAATAAATGGCGCTCATTATGACAATACCGCAAATTGAAAACCCAAAAAACAGTGGCTCTCGTCCACTCTATACAGCCTCGGTTTGAATTCAAAAATGCCCACATCACTCAAGCACCCCCCCCCCCACACCCAGAGATACACCCCCCACTCTGCACGTGGAAGATATCTGGGGTAGCTGCCTTATAAAATGTAGGAAATTTCCCTGAACATTAAATGGTCTGGTATCTGTCAGTTGCGTAATAAAGGATTTAAAAACAAAGTTTTTCACTATAAATCCTTTATATGCGTGACATCGGTTTTATTTTATTATTCATTTCAGTTTTTCTTGAGTAAGAGTTTCATTTTTATCACATTGGTATTTTAAATTAAATATGAAATTTTATTTTTCCTAAAAAGTGGAAAATTTAGCAATTTTTTTTTCACGAAAATAAATTGTCACGCACAACGAGTCTGTCTGCAAAATGTCAGCTCGATTGGATCACGGGAAGTGGGTTAAAAAACGACCGAAATATTTGCACGGTCGTAAGCACGCAAGCAAGCAAGTGAACTTAATATAAAGGATTTAAAAATACAGCACTCCAGACGTGCAGTTACATGTGGTTCTTCCGGTATTGATCGTGCTTTTGTGATGACGGTGCCTTCACAATTGCAGCACCTAAACTCAGGAACTACTTGCCCTCCGAGGTCAGGACTTCTGAGACACATACAAATCTTCAAATCACGACGAAAAACGTATCTGTTTAAAATGGCTTTCTCTCTTTAGTTATTTTCAAAGCGTCGTTCTTACTTCTTCTTTGCTTGGCTAATGTAAAACTATTTCTGCCTTTCCATGCATAGCACCATGAGATCGATTGTTTCAGAGCGCTTCATAAATTTAAATTATTATTATTGTGAGAAATTCTTCTTCTCATTGCTCTGGCTTTTATGGTGGTGGTGGTATCTCCGCTCCAGGCCTAATCCCGACTAACAAGTAGCACAACGAAAATCGCTTCATATATACGGCCACACAGGATCCGCTTTCCCTTAAATGAGCAATGTTTCAAATTGTACGTTATCCGCCAAGCTCACTTAACACAGGGGTGCACTAGTCGCTTTCATTTAAGGGAGCTTAGTGCCCGGACAGATTTTCTGCTGCCGCTGGAAATTGTAGCCAAGCGGAGTTAGCAGCAGATGTACCGGGCCTGACAGCGGGAGCTCACGCCAATGAGCACACTTGTACCGAGTGACCTTTTCATTCTCACTCACTGTGCTGCACGCACCGTATGCTCGTTAAGTTGGGGAGCAACAACGGACCTTTGTAAGGGGCGCCGTGGTGGCGAGGTGTTATCTCCCTCACCTGGTATGCAGTAGCGCGTGGGTTCGATCCCAACCCCTGACACCTGTATATTTGGAGTTTGCGTATTCTCCCCATGGTGGCGTGGATGTTTTATCCGGGCCCTCCGGTTTTTCCCTCCACATTCAGAAACGTGTGCTTAAGAGTGTTTGCCTGCTATACATGTCCACATGATAAGCCACTGTGTTGAGCTATCATTTATGGCCAGGTCGTTTCTGACAAAGAGCTTTCTAGCACAGTGGGCCTTACCCGGTAAAATATAACACAAATTAGTTTAGTTTTAAATACGGGACGAGTGACAGGTCAAACGCTAACCAGAGTTATTGTTTCAGGGCCTGACAATGTGGGTTTCGCCATGAAGTCTACGCTGTGCGGGATTGGTCGTGTGGGAACATCATTCCCCACCGGAGGTATCATAATAATCATAATCAGGGCTTAAATTAAACCAGAGCTGTCCAGAGATGAGCTCTGTGGGGTTATGGGTTGGTTGAGGGGGAGTGGGGGGGTGCCAGAGAATATTCCACAAGATACTAAGCCCTGATCATGCTACTGCTGCGTAGGTTTTCGTGATGTTGCTGCACAGATCTCTGACGTGTTGTCTGGTTCCTGAAAAATCTCCCAGCACGTGGATAAAAATACGTCGAACCAACACGCGGTGCAACGCAGCAACACATCGGAGAGCTACCACCATAATCGTCATCATCATCAGCCAACGTCTGTCCACGTCTGTCCACTGTCAGACAAGGGGCCTCCTCTGCAAGCCAGCACCATCCCTCAGTCACGTGATGCAACAATCCGTTTCCCTCTCTTGTATTACGCAGGAAACTCGCATGCTGTTCAGGTTACTTGATTGCACAACAGCCAGTGTTTGGATAAACCAGTGCTTCTTAAACCTGGGGTGCACGCACCCCCTGGGAGTGCGAGATGCCCTTTCTGAGGGTGCGTGAAATGGCCAGATTATTTTTTAAGGTAAATCATCCAAACACAAATTAAGCATGGATACGTAAGCACAACTACTTTGTTTCATCAAACCTATTTATTGACGTAATTTTTTTTACAACTGAGAACCAAAAGGGGTGCAAGGCTGCAGTAAAGGTTAAGAACCACTGGGCTAAAGAAACACTTGTAGATACCACAACTTTCAACAACCCAGGTTAACTCGGCCTTAAACGACTACCCAGCAATGCGTGCGAGTTCCAGCGCTGATTCACGATGGCAGCCTAGGGTGGCGCTGTCCTCAGAGGTTGGCCATCCATGTGCGCTGTGCCAGTGTTAATGGGGGCTCGCTAATGATGCGTCATGCATTAATTAAAACAGGTAAATTGTGGATGTCTTTGCAAGTATCCTGCAGTGTTCCCGTGTGTGTGTTAGAGAAAAGTCCCATTCATGCAGATTTTCGTTTTTGAAAAAAGATGTGCTGCTCACTTTTATTTCCAGCAACGGGGAGAACTGCAAGGTCGATGTGATTTTAGGAATTCAAGTCAAGATGGGAAACTTACTCAAATCGTTTAAACCTAGGACTAACAGATGGTTAAAATTTCAGTCAAAGTTTGGAGACAGCCGATAATCCCTCTGGGGTCAATAAAGTAAGGCCCATTTTGTGGGTTAGTCAGCAGTGGTCGTTCTATGTAGAATTCCTGCCCCTGGCTTGGAGTTAACGGTGAAAGCAAATCAACCGAGCTGTCTGCTCGTCGTCATTCAAATATAAAGATATCACTTTATTATTTCATAGTGGGTGAATTATGAAATTCCCTGTGCCACCAAAAGTACATTGTCACGTGTTTCAATGAAACCAGCATGAATGATGTGCTTGTGTGTGTGTGTTGCACACCGCCACTTAGTGGCGAATGGCGGTTGTTGTTGTGTTGGATATTAAATTTGTTCCGGGACACCTCCCCAAATGGCGTTTTGCCTCACGATATTCGTGGCTCACACTCTCGGTACTCCAAAGAAAACACAGAGAATGCCCCCTCCCCCCCTCCCCCCCTCCCCACCGATCACCGGGTCACTTACTTTCGGTGGAAGGCGTGCCGGCACGGACAAATGCCCAGCTTGTCCTTGAGCGTGAAGTCCTCCAAGCAGACGGCACAAGTCTGCACGATCACAGAGTCAACGTTACCAACGCGGCCACAACACCGGCACATGGTACGGCACACGCCCGCCGACTTGCTCCCGCGCGCCATTTCGCATAAACGTTAAACTTTTGGAAGAGGTTCACAATGTTTATAGCACTGCCCGATTTTCAAAGCCAAAATTTCGCAGGATTTGGCGTGTGGATGAAAAGCAAAGCTGCCGAATTTTTTATCCCCCCGAGTCGCGGTTAGAGAAGGGAAGGTGCCACAGCATGGCTATTGAGGCCAAGGTTTGCAGTCGTCAGTTTTAAATGAATTGCTTGGCCAGAATTATTGTGCTTGTGTGGAAGAGTAATAATGCCACATGTATCTTGAGGCTGTTTCACATTTTAAAAAATACACATAATTGCAATGTCAAACTCTGCTTCTGGCTAGGAATGCCCTCAAGTCAAGCAGCAAGAGTAAATGTGAAAAAATACCATCTGTTAGTCCAACACGCATGTTCACATTGGTTCAATACGAGTATTTATTTTTAATGCAGTACAGTAGTTTTAAAAATACATAATAAATGTACACATTTTTCTATCATTCGTTATTATGCATGGCAACATAGTGTGTTTTATGTATGTCCACAAGCTGCCATTGTGTGGTCTGATAAAGGCTGTAGTTGATAAGATGTTAATAAAATATTAAGAATGTAAATGTGTCAATTTGCTTATTTGGTTTAGTGCTCTGAATTGTACACTGAAAGCATTTTTTATTAATCCACTGCTGGAGGGCCTCCCAACGCCGTGGAGGTGATTGGTGTTATTTGGTCATACTTCACCGCACTGGTTATTGTGGATCGGTGAAGGCGGGAGCATACAATTACAGTACAACAATAGATTTTGGCTACACCGCCAACTGCTGCCCACAACCTAGCACCGCCTCAAGGCCAGCTAACGGCATGCATGGCGATCATCCATCCAACAATACGATCCATTAAAATGTATTTGTAAGTTATCTCAATCCTTAGATATGCAACAAAGCCCAAGCTCAGAGGGCCTCAGATGCCCTTATGAAAACAAACGAAGAAAGCACAGTACCACAAGATGCATGACATTGAGCGCACAACACACAAAAGCCACAGGCGAAAACGGAACCATCAACTCGCACACAAAATGAGCCAACCCCCTTTATCTCAAATTGCTTGTGCATCCACACAAATCCTTGACTCACGGAAATGTATGGGCATCGAACTCGGTAGACATTTCTACCATCGAAGCCGTGAGACGCTGCTCTCCGAAGATCAAGATCGACATTCAGGAGCAAGCCGAGCGTTTCCTCCGGTCGATTTGCATTTGCGTCGCGCTAACAGATGTCGCATCACTCCTCAAATCTCCTCAAGGGCTGCCCCCCGCGTGGCAGGCGGCAACAGAGATGGCCCACAAGCAGAGGTCGCAACCGGGTACCCGATACCCGTACCCTACCCGATACCCGGCTACCCGTACCCGGCCGGCCGGGTACGGGTACAGGTACCCGTTTGCGACCCTGGTGCGGCCGGGTACGGGTACGGGTAGGCCGTGAGTCACTACTGAGTAACCGTTTGTCACTCATTTCCCAACGTCTTGTCTCTTCTCACAATTCAAGTTCCTAGAATCAACCCACCCGCGCCTGCAACATGGCTTCATCCCAGAGGTCGCAATCGGGTACCCGTACCCGTACCCTACCCGTAGGGTACGGGTAGCCAGGTATCGGGTAGGGTACGGGTACCCGTTTGTGACCCTGGTGCGGCCGGGTACGGGTAAGGAATCAAAACCCGTGTGTGACCTCTGCCCACAAGTCCAAGTCTCTGCTTTACAAATGAGACTATCCTGGCCTCCCAAGTACTCACCTGGTTAAACAAAAACAAGCTCATGCCAGGTGGCTCAGGGGGAACGCGAGTGGCTCGCAATCAGAAGGATCTGAGTTCAACTCCTGGTTGGGGGTTGACGTGACTCATCATCACTCCGGGGTTGATAAAATGAGCATCCGTTTTGTGGGGAAGTTAACACTCACTGATTTCAGGATCTACTGCACCCCCCACACCCACCCCTCACCACCATAGGAATAGGGAATTTCCACGACTTTCTTACAGCTTTCAAAGGGAGATAAGCACCACATAAATGCTCATTTGCGCAAGAAAATTCCCTGCCTTTTTTATTTATTTCTTGCCGCGCAGCGCGAAAGAAGCTGCCCTACGAGCCGGGCAGCTACACAACACCATTTTTGTCACAATGCGCACGTCAAAGTTCGCAAACTGTTGTTTCTCCAGAATCACGTGGTCATGGGGGGGATCCTCCATCCGCGATCACGTGCGGAGCACATGATCGCGGATGGCAGCACCGATCGGGATAAAAATGGCATCGACACAAGGGCATTACCGTTGGCGCACACACTCGTGTGGACTCGGCTGGCCGGGGCAGGAGCCAACATTTTGGTTAGAGGCGGGTTTAATTTACCGGCTCATGCAATCCGATTCCCGGAGCACGTCGCTGCACCCCCCACTACCCCCATACCCGCCCCTTGTGTGCCTGGTTGTCTATACATAGGTGCCCGCTGACGAATAGAAATACTAAGTGAAATCTCAACGGTAAGTTGTTGCTTATCCCAAAACAAACAGTTCAGATCGTAACGTTACGTAGGCTGTCTCAAAGTGCACTGTCCCCTTAGCGGTATCGGAACGTGACAATAACGCACTGTTCCTTTAACATATCTGTGAGATCCTTTGGCTCACAAGTTTATCAAACGAATCTCTTTTTTTATCCGCTCATCACCTTTGAAGCCACTTGCGTTCATCACGACTGGCTTGGCAGGTCCATTACAGTTCAGATGAGAGTCTGAAAACCATTTTTCCATGAGTGGTAGCACAATTAATTTTTTCTAGGGTGTCCCTATCGTTTCCATATTGTATTCTGCCCCAATGTGCTATTTGATGAAGGTCTGCATTTAAGTGTTACATGCATCTTGGCTAACTTGTGGCGATGGTAAACAGATTTTTTTTTTCAATGCTACACGTCGAGCCCACGTTATTACCAAAGCCAAAATCATGGCCAACTCTCTGAAGAACATATCAAGTCAATTTTAAAGACATAAAACGTCTGACAGACACCGCCTCATGTTTACGATGTTTTTGATGTTTTCGAGAGTCTGGGCTGGCCTTCTCTTTCAAGGCTAAGGTGCCTGCAAATGCCGTAAATAATACGGTGGAATGAAGCCATATGGTTTAGTTCCCAGTCAATTTTCCTAATCCACACTACAGTATTAACGATCACTTGTGTAGCTATTTAACGACGAGCAATTGCACTGCATTACGCCGGGTCACTGAAGAAATAGAGCCACGAAGGTTCGCTCCATCCAGGGCAGACACTCGGTGATCAGACGCACGCTTGGCTCGCAGCCATTCCCACCACAGACTGTAAGCGGAAATCGACGGCAGCGATTTTGCCAAAATCACGATGTAAACTCAATATTGGCGCCGCAGTTCAATTTGTAAACGCACAGAGACGTCACCGTGATATTTACCTCGTAGCAGTCAAAGTTCCGTGCTTTTCCTTTCTTGATGACCTGTTGAAAAGAAGAAAATTATTTTAAAAAATTATAACAAAAACAGAATATAAGACACTAGATGTATTGCCAAACCATGTACGTTTGGTGTACACGTACGTATTGAACAAAAGCGACAACAGAGTAAATAAAATCTCTTACCTCATTGTACTTGTTAATTTCACGCTGCGCTTTGAGCCGTAACCTGGCAACAACATGAACCAAAAATATATATTTATTTCTCATGTAAAATTGGCACCGAATACAGATTATTTCAATTAACAGCGTTTACATCCCATTATTCTCTCGACGTGAGGTAGATTCAAGTCAGCCATTGAAAAATCACAGTCGTTCGTGGTGGTTTTTTGTTTGTTCTCTGGCTAGTAACTTCAGCCAATATTAGCCATGGCCTGATACCAACACTCTTAATGCCCTTCTGAAAGCCAACTTTGTCTCACCTTAATTTGTGTAACAAAAAACTTCCCAAACCACAAAACCAGTATAAACCACATTTTGACTCAGATTTACCTTTGCAATATTTTGCTATGCAAATATTCAAAAATAAAGGGTGCTTAATGAAAAGGGCATTTGGCTTGGGCAATGCAGTTTGCAGAAAAATGCAAAACAAATAATGCAAATGAATGAGTGAAGTCCTAGGATTTTCAGAAGCCACCTGATCAGTGTTTTCATTTACACTTTGAAGTTCAGCCTTTTCAAGTCGTGAATTAGCTCTAACTTAATAAAATCGAATTTTTCCCCTAACCAACAGTTCAAAGTCCCCACAGAGAGCCATGGCACGTGCTTGTTAGTCAGCCCGCACCAGCTTCCAGCTTGTAACCTCACGTGGCGCCACATGGGGGTATAACATTGTATGGCCTTTCCCATACAACACCATTCTCTCCACTCGGATAAGGGGGCCCCATAAAAGGTTAATGTGGAAAGTGGAAACAATGTAAAAGTTCATACTGCAGTGGTGTAATTATAAAGGCTGCAGCTAGCCTTTTACAGACATTTGCGCGTTCTTAGATGTAGCAGCATATGTTCGGAATATCCTGTCGTCTTTATTTCACCAAAAAATTAAAAACAAGCCCCATTGAGACACGTGGTGCATGGCCTGTTTTGCAAGGTTGGCCTGGGTTACATGAATACATTTAAAATACTGTACAACAAAATGTTTACAAACGTTTGAACGTTAACAAACCTGGATTTGATTTGTGATAAATTGGATACAAATGTGAACATTGTCAAAAAAAAACAGAATGTAATTATTATTGGGGTATTATAGAATATGTTCAAAGTTGTTCGTAAAATGTTAAGCCAAATATTGTACAAACTTAGCATTTTCACACTTTGTTAAAGGATTTTTTTTCGACAACAAAAGCAATTTTAAATGCAAGGCTACGTTCAAGTGCAGTATCTGTGCCAAGTGAGATTAGAACTGGTCCTGAACCCCCCCCTCCTTCCTTTCACCAACCCGAAACAAACCAGCATGGTGAAGTATGGTTTAAAAGAGAACTCCATTATCGAAACGAGGTGGAGAGCTCTTCATGCGTTGGTGGGAAGAGAATGGCTGGAATGAATTAATTGTTCCACCAAGCACACAATGTGGCAAATTACTGTGTTGAACTTAACATATTTCATTCATTTATTATTAATTCATCAGCCAGGTGAGAGCCCATTGTGGCTATCTATTTTATTTCAAGGGAGCCCAGAGTCAGAGCAATGCAGGTACAGTAGAACATGTGAAGATTAAAGGTCCATAACAGCTGTCGACAATAACAATAATTTTGCAAATAAAGCTACATTTATTACCACGTAACAATTACAACACTGAAGCTACCGACACAAAGCCCATGCATTGTGCACCATTCGGCCATGTGACACGGCAACCGCGCGCGTGTGGTTTCGATTGCCACAGCTGTCCTCTTATTGCCTGCCCTCAAAAGAGATCGGTTTGGAGAATTAAAAAAATCCACGGAAAAAGACGTGAACTTAAAAAATATATATTCTATCTCTCATTCAACTAAAAAATCGATACTCGATTGCGTAGCGGTGTTGTTCTCTTCTTAAACGTCGTCTTTCGTGTATGCACGTTGTGGATGGAATACTTTTGCCACGATTGGATGAAGGCCTCAACAAACAGTGCGAGTCTTGGGGATTGTTTGGCAATGCTTCACCGCACTGACCAGTACAGGTCGGTGACCAATTTAGACATCAATCTGGCACCGATCTTAGCCATGGCCAGGAAACAAACTCAGGATGCAGGGTTCGTAGCAGCGAACCACTTTGCCACTGCTCCATCCCACCAAACCCCACCCCATTTCGACCTCACCCTACCCCCACGTTACGAATACTAGTTAATTATAATGGTGTAATTGATATAATCACCAACAGAGCAACAGTACGTTCGAAAAGTAAAAAAAAATAATGTCGTTTTCACTGACATCTGGTGATTATCACAGGAATAGGTGGTTTCCCATATTCCCGGCAATGTCACACTAAACAAACCCATCACGGGAGGTTCAACGGTCACACAGAAAGCCCCTTAAAGCGCCACAGCCTCTCGAACATTCTTCCCCTTGCCTTCCAACCCCCCCCCCCCCCCTTGGGGAATCTCACTTGATCCAAGTTAACAATTGCCACTGCAAACCACAGCACTCGGTTTATCAACACGAGCCACACAGCCTTAAAAAAACAAAAATACAGTCAGCAATTGCGCAAAAAAAACCACATGGAACCAATGAAAACATTGCTTAATCCCGTGACACACTTCTGTATACGCGTCACTGCTGTCGAAATTTACCCCACATTACTGTTATATGATTACAATGCAAGGACAATTACGGTAGTTTCTGAGCAAGCCGCACATACTCATCTCCGAGGTAAAGGTGCTTTTAATAACATAATTGCCTAACCGGGACTCAACCTAAAGTGCCGCTTGAATTGAGTCATTGGGGCCATTTCATGCGTTGAATCACTTGGCACCAGATTTGTGGCAAGTGGCAGTGAATTAGTGTGCCGTTCTCAGATAAGGGAGGTAAAACTACCGATCGACTACTCGGCGACAGGCAAGCAGGCAGTGTTTATCAGCCGAAGTTTGTTGCCAGTTAACGTCTTAAATGAGTGGCGACTGACACGTGAAAGGTGATTGGGGCCCACACACCCCTTCACCAGCCTGCACCGATCAGCTTTGATAAGTGTGGTCAAATAACCCTCATGCCCACACAGTGGAATGAGGAGGCCTTCACCCAGCAGTTGATTGTCAGAAGGGCTGCAAGTTATTTGTTGTAAAACTAGCCTTTTGCCCGTCCAAGGACGGGTGTATTGTAGTTAATCTGAAACAACTGCTCTATCTTTTCACCTGAAGACGATTGCTTGTGCTGCGATCGAAACGTCGTAATTTTTGGTTATTTTTCTATCTGCGTGACTTTACCGAAAGAGCCAAAGAGTATGAAATCCTGCTGTCACGAAAGCTTTAAGTCAAGATTACATTGGCGTCATCTGGTCCTACACCATGTGAGACTAGGCTCTAAGAAAAGCTGTCTCGGGTGTGGACCAATCAATTTCAAGGACAGTGCACACATTATCAGTGTTGTGGTTTTTGTTTGCATTCCGACCGCAGGTATTGTGGTCAATGCAAACATGACTCCTTGTAAAAAAAGGTGTCAGTTTTGTTGCCAGATAAAAGGGTAAAAAAACAATTATATTTTGCTACTGGCAAAGGAGGTTCCAATGGTGTAAATTACATTGTCGAAGAAATGTTTATTATCGATTCCTATCATCATCTATGGTCAATCCACTGCTGGATGAAGGTCTCCTTCAAGCCGTTACCATCTCTCACAACTTTGCGATGTAATAATTGTTTAGGATGTTGTAAACAACACATTATGGATATTGTATACACCACAATATACATAATTACAACACAATCGCCCTAACTAATGTTAGCAAGGGAAATAATACTGTAACTTGGGATCAACCCTTGCACATGTCTTTAATTCAAATACATTTTAGAGGCTAAACCATTTAAATAATTTTCGAAAGTTTTTTTTCTCAAGCACTATACTGTACAGAATTTGCATCTTTTCTGCGTTTTGCCATCCCCTTATTTAAAGACATTATCAAAGTTAAAGAAACATTTTCTAATTAAATACTTACATTCTATGCAAGCCTAGCTGCTGTCGTGGGCCACCCAGGAATTACGCGTCTCTAGAACATGACAATTTAATAGGTAAGATGCTGCTTTGGCAGTGGTGCACAAGCACAACAAAGACAGAGACCCCCCGTGTCGCCTATAACAGACTGCTGGGGGCTAATGCTGTTAGCGAGCAGGCAAGGTACGGGGGTGGCCAGCACCACGCCCGACCGCCTTTGTCTTCCCCCAGTGGCGATGTTTACCGCACACGGTACTCATTCGAGTCTGACACGACCTAGGGGAGGGGACCCCCTCGAGGCTGACACGACATAGGGGACCCCCCCACCACCCCCAGGAGTAGTTCAAGATCACCGTCACTGAGTGTTGGCCGTGAGCCCGAATCGAACTAGTGTGTCGCCCGGATTCGGAGCACGCAGCTCCCTAACCGTTTGCACTCTCGCTCAAAAAAAAAACACGAAAACATACACACGAACTCAACACTGCCTTAAAAAATTTTAGACATTTTTTGTTTTTTTTATTAAAGCGTTATTTACCAACGCGTTGAGTCCATTTCCTGTCTAAGCGCACGTAAGAGGTGGCTCTTTAAACCCTCCGGTGGGTGACGTCATTCATTTCCGGAAACATCGCTGACGAACACCGCCAGACGTGGGAGGGAGAGGGCCTCGTGGTGGTGGTGGTGGTGATCTCCCGTGGAATGTTACACCGGGGTAAAACGAGTTTTAATCTTAAATACGATGGTTTTTTTTAAATAAGGAGCAGCTCACGGGCGGCAGCAAAGAACGTGCATTTTATCTTGCGATGTATCAACATTGGGGGGGGGTAAGAGCCCCTTTTTAGTTCTTTCGGTAAAGTCACGTAGAAGGGAAGTAATAAAATAATAAAAAATAAAACATAATAAAATTATTCTCGCTACGTTTCGGCCGTCGTGAGAATAATTTTATTATGTTTTATTTTTATTATTTTATTACTTCCCTTCTACGTGACTTTACCAAAAGAACCAAGAAGATGAATCCCTGCAGTCACGAAAGCTTTAAATCAAAATTTAGCCCCTTTTTAGATTTAAAGCTTTCGTGACTGCAGTGATTCATCTTCTTGGTTCTTTCGGTAAAGTCACGTAGAAGGGAAATAATAAAAAAAACACAATAAAATAATTCTCAAATAGTGAGAAATAATTCTCAAATACTGAGAATTATTTTATTATTTTTGTTTCTCAAATAGTGAGAATTATTTTATTTTTTATTTTAATTTTATTACTTCCCTTCTACGTGACTTTACCGAAAGAACCAAGAAGATAAGAGCCCCTTTGTAACGTAAACATAAAATTATAACTGGGGTAAATGCTCTATAATCATCGTGCATCGTCTCCGCAGTGTTTCGTTCGACTTTTGGCGTCGTTCGACTTTTGGCGTCGTTCTCTCGTCTACTGACACTGCTGGCGAGACTAGGCCCGAAAGCAGGCTTTGCTATCTCTGATGTAGGGCAATCAGTTTCAAAGACAATGCCACATTATCATCATTACAATAGCACCTTTGTTCGTTTGCATGTTCACCACAAGCACGTGTGCGGTCAATGCAGCCTCGATTCCTTGCAATAAAAGGTTTCTATTTGCTCTTTGAACATCTTAACACCTCCTTGTTTTATTGCCACAAAGGGGTAAACACCTTTTTGTTTTACATACTGGAGTAGTTAGAATCTGTACAGGGATGGAACAGTGTCGGTGGGAGGTGGGGGTGCTGCTGCTGCTACTGGTGGTGGGGTGACGCACAGAGTGGAAATTTCCAACTCGTTCGGTGGCGCAATGGGACCCACGCATGGTGGATTCCCTTTCGCTGTGCGTGTGTGGTGCGAGCCCGTGGCGTGGAGAAGAGAGAGAAACGCTGCAGAGGGCACTCATCCGTTGCGTTAAACGGAGGAACGTGAGAGCCCCCCCACCTCCTCCCGAGCACGTGCTTGCCCACGTGTACATTTCCCGTCGTGGGGTTTATGTTGTGATAGTTGCAGGCTCTGGCGTGTTGCGTAATAATTGTTTGTTTGTTTTCCCAATCGATATTGTATTTACAAAGCTGCCATCGGCATTGGCACGGTTTCGTGTATATGATGTGTAAGGAAATTTATGTAGGGGGCATTTGTGTGTGCTGCTATTGTAATTGATGTTTAATAACACGCCCTTACAGGGTGTGTCCTTTAAAAAGTACAACCAGGTAACGTTCTTGGGTGAACTGTTACTTTATATGCCCTATAGAGGTAGCCACGATTTAAAGGAAAGTTGCTGTTTTGTCAAAGGCAACATACACAATTTCAATACAGCAAATAAAATGGCCAAATTATTTTTTGAAAATAATACAACGGTGCTGCTGCTTTGCTTGCGAGCTGCATTTTCTCGGTCGCTTTCAAATATAATCATACCGTGAGCAAAACGCGCATTCGCGTATCCACTGTGACGTTGCGAGCACACGCAAACAGCGTGCCCACTGCAAAATTGGGCTAAAAAAAAAAGCCTCGCCAACCATCTGTCGATCTTTACCGAGGCTCTCTGCTCAGTTGAGCGAGATCACAGGCAAAGAGCCCCAGTAATATTCCACCGCGCAGCATTGCATATAAATATAAACACAGCGCCGATGAGTAATCCGCATTAGCAGCAGTGCCCGTCACTTGCATTGAACTCGTGGTACACGTAACCTCTACCCTTCTCTCTCGTGCCCAAACCATGCTGCTGTCGCGTGAAATATAACTCATTGAGCCAACTCTTCGCCTGTGGGCGATCTACATCAGTGCTTCTCAACCTGATTTCATTCCACGACACTCACTTTCGAGTTTTCCAGATTTTCGCGGCACGCCGAACCCAACAATCACCTTGGCGCCAGGCGTGTGGGTATCCGCTGCTGTACCGTCGTATTACTGCTCACGATTACAACTGCGCGTGTGTATTCGCGACTGTGCGAGTACCCCCCCCCCCCCCCCCCATGTCTGCCGTGTGTGTGTCTTCGTGTCTGCCCAATTGCGAAAGTGTCCCATCGAAGGAGTTGAGAGGGCCTGGGGGTGGTGGCCATGCTGCACCGCGACCAAAACCAGCGGAGGGCAGGAGGTGTGGGGATGTGGGGTAGGGGCTGGATCAGCCACTGAACGGCATGGAGAGTTCCAATGTCCCGGCTCGCAAACAGCGACGGGTTCTTTACTTTCCTGTATTCTTCAAATACCGAGGCACACCAGGGACCTGTCGCCATAACAGCACACTGGTGTGCCATGGCGCGCTGCTCGCGAAGCACTGATCTATGTGAATGCATGCCTGGCCAAGCCCCTCCTCCTTTCGGTGTCACGAGGGTTGTGGCTAAAAAAGTTCGAAAAATTTGTTACGCAAGGAACCTCTGCACAATTCAACGCAACGCGCACACCCACCAACCTCATTTATACCACGTACTTTATGTGCTAGAAATAAGGGTTATTGGCCAAAACATCTCCTTTTTTACAGTATAGTTTTCGTTTTAAGGCAGTGTTTTTGATGAGTGTTTTTGTAATTGATAGTGGTTCACCACTGCCAATACAGCAGCATCGCCACAGAATATGTTTAACCCCATTTATACATCACACATGTGGCTAACAATGTTGCTGTAACATCTGCCTTGCGATGAAAAATGTTTAATGTTATATTGTATACGCAGATGCCATGATGTTTTGACCAATGTTTAGCCACCATTGCCCAATGCAGAGTGTTTGCTGGGTGTGCATTACCTTCGTCACAGGGTTTCCAAAATTTCTTTAAATTACAAGCCACAACAGTTCAACGTATTCCACTTCCACCCACTGCCATATAGGGATGTGCAATCTATAAGGCCTTCACGTGCATTTGAATAGAGATTAGTGAATGTGAAAAGGATGACTGTGGCAGGCTGAATAGACTGGGACATTGCAAAGCCCAGTAAAGAATATTCCACACAGCAGAGCCTCCAACAATACAGGCACTATACCAGTTGTCACCAACCACAGCGTCATAGAAAACTAAAATTTCCGATACCAGCAGAGAAGTTGAGCACAAACCGACGACGTCCATTCAAACATTTCAAAAACGTTGATAATGACAGATTTTACAAATCCAAGTTGTACAGAATTTATTTAATTAAATACATATACTTCCGTTAATTTCTCTATATCAAATCTATATTTTAGTCCATTATCCATCAGTTTTTTTTTTAAGCAAGCAATCTCTGCACCAGTTGCAATCGTGTGGGTCTTCTTTTGAAATGTTTAAGCAAACAAACTCTCAGCCAGATGGTGTCATTATCAAGGAGCAATTAAGCAAGCAAATTCTGGACCAGTTTCAACTGTCTGGATCTCTTTGATTAAATTAGTGCAAAGCTTGGAACGCCAAGAGGCAAATGGACTCAGCTGATATCGTGTTACTGGAGAAATTAATGATACACACATGTTATTATTTGTGTGTTTATCCGTTTCTATGTGTGTGTCTGTATGTGTAATTGCATGGGTGAGTGGGTATGTGTTGTTGGCACTTACTTTACGAGATGGCAGCAGAAAATGAGGCTCAGAACAAAGACGAACACGGCCGAGCCGGTGGCAAAGACGACGAGATTCAGCGGCAGGTCCTGCAGACCCACGCTTGGCATCGCAGTCGTGCTGTCAGAGTAGCCCCAGGAGTAGACTGGAATGTACATCCTGGATGGGAGGGGCAGAATGTGTGGTGGGGACATGGGGGTTTACAACATGCGTGGTACATAAACCGTTTTATCTTATCAGCAAACCAATTGTAAAGGAATAAACGTAACGGGCAAAAGTCAAAAGTAATTTCTGTGCCATGGTTGGATTAGTTTTGTTTATGTTTTAACCAGGTGACAACTTAAGAGACCAAGTATCATTTCAAAGAGTGACCTGAGTCATTAGTCTGTCAGCACATCATCCCAATTAAATAATGTGCGTGGTAGATTTCGAAATCGACAAATTTGGACATCGATGCTGGTCGACTCGTGCAAATGACGTCAGGAGACCTTCAACGTTCTCCGTGAAGCTGACGGCACCGTAGTATTAGTCAGAGCGGCGGTGGTTACCACCTGTAGTAATAACCAGGGCGGCCGCTGGGTTTGAACCGCGACCGTTCGCACACAAAGCGCCAAAAGCGTTACAGCTAGGCAATGTCATCGCACAATCGCCCATCAACGTCCTCGTAATCAATACAATACGCAAATTTGACTGATGCAGTCTAAACGCAGCTACCTCAAGATAACAGGTAACATCTGTTTAGATAATTTACCGAGTAATTGCCTCATTTCAGCCTCGAGATTGAGATTCAGGCGGTCCCTGCTACAACGGACGGGATGTTTCGCCAATACCATGAACGAGTGGGTTGCCTTCGTGTCAGACAGACAAACCCCATACAACCTGGAGAAATCCCATAAAACCTGGAGAAACCCCATACAACCTGGAGAAACCCCATTCAACCTGGAGAAACCCCATTCAACCTGGACAAACCCCATACAACGTGGAGAAATCCCATAAAACCTGGAGAAATCCCACGGCGCATCGGAAGGGGATAACCCTCACAGCTCCGCACAGATGGATTCAATGCACGGGCAGGCTCAATACACAGTTAATCGCATCAGGTTATTGGCTATCGTTAATTAAGACTGCATTGGCCATTTGCGAGGATAATTTTGCAATATAATCAATGAGCATCTGTATGATAGTGGACTGTACAACAGCAGGCTTAACTGCATCACATACAGCCATCTGGCACGAGTTATTTCAGCAGACTGGGTCATGCATTCTTGCCACGGACACAGTATTTGAAGAATGCATAATTTAACACTTTTGTAATCTTATGACAGAAAAAAACAACTGCAATACAATGGAACGAGCTTCTTTTATCGGCATACAAATCGATACAGTGGCAATATACACACACAGTACGATAAAGCTTGGCAAACAATGTACATTTAATTAGAGATGTATAGATGTTTCTCTTACCCGTATGAAAGCCAAAACGATGGTGAGCTGCGATTCACGTGCAGGATATTTGAAAGATTTCTCTGCCCAGCGATTTCAATTTAGACCGACCAACAACACTCAACAATCGCAACGCATTAAAAGTCCGATCTGCAAGCAGCAAATGTGGGTAAGCTGGTGGTCTCGGGGCTAATAGATTTAGCCGAATATACGACCCTAAATAATAATGGACATACAGAAGATGACTGCAAGTCTACCCTTCTTCCCACTTTGTCTTCAAAGCCAACTTGCTGATGTCCTCCGTACACTTGGAACTGAACTGAACGCCGTGCCGGATGTCGCTCTAACGCCGTAGCAAGACAACAATGTTTGGCAATTGTTCACCCTTATCACTGCAGCGATGCTGAGACACAGAGCGAGAGAGAGAGCTCGAAGGCGACACACACACACATCTGTGTTGTGGCTCTCCGCTGCTCAAGGCTGCACAGCTTATAGAGAGAGAGCTGCGCTCATTCCGTGTGGAAAATTCCCAAGTTCAGCCCCGACAATCGGAGCTCCGCCTACACACAGAGGGAGCCTCCTCCTCCTGCCCCCTCCCCACCCCCTCCCTCTCCATCCTCCCCCCCTCCCTCCCCGTCGTCCTCCCCCTCATCCCCCCTCCCTCCCCGTCCTCCTCCCCCTCATCCCCCGTCCCACTCCATTCTCCTGCCCCCCTCCCTCCCCATCCTCCCCCTCCTGCCCCCTCCCCATCCCCTTCCCCCCCTCCCTCCCCGTCCTCCTCCTGCCCCCCCCTTCCTCCCCGTCCTCCCCCCCCCGTCCTCCTCCCCCCTCCCCGTCCTCCTCCTCGCCCCTCCCCGTCCTCCTCCTCCTGCCCCCTCCCTCCCCATCTTCCTCCCCATCCTCCTTCCCCCTCCCTATCCTCCCCCATCCCTCCCCATCCTCCTCCTCCCCCCTCCCCATCCTCCTCCCCCATCCTCCCCCATCCCTCCCCATCCTCATTCCCCCTCCCCATCCTCATTCCCCCTCCCCATCCTCCCCCTCCCCATCCTCCCCCTCCTCCTCCCCCCCTCCCCATCCTCCTCCCCCCTCCCTCCCCATCCTCCTCCCCCCTCCCCATCCTCCTCCCCCCTCCCCATCCTCCTCCCCCATCCCTCCCCATCCTCCATCCTCCTCCCCCCTCCCCGTCCTTCCCCCTCCCTCCCCATCCTCCTCTCCCATCCCTCCCCAACCTCCCCCATCCTCCTCCTAGCCCCTCCCCTTCATCCTCCGCCACGCACGCGCGTCAGTGGCGCGCGCGCGCGACGTGCGTGCCGAGGGGGCGTGAGTCCATCCGCTCGTCATCCGTGATGCGTCTGGGGCGTGGCTTGGGGGCGTGTTTATGTGTGAGTGCGTTGGGTGAGTGTGAACCGGACCTGGGCCTCTCCTAGGTCGACTCAGCCTCAAATGAGTACTCGGTGCGGTTGTGTAAACATCGGGTGGGAGACAAAGGCGGTCGGGCGTGGTGCTGGCCACCCACCCACCCCCCTCGTGTTCCTTTCCGGCTCGCGAACAGCAATAGCCCCAGCAGTCTGTGTCACAGGTGACACGAGGGTCTTTTCTTTTTGTCTTTTGCAGAATGTGTCACATAGTCAGTCCCACCTGACTCTGTGACACATTGAGCTCCTCCCGCAGGCGAGGCTGTTAGTCACGGAGCCCGGCATGCCCAGGCAGCTTTGGTTTTGGCCGGATAGCGGAAGATCTTTGCAAACGAGCTTTATAACTCATCGGATTCCTCCAGTAACACATTCCTGCGGAGGGAGCTGGTAGGAACGTTATTGGGTTGCTCGGTCAATGGCCAGGGTCAACGGCGGCGTGGTGTATTCCGCAAATATGCCCGACTGTGAGGGCGGGCACAAGCCGACGTGAGTAGGTTAAACGTTGAGCTTTATAAGGGCACCACGGGGTGACCAGCCCCTTCCCACCCAGCCCCACCCCTCCCACCCCCCCACCCAGCCCCTCCCTCCCCACCCAGCCCCTCCCTGCACGACGGACGGACACAATAATCCCCTGTGGGTTGGTGTAACCAGGAGGTTCCCACCAGTATAAATATTCTGATTCTGATATGGAGTACTCAGAGGAAACATGGGATAACACTCAAAGCTTCACACGGATATATTTAACCACACTGTCTAGTAGAGGCCGACCTAAACTGAATTTCTGGTTTCGGCCGAAAACGAAATCAGACCGAAAGTAAAAAAATTACTTTTGGCCAAAACCGAAAGTTAACTTTTTGGCTTCGGCAGAAACAGAAACTATGCCGAAAGAGGCCATTTGCTCATTAATAATTATGAGCGGCTGACGTCACTCCACATGGGGGGGGGGGGCGATCTCCGTAACGATATTGAGACATTGAAGTAAAAAGGACGTCATGATGAACAAGGGATTATAACCTTTAAATGAAATAGGTCTGTGTCACCCCGCCCTTACAAATTGCACACGAATTGATGCAATGAATATCATGTCGCGGTCTGATTTTCGTTTGTAAGTTTCAGATTTACTACAATACACCCGTCCTTGGACGGGCAAAAGGCGAGTTCATATCGAGTTGTGAGTGTCAAACCTCCACGTATGTGTAGGATATCTCTCGGTCCTCCGGTTTCCTGCCACATGACCAAACACAATGGAATTGGCCAAACATCTCGATTCAGGATCCTCTTGGAACAAAAAAAATGTTGCTACTCGGTGAATATTATGGGTAAAAGTTTATAAATATAACAAATACTGCTGGCAAACGCTGGCCTCAACGTCTTAAAATACTCAACAATGGCACATCCGGAGTTTCTGTTCAATTATTATGTACGCTCACAAAGAACTCTGAACTCTGAATTCACTCCTTATGCACTTAGAGGCACTTTTTCTGTGTGGGCAGTTAGTTTAAGTCGACTGCTGGGAAATCCCACCGTCGAGAAAAGCAAGAAGTGGCGGGCCGTTCGTCACACTGCACACGTGACTGAACACCCACTGCCCATTCTCCTGCCCTGCATGCAATTGCTCTGCAATGGCTCTGCTTGACAACTGATGCAAGTGGGTCGCAATCTGATTTTCATATTTTAGTTATACAGCGCAGAGCACCCGAGAATAATTAGCTTTTTATTTATACATATATAATGCAGTGACGGGCAATTCAAAGACTAAAATCATACTGAACTGCGACGGCATACAGTGCTAAATGGGATTGATTTTTTCTCTAGAAGGTTCCTTTTGGCAAAACATCACTCATGAACGAATAGTAATGTACAGTCATCTCTTTTACAATCCATTTCTGGATGAAGGCCTCTCCACACACCATTGTGGCCATGGGGTTATTTAATTACAACTCCACATGCTGGTCAGTGTGGGTTGGTGAAATGGAGGGTTTCACTACCATTTTAGATACCAGTCGACGGTCTTAGTCACGGGAATTAAACTCAGTTCATCGAGGTCATAGCGCAGTGCTTAAAACAAGTGCCAACGCGCCACCAAAATGTAAAAATTTTCAATACTTGTTTTAAAGAGTGCCAAGCTAAAACCCAATAACGGTTACTTGTAAATATACAAAGTGTACTGTACATGTAAGTGTATTCTCTAAAAAGCTACAAATTGAAAATGTCTTAACCATCCGCAAGAGTGTGGTATGAAGCAGAAAAGCTTCCATGTGAAAAATGAATTCCAAGTTTTAACATTCGAGCTTAAAATAGCATGGCCGGGATGCTTCAGCCCTAATAAAGCTGGCAAAGATGCCATGGAAACATGCCACACTAAGCAAAATCTTATGGATAAGTGACATCATGCATGGCTAGAGTTCAAGAAAATAGGTCTGTCTCTCTTGTGTTTAAAGATCCCTTGCGTTTAAAGTGCCTGCAATCCAGCCACTTGCAAAATTAAGTTGGTGGACTATGCATAAATGGAACCAGCGTGCGTGTGAGACACTCGCCTGCTGGAATATGATGGTGTGTACAGCAAGGAGGTATACGCTTTCTTATCAGTGTAGAGTTTAAGAGTTCTCTGGTATATAATGTTGGTTTTCTCTGACCACCCAACTTTCCTCCCGCACATAAAAGCACCTTCCTCCCAAGTGGTTACATGTCTTGGTCAAGCATCCCAAAAAGGGCCTCCCAAAATCTGGCAGTCATCCAGCGACTCAACACAGTAACTGCCCTTTGCAGGAATTAGGCAGCTGTTAAGCAAACGAGCTAATACATTCAAACACAGCTGATGCAAATTATGTTTATCTTGGATACCGCTATGGATTATTAAAATTATGTTTGTAAAAAAATTGCAGTCTGGAACCTACCTCTTTGCTGTACGATCTTTCCATTTACACACAGGTCTCGCTTGCCAAATAATATAGACGTGGTCTCCATGTGCCCTTGAAATAATGCTCATAATAATTTATAGCTCGTATCAATCCACGACTGGACGACGGTTCTGCCAAAGCCATGTCAGCCATATTTGACGACTGCACTATGCTGGTCAGCGAGGGTTGGTGAGAGGGTGGTGGATGGGGCATGGGATGGTTGGTGGGGTGCAGAGGTCGCAAACTGGTTTTGATTCCTTACCCGTACCCGGCCGCACCAGGGTCGCAAATGGGTACCCGTACCCGTACCCGGCCGGGTACGGGTTCCCGTTCCCTACCCGTACCCGTACCCTACCCGAAATGAGTGACAGACGGTTACTCACCAGTGACTCACGGCCTACCCGTACCCGGCCGCACCAGGGTCGCAAACGGCTACCTGTACCCGTACCCGGCCGGGTACGGGTAGCCGGGTATCGGGTAGGGTATGGGTATCGGGTACTCGGTTGTGACCTCTGGTGGGGTGTAGCCCAGGACCAGCTTGCGTGACACTTGCCATTGACAGAGCCGTTCCTTGGGTACGCCGGATGGGGGCGATTGCCCCGGGCTTTGCGGGGGGGGGGGGCAGGCTTCGACCAAGTTCGACGCCACGGTGTCAGATGTTAATACTTAAGGTCCCATGATGTAACTTACGGTTTCGTTTGAAGGCGTCGGGGGGACCCACACAGTGGCATTTAACTTGGACCCCAAACCTTCCTATGGACGGCCCTGACCACTGATGCCAGTTTTGGCTATTGATCGAACTTTGGTTGCCGGGTTTATAGTGCACTGTGCCAACCACCAATTGGCTTAAAAATGGGTTTAAAAGCTGCATAGTGTTTTATTCTACTAAAAAAAAGCAACTACCTTAACATTTGGCTGCCAGTGTAGTGTGCATATACTGTATATACGTGCTAGAAATGAGTTATGTTAACATAAAACGGGCAGCATTAAAAAAATGAGAGTGGGCATTTCATCGGGACATGTTAATGCTGAACTGTTTGGCATTACTCCAGTTGCCCACATTTTAAGGAATCTGATATCAGGAGTCAAAACTCTGCCAAGAGTCAAACTATGCCAAGGCCCCGATGGCTGGGGAGTTAAAGAGTCAGAATCAAGGACACGTGGAGCGACTTGCACTCTTTTGACATAACTGCGTTTGCACATTCCCT